GAGAACCGATCAGGCTATGATGTGCCGTCCTGCTAGATATGGGAGAATAAAACTGACCAAAGTTTTCTAGTGGGTCCAGTCACATCTCGTCTACTGCCTTGTGACCAAAGTGATGTAAATGGCTGTAATGATTGTTGCTAAGAGCTACTGTTGCTATGTCAAGTAGCTCATCACCAATTGAAGCTCACTGTGTTGCAAGATTTATGGCATAACAAAATCTAATTACGTTAACATGCATTAAAGTTAAAGGGCCTGTCAACCCCCCCCCCAGGATCCACTCATGAAATTTGTGATTATATGTACCAAAAACAGCCATAATCAATTTTTATACAACCATTTTCTTTCTCCAGTAGAATTTCACAGGTTGCTTTTGCAGCTTTGTTTCCATATATTGACATAATCAGTCTATACTATCTAATATCTATACTATACCATCTAATTAACATGGAATCCAAGGACCCGTTTAATTAACATGGACTGGTTTTGTGTGCGGTGCAGAGGCGTATTGGTGGTCAGCGTAGGATCCATGATTGTTCAATCAATAAGGAAAAGCAGGAGGTGTATTGATCACTCGGCCCTCCCCCATAGCTGCTGTCCACTCTGAGACCCTCTCGACATGTGAGCACCACCAAATTCACCACTGAAGCCTAAAAAAAAGCCTTATCCCTGACCTATTTGATGGTCATGGTACATGTGAAATCTGAGGTCTGTACACTGTTAATCATTGCATCTCATATGTTGCCATAAAACACCCACTTTTGGACAGTAAAATGTTCATAAATATTAAGAAATATTTTGGTAAATAAGGTGTGAATATGAAGAACCTTTAAAGTTAATTAAATTTAGGAATCTTTATTTTCAAGTGTTCATAACTGGTCTGTCACATCTAACCATCCATAAACTCCCACTACTGTAGGTTTATGAAATACTGTAAACAAGACACACATTCAGTCATTTCTTTTATTTCATAGGACTGTAAGTATAAATAAAGGTAGCAAAATATGCTGAAAGCTGATGTTCTTTCATGGTGCATGTACTGTAATACTGATGCAACAGCACACTGGTAATAGGTGCCACAAAGATGCAGTGCAGTACTGGAGGACAATCCGCTCTGAGAGAAACATCTAAATAATTTACTATGCAACATTTGGTGTTTATCGTAGTCCTGCTTCAGCTACTGTTCCTGTCTTCAGAAAGGATGCAACTGTACTGCAGTTCTGAAGGGTAAAGAATCGACTTAACACTCTTTTGGCATTGTTCGTTTAGCATGGAGTCACATTTTTGAGTACTTGTTCTGTCAGCAGCAACAGGAAGGAGTTTGATTAAAGCCACAATCAGAAATCACTGCAGCTGGCAGGGCCATTTTACTACTGCAACAACAACGGTCCACTAAAATGTACATGAGGTGTGTTCTTCATGCTTTCTCTCAGTAAACGTTGATGAAATGCTGGTGCTGTTTCAGTAACTCCTGATTCGAGTTTCAAAAGTCAGTATTTTGTACCAAGAGAAGTAGGGTATCACGGGCTAACGTTAACCTGAATTAAGGCCTTTACTATGAAAGCAACCAAAAAAAGTGAAGCATTTAGTTATTTGATTGAAATGTATCACATGAATACATTCCACATGAATAAAATATATAACATCAGCACAAACACTACCAAAAGTTAATAAACTCAAAGACAAATGTGTTGATGTAGTATATATATATATATATATATATATATATATACACACCTTTTTTACCTCTTCCTTATTCGCCTCTCATGGTCTATCGCTTTTTTATTCTCTTACGTTATACATTAAACATAAACTGTGCTTGACATGTTTGCACAGACCACATTTGTGTTTTTCCCCCAGTATATTAAATTCAGCAATTAAACATTAATTGTGCATTAAAATGTGCAGAAGTGTGTTCTCTGTAGAGGATATGTTCACTTATTTTCACTTCGAAAACCAACAACTTACCAATGGCACCAAACTTTTGCATCCGACTGAATTTCAGTAATGTTTTTTAGATGCAAAGCACCTCATGGACTTGGCTTGTAACTTACTCACTCACTCAAGTTTAGCAGCCTGAAGATTCTCCACAAGGGGGTGCTATTAGCATTCAAATAGCTTTTGGTGCTTCCCCTTAATGACTCTATGTGTTCTTAAATTTACTGAATGCGTAAATAAAAATGAGAATCATGCTTTTGATCCCAATGTTAAAAGATGATGTTGTTCCAAAGTTGACTGCACACTAAAAAAGTTGACTGTGTCACTAGAGGTCCATGGATATCATTTGACCATCACCAAAACTTTTCCATATGACTGTATATGTACTTGGTAGTGCTATTTTGCCGATCGGTGCCTTAATCATTTTATTCCTGTACTGTTGTGTTGAAAGGCTCGCTTAAATAAAATATTATTATTATTATTTGTATTATTATAAATTATGTACACATTTCAATCAAATAAATGCATCACTTTTTTCAGTGTAATACAGTCTGAGAATTTAGGAGGGATACCCAGGCTAAAAGAAAGCTTAGTAGTTTTTTGGCAAACAAGCAAGGAAACAATCTGTCATCATTCCATTGTGTCTTCAGTACTCATTCCGTGTTGCAATGTCATTCCACAAGACTACAGAAGTGTAGATTTACAATGCAAACTGGGCTTGAATTTATCTGACCATTCAGAGCCAAAACACAGATCCAGCAATAGTCTTTGTTCCAGTTTCAGTACGTATCACTCAAAAGTGATCATTTCTTGCCTTTCACGTGCAACAGAATTATAATGTGGACTTGGAGACCTGACTTTGGCTTTGTCGTCCTCTAAGATGTTTGGTATATACAGACCCTGCTTTGTGTTCTGTATGGTTGAAAGATGATGTTTCTGATTTAACTTGTAAGTTTGAGATTCTTCATTTCGGTCCAGTCCTCAAGGACATGGAGCTAGCTCAGGTTCCCACCCTACCTGAGCCAGGTAAGGGTAGACATTCTTAAAATTAAAGGGCCCAGAACTGAAGCCATGTCAAAGAAGAACCACCTGTAGATCCCTGAAGGACCTTCTAATTGTTGTTTAAAGGAATACACTTCTTAAAGGCCCCATATGGAGGTCCACTTATAATTTTAGTGTGGTTTTATGTACCAAAATAGTTACAATACTTTTTACATGCCCTCTTTTTATTCCTTAGAATTAAAGCTGTTTTTGTTACTGTGCCTTTAAGACTGTTTATATGTAAATGATTCCTGTTCCGTTTGGCTAACCTTTGTTATCCATCATTCAAAAAGCAATGCAGGCTGAAATGCTCCTTATAACTTCAACATGAATGGGCAGGACTAAACCTGCTCTCGTCTAAAACTGGTGGATACATGTAAATCACAAAAACTATTCATTTAAAACAGGCTGTTTTTGCTTAGTTTCCATATATGGACTTTATATACTGGGAAGTGAATGGTACATATTAAACTTTAACAATGTTTATATACTGGATCAAAATTCAGTTTTTCGTGATATGGACCCTTTAACATTGGCTACCTATGGTTGATTGCCACAGGTGATCATTTCTAACCCTTTTTCCTGAACAGAAAATTAACTCAAAGCACACTCAGCGGTCACTAAGTCAAAAGGTTTTATTCCTTTTCTATTCTTTTTTCTTTTTTTTAAGTTTTGAAATTCTACCAGTGGTACTGGACCACATGCTACAAATGTCATAAATTTAAAATACTGGAGTATTCCTTTAATAAACAATCCACTGTAAGGTTCTTCAGGGAACCCTTCTATAAAAAGAACCTTTCTAGCACCTTTAATTTTAAGAATGGAGTTGCAAAATGCAGATTACCTGACTCACTTGATCTGGGCAGTGAAATAGAGTAAAATATAGAAGGTTGACGGTCCCTTAAAGGGGAACTGCACTAATTTTCAAAGTTTTTACATAATTAAATCTCTGAGATGTAAACATAGTCACTCGGAGTGGTCTGAGGTGAAGTGGTTCATGGAGAAATGTACAGACTAGAATTTTTTGTAACGGTGGTGATGGGAACTGGGGTCACAATGTCTATAACGTAAAAATAGCCATCCATTTATTCACCATCCACAACAACCGGTGAACCTACACGTCTTCTGAGGTTTTACATGTAAAGCTGACAATGATAAAATAATGATAAGTCTGGAAATGTAGATTTTTAGTAAACATTGGATATTATACTAATCTATACTTATACTGTTATTTTGCTTTACAACATCCTGCATGTACTGATCAGCTGTGCATGTTTTTAAAATACATCATATGCTCAAATCCTGATTCGTAACTGTATCATGTAATATGATTTCTGTGAGGGAGCTTTTAGAGGCATTAAATTCCTCAGACGTCTGGTTCCTATCACCACAAATGTGAACGATTCTGACTCTGTATGCGTCTCTAAAACAGGGGTCGGCAACATGTGGCTCTTTTACTGCCCTGTTGTGGCTCCTCAGCAGAATTTGATATTTAGGTAAAAATAAAATAATCCTCCTTTACAGTAAAATAAAGCTCTGCTGATCGTTCAACACAGTTTTAACAATAAATGGTCTTAAATGCTCATGTTAAAGTATGACTGCTAATTCACCCTTTAACCCTGAAGATCAGCGCAGACTGCTGGTCACATAGCAATGCAGACAACAATCTAGCCTAGCTAGTAGCTAATGAAACGGCAAAGACAAAGATTTAAGACGAACATCGATAATTTGGAGATAAATGGACTTATTTGCATTTATAAGCACTCCAGCTAGTTTTGGTGTAAAGCGAGAAACTCTCAAACACTAAAAAGTTGCGAAACTGAGGTCAGCTTCTCATTCGCCAGCTTCTTGTTTAAATTCTCCTGTTCCACCTTAAATGGCGCAGCAGTTACATTCATTTAAGGTAGAATGGGAAAATTCGAACAAGAAGCCACAAATGAGAAACTGACCTCAGCCTCGTAAAAACATGAATGCTTAGAGACATTTTACAAGAAATTACTCTACCTTGCAGAAAAGTTTCCTGCTGGAGATGCGAGAAAAGCGGCTATAGCTGAGCTAAAGCTTAAAGCAGAACAAAATAAGTCTATGTTTTCATATAGATAATATTTTTTAGCCTATACTAGCATATTAGCACAAACTGAGACATATTTACAGCCAAGATGGTAAAACATTACTTCAATAAATGGACATAAAATGTTGTGGCTCCCAAGGCGAATTGGTTTTCGTTGAAATTACAAAATGGCTCTTCTTAACATTTGGATTGGTGACCCCTGTTCTAAAATAAAGCATTTGACATCAAACCACCCTAATCACTGTTTACATCTTAACAAATTAATTATGCAAAAATGTTGAAAAAGTGGTGGAACTTCTCTTTAAGAATAGATCAAGAACTTCTGAGCTAACTTGAACTAAGAAAGTGATGCACTGAATTTATTTGAGTCAAAACTGTACAATTTTCATAAAATATATTACGTCAATGCAATTCTGTCTTTGAGCTGACTTGCTTTTGGCAAAAGATACGCACATTTAAATCAAGTGAATTCAATGCATCACTTCTTTCAGTGTGTACCTGTTGCCCTTTATAGAAAGAACCTAAACTACAAAAAGTTAAGATCGAGAGAAAAGCAGAAAGAAGTGAATTTCAGTCTGCAGGGATTACAGTCCCATGGACTTGTGCAGTATTATTGGAGGCAGACGCTTAGTGCATTTCTTCACTGTCAGAACAGAGGAGCACCTCGTCTATGATAGTGCAGAATAAACTCTTCTTTCACGAGTCCTTTTTCCTGATAACACAAGCTACAGCCTAGTTGTTCAATTCAGTCAAGCTTAACACCAGCAACAAAGCTCTGTCTACTTGGACGCGCACTGAGTCCGAACATCAGTGTAAGCCAGTTAAAGTCAGAACCAGCGGAGAAGCCTCACACACACCGTCTCGGCTGCTGTATCGCCCTTTCCTCTCTGATTTTAAAAGAAAGTTTAAGGTTAGCGGTGCGGCCGCCGGTGACGGAGCACGCGGATGGACGCCGTGCTGCTCTGGGTCATCAGCCGAGTGACCAGCTCCAAACTCAGCCCGGCTACTTTCTCTCCATTCACCTCGAGGATCTCATCGCCCACTCCCAGCAGCCCCGCATACAGCTTCTCAGTGCTGCTGTCACCCATCTCTTCCACATAGACACCTACAGAGCACACAAGCATGGTACAGAATGAGAAAAGTAACTGAATTTAATTGATTCAAATGTCTAAATAATGAAAGTACATTTCAGTTCAGTCTCAGTTTGTAAAGTACAGAGTTAAATGTATGGCTTGTAAAATTCACTAAGAATATATTTATTTATCTGACTGTATTCATGACAAAGTCACAGATGAGTATGAACTTTTTATTAACTGAATCCTTTTTATTAACTTTTTAAAACTGAATGCTAGCAAAACTGAGTTGCTTTTAATTGGCTCAAAGGCACTGATATCTAGTTCATCTGTCCTTGGCATCAATATTGATGGGATTCTGGTAACACCTTCTCCCCATGTCCGCAATCTCCGAGTTATCTCTGACCCTACACTCTCTTTTGACTTTAACATCAGTTCTGTTGTTAAGACAGCATTTTTTCCATCTTTACAATATTGCTAGTCTCTGATCATTCCTCAGCCAAGCCGATGTAGAAACACTTGTGCATGCATTAGTGACATCACGGCTAGACTACTGCAACATTCTTCTATATGGCCTCCCTGTCAAAACCCTCACTAGGTTACAGTATGTTTAAAATGCCACTGCTAGGATCGTCACCTTTTCAAAGAAGAATGATCACCGCTGTCCTTCAGAGGCTTCACTGGTTACTTATTACATTCCGTGTCAGTACAAGGTTCTCCTTATTACATATAAAGCTTTGCATGGTCTGGCTCCTCAATATTTGGCTGAGCTTCTTCATCTATATGTCCCATCCCGTACTTTAAGCTCGCAAAATTTAGGCCGTCATGTTCCAAGGTTTAAATTGACTTCTATGGGTGGTCAATCATTTACTGTAGTAGCTCCCAAATTTTGGAATACTCTCCCCCAGTCTACTCGGGATGCCTCCTCTCCATCTTTATTTTAATCACTGTTAAAGACTTACTTGTTTTCACTGTGTTATCACTGTTCCATTTACACTTGAATGTTTACCTGTATTGTCCTTTTGTTGTTAATTATTTATGTTCATGTTCTTTGATTGTAAAGCGTCCTTGAGCATGAGAAAGGCACTATATAAATAAAAGTAATGATGATGATTATGATGATTAGAATAAGAGGAACGTTCATCATTAGCACTGTGAAGTTGAAAGTAGCTGCTTACGTCTATATCAAATTCCTACCTTTCTTTCTCTTCATCTACTTTTCATGTCTTCTGTACTTCTAGAACATGATTATGAAAACTAGGCTTTTTTGGGTGAAAGTAAAACTCTTATGCTATTGTGAAATGTAAAATAGCTCAAAAAGCTCAGTGTGTTGTTTGTATTATCTGTATTGAACTATTGTGTAAATAGTTCATGTTACATTTGTGTATTCAGAGTTTTTAAAAAAAAAAAATAGAAACACGATTCAAATAACATGGACTTGTACCTGTTTTTATGAAACCTGCACTTTCATGCATAGGTTTATATCAGTCAGACAGATAACAATCTTTGGTTATGAAGCTAAATGCTATCAAGTTTTAAAACAGCAAAAAAATGGTCCTTTCCAGTCAAATGGTGATATCTTAGCAGTAGTCAGAGGCCAGGGAGTTCCTAACTGTATGTTCCCAACTGTCTGTATTAGGCTTTCTTCAAGCTGCAAGGCAAATCAGATTTGTTTCTTGTATCTGACTGCGTTGGTACATTGGCTGCCATAGTAAAGCCACACGTGTGTATATGCTGACCAGGCAGGTGCAGAACTTGATAGCTAGCTATGATATAGCTATGCTATAGCTATGATAGCTAGCTAATAGTGATCACACTACATTTAACAACAACATTTCACTTTTTATTAACTACAGCATGAACAGAGCATGACATAATGTAGGTTGACCTGGTCAACAGACTGCAAACCAGCTGTAGGGCTGTAGCAGTGATACTCAGAGGCTTTAAGTTTAAATCTTTTAATGAAGTAGTCACTGTAACTAACAATCAAAGCAAAAATGTTACCTAAATGTCTATTAAAAGCTTCTACCCTCCATGTTTAAACTGTAATATATGAATTTGCGCCACTCACTTTCTTGTCGCACATTCTGACATTATGAACTGTCACACCACAAATGATGAAAACACATGAAAGCCAATCTGACCAGTCAAACTGAGTCACATACTCAGAGAACTGATCTGAAAACCACCTAAAAATGTTGCTTGAATACGAATGGAAAAAGTCAGATTTCAAGAGGCTCTTTTCCATTTAGTCTGCGGAAAATCTGTTCTGCTTAAATCAGATATGCTGAAAAATCAGATTTGAGCTGCCTGTCTGAATAAGACCTTAGAGCTCTAACTCGATCATGTCATTACAGCTCAAATGCTCCTCCTAATGCTGTGGATTGCTACCTAGCATGCTCTGCACTGCATTTATTTCCAAGAATAAACAACAGCATTCTTTCTAGCCAGCTGCTTGTCCGGAGCAGTAAGAAGAGGTTTAAAAAGCTGGTCATACAGAATCTCAAACATGATCACCCCTATGCTCACTGACAAAAGCTACCCACCCAAGAAGAACGAGGCCAATTGTACTATCTTGTACCCCCCAGTCATAGATAGCTGTGGCATTGCCACATATTAAACTTGTGATATTCCAACAAATATGACCAATGCTTAGACAACTGCGCCACTTTAAAAATTATTTAAATAATCAAATTGTGGTGAAATTTAAAATTTCATGATGCTTTGAATCACTCAAGAATCATAATCAAATCAGTTTGTCAAAGTTGTACACCCCTTTGCACACTTCTGTATACAGAAACACAAGGAATAAATAATCAGGCAGAAAGGGAAAGAGAGGAAGAGTCCTGGCCAATATTTAATGGACTCTTAATCAGGCACTCATAACTGCCTTGTTAAAAGAAATGCTAATTTTATTATTGAGAAAATGTGTGTAAATGAGAAGTCACTGGTGTTTGTGTTACCTGAGTCTGGCCTCCCTTTACCGCGTGAGATGAGGAAGCCGAAGGGTCCGTCAGGAGGCCGGGACAGCTCCAACAATAACGTCCCATCAGGGAAGGCCTGGGCTACTCTCCCCACTGACCGTACGGCACTGGGGCTACCAACATCCTCCACGCTTAGAGTGCGCTGGAGCCCCCTAGATACACATACATGCATAAGAATGGGAGAATGAGAATATTAAGAAAAATATCACCACTGTCATTAGAAAACCTTGCAATAGTGACAACAGGATAAGGGCAGGAAAATTATTATTATTATTACATTATTTTCATATTTGTTAATGTCGTCAATGGATCTAGAAGATGGTATTGATTGAGTAATTTTGGGGCATTTTTTAATTGGTCCATTTATCATGAATTGTTTACAATACATGAAAGAGACGCTTGCATTTTCTTAACCAAAAAAAAGGGGGTTTCTTATGACATTGATGTGAGCCCCACATAATAAGGATAAATGCCAGCTAAGCTCTATATAAAAAATTTCCACATCACATTTTCAAGGTCAAAAAGTGCAGAGTCCAGTTCTCGCTCTAGAAAGCTTTCCAGCAGGGCCGCGGCATTTGCATCTTTTCTGGTTTTAAAAATAGACACGCAGGAACGCTTTGTTTACGGATAATAAATAAAACATAAATACATTCTTGAGGAGGAGAGAGGAGAGTCTAAAAACAGACCATGCCCAAAATCAGTATCAGGGTGACTAACACCTCCTCAGGTTTCTTTCCATTTGTCTTCTCTCCATCTCCGCACATTCTCTCTCTCTCGCCCCTCCCTCACTCCCTGAGATCAGAGTAACAACAGGAGCTGTTTATAGCATCTCCTTCTCCCTGCTCTCCGCTCTCTGACTGGCTCTCGAGGAAGGTGATGTAAGCTGCAGCCTCGTCACTCTTACTAGAATTTCCTCGCTGGCCTTCTTAATGGACCACTGAGACTCACACACACAGGGCTAGGGAAAATGTCATGTTACGATTACAGTTATAATGCAATTGCAATATATCTTACAATGTATGGTACAAACTAGGGCATGTAAATATCTGACCTCAGGAATTCAATAATATACTCCAGACATTCCTTCAAGGAGGATCTATTTACAGAGTAAACAAATACAGACAATAAAAAGACTATAAAAATACAAGCTTTTGGAATTTTATGTTTAAAAATTGCTTGGGACTTTTATTTTGGCCATTAAAAAGCTTATACTAATTATTATATTTTAATAAAGTGTCTGATTCCACCCAGGTGAAAGCTGAACTGACCACACAGTATTTGCTATTTGCACCCCTCCAGCACCACCAGCCTTATTATAATTCATAATCATGGATCTTCTTTAGGAATGCCCTGATCATGATTTTTTATGGCCGATTCCAGTTTCTTTACAGCCAAATTGGCCAATTTTTTTTATCCAAATCTCACACTGTATTAAGGTACACATGAAACACTCTAGCACATTTCCAGCTATTTATAACAGCCAAGCTAGCAATATAACCAATATTATCTGCCCTTTAATGGGCCAATTTTTCAGTTGCCTATCTAAATATCATCTAATAAAGTGCTAGACTGAAAGTAAGAGGCAAATGGCAGTTTAGCACAATGAGTCATACATAATTACCTTATGACATTTTGGTATTAGTACAGCAGCAGCAATCAAAGACAGTGCGAGTGCACTTACTTGCCTCACATTATTCACCTCATAAAAGTGCAACAGAGATATACCAGGTTGCCTGAGCTGAAGGTTTGACAGACAGTGACAGCAGCTAAGGGAGGCAGCATTTCTCATAATTTTGCAAACAACAATATATCTGTAAAGTATCTTTTTTTTACTTTACTGAAAACTCATGTGGAGCGTCTGTGAATGGTCAGAAAGCTCACAGCACAAAAAACAAGTAAAAGCATATAAAAATGCTTAGTGAGCTGGGAAAATCTGTTTTTGGGGAAACAGCATTATATAATTGAAACTATGGAGGACAAAACATTTCTTGACATTCAAATTAGCATGTCCATTTGGCACTAATCTTGTGGAGTGCCGCCCCTCCTGAAGCCCCTGCTCCAGCATGTGGTCTCTTGATCATCTCCTGAATTCCATTTCTTTCTTTGGCAGGCCTACACACTTCTATTTTTACCCCCCCCCAACTCCCCAACCCACATCTGATGCAGACACGCCTGCTGACCCAGTCGTCAAAGGCCAGTATGTAGCTCGTTGCACAACACACCAGCTGTCTATGCTTAGCTGGAATACACGCACTGTACTCACACACACTCACATAAACTCACACACCCACACTTAACATGCCATTCTTCACACTTCATTCATAACATTGCAACATAACGTTATAAATAGGTTGGCTGGTCGGTAAGGAGAGCAGAATGATACCGCTGGCCCTGCTTCAGCTATCTGCAGCATGCTCATATGTTTTAAGTGGAATATGTGTCGGATTTGAAAACATGTTCTAGTATGACGTTTCAAGTTGTCAAAGTCAGATTAATTACATAACAGGCCTTTACTGTTTGTTTACAGTGTGAATGTGTTTGTATGTACTGTACAGATGAATGGAAGGCTACCTGGACAGTGCTGGGCTGCAGGGCAGCTCCCCTGGCGTGTACGCGCTGGAGCGATCCCCCTTCCTCCTGGGACTCTGGAGATTCTGCACTGAAGAGGATTTCTTCAGCTGGACAAAAGGAGACCCCTGGTGGTCATAAATGGAAAAAAACAGTGAGCATCCACTATTCCACATTTTCCTTACAGTAACCCAGCAGGAGCTAAAAAGTGCTCTCCAAATCATAGCAGTAAGGTAACCTGCATCACTGCGGGCCTGAGACTTATTCCCCCGGAAACTTTTTGGGATCAGCTGATCAAATTTTTTTTTTTATCGAATAATTTTAATATAAGCATTCATGAACTCTCCTAATGAATTAGTTCAAACCGCGTTCCCACAGTAAAAAAAATATTTAAAAATAAAACAATTAAGTATTCAGACATTACATATTCACAAGGATTATGTTGTAAGTTATTTAAATTAATTGAGATGCGGTTGTTCCAAACCCTAACCCCTAAATTTCAACCTGTGAAAATAATAGATTTTTTGTATTTTTTCAATGTTTTTTTAAGATTTATTTTAAAGTGAAGCTTAAATATTTAGACTTAGTCTGAGTTTAATTTTTAAATGCTGTCTTAGAGTTTTAGTCCATTGGCAGAGCCTTATGTTAGCCACACCTCTGCATTTTAGTCCCTCATGGCCACATGGTGAGCAGTTAGATCCCATTGTTTCGAAGTAAATGTGTCTCTAAGTCTGAAAATCAGTGAGTAACATTAAGAATTGTGACTACCAAAACACATTCTCTGCAATTAAATACATTTTTTGTGTTTTAATGAAACATATGATTCTGTGTGGGTACAGCTGATCAAAGCTGTGTTTGCTGGTCATGTACTGACTGGTGTTTTTGAGTTCTGCTCAAATCAAGCTAACATTGTCCCTACTGAAAAAGTGACTACTACACAGTCACAAACATTTGGTGAAGTTTCGGCAGTGATATGATTGTTTCGATAGTGACAAAATGGAATGTTCAATCATCTGTTTTAATACAATAAACATAATTAAAGTATAAGGTCACACACACACAAGTCCGAGTCAGTTAAAAGTCCAAAATGTGTTTTCAAAGTGTACAGTTCACTCTCTAGTCCATATATGGAAACTAAGTGCAAAAATAGCCTGTTTTGAATTCACTGTTTTTTGTGACGTCACAAAAGCCAACGATTTTACTTGCCTATTAAGTCTACAGCAGTTTAGCCCTGCCTATTCAGGCTGAAGTTACAAGGAGTGTTTCAGCCTGGATTGCTTTTTGAATGAAGTACAATACAGACCAGCCAATCAGAACAGAACATGATTTACAGAAATCAGTAACAAAGGCACAGTAATAAAAGTCTGTTTAACTTTAGAGATTAAAAGAATTGTAGATACGGCCCCTTTAAAACGCTGCTGTTCACTGCAAACAGTTTGTTGCATCTTGTATACTGTTCATTTGCATGTCCTGTGTAATTAGAGTGAGTGGAGATGTGTGAGGGCAGTAGAGGACAGACCAGGCGCAGGGACTGCAGTGATGGAGCTTTCTTCAGCTGGCTGATCCCTGCACGTGCGGGGCTGGGGGACGTGGAAGGGGATATGCAAGGTTTGGCGGGCAGGCTAAGCTGCTCCATACTGCTGGAGCGTTCCTTGCCCAACCGCCCACCACCGTTCAGACCCATAGCTGAAAAGAAGCGGCGCAGGGACAGTTTCGGCCTCGCCTCCTTCTGCTCCGCTTCTGATGCCACACTGCTGCTATCAAACAGACCAGAACACAATCAGCCTGTGGTCAAAAGAGCTCACTTAATAAAAAGAGCTCAAGTATGAAATCAAATCTACCAGTATTTAATTTGTCCACTCTTTATTTATTTTAGCATCCTACTGCCTACCTCTTCCACCCTTCCGACCTAAAAATCAACCAGTTACAGCTGTTTTCTCCCAACCATCGCTGTTCCCACAGTCACTGACATTGTGTTCCCTTCAAACAGACACTACCCTTCACACTAGCATCTACCAAAACTCAGCTTAGCTACCTCACACTTTTCTTTCTCATCACATCTAAAATAGCTAAAGGAGATATTTCTGATGGGATAAGATATAGTATAAAACACTTTCAGAAGTTTCTAAAATTGGAGTTAAAAATGACTCCTAACAACTGTGCAATGCCTGGTAGACACTAAAACTGTCCCCATCAGATAAACAGCACTTAAAGCTTTCATCTTTGAAAGAGAGGAGAAAATCAAGCTGCTTCAGATCTGAAAACATCCACAGGTGTTTCTGTCCATCCTTCCACTGTGAGAAGACGACTCAGCGCTATGGGTCTGAAAGGATGTGTAGCTGTCAAGATCATCTTACTGAGAAAAGGAAATAGACAAAAAATTGCACTAGAACACCCAAACTGAACATCTAATTTATGGAGTTTTTACAGGGTTAAATGTTTTATGGACTGATGGGTCTGAATGTGATTGGATTTACTTGGATTGTGAAAAACAGAAAATGCAACCAACTTCTAAGACTGAACTTTCAGAGTGAAAGTGAGTCTGCTGAAAAGAGTGGAAGCTGTAACAAATGTAGTAAGTGGACACACTAAATACAACATAAACTAAATGAACAAAAAAATGATATTAAGTTATTAATTTGCATTCTGATACTGAAGAATGAAAACCAGTTGTGCCTGTAAATTAAATAAATGAATGGGTGGTCTCTTTCACAGTACTGTATGTCATATTAAATGCATTCCTGCCACTTGCATATGGTTTCTTTGTTTTTCTTATCTCTAATAACTAGCCCAGTCATGTTCAACAACTAAGTGAATTCACAAGAAAATTTTGAATTGTTTTGTTAAAAATTTTATGTGATCAAAAGACAAAAATAGTTCATATGATATATTAGGTGATTAAAACTCACCTTTTAGATGTACAATGAATTTAAAAAGTTCTTCAGATTCAGAAAGAAAAAGTAAATTTGTACTTTTAGATATGAACATTTTAACCTATATGGGCTAATATCAGCTAATTTTCAAACTCATGTATGCAAGAAAATGGTATCTTGACCAGTCAAAATATTTTGAATCCAATATTTACTATACTGGTTCTATATATAATTGTGTTATGTATACAATTGTATATAATATATCGACCAGGAGGGGGCAGTGTTGTGATGAGCAGAATTTGTCTTTGCGATGGTGGGCTTGCCCATGCCACTTTTCTGACCTACTTTCTGTCCGAACTGCCACAACACTCTGTAGGACTGTGGCCCGGAAATTAAAATAGGCTGGAGAAGGCTTGAACAACTTAGCAAAGGATTGAGTTTCTTAAAGCCTAAAACCAAAAACGGGGATTACGGGGTAAAACACTGCCATGGGCTTTAAACTGCTTCAGAAAAACACAGAAAGTTCTGTCCCCGCAGGAGCGCCCTCATTCTGGAGGATTCTGTTTGTCTCCCTCTCTTTCACTCACCGTGAGGGGCTTGAGCTCTCCTCCAGATGGTGGTCTGGTCGGACAGCTCCTTGAATCTGTCCATCATTCAAATGTCCATGAGAAATTTCAGCAGGGTTGTCTGTGAATTCGCCTGCAACACGATCCTGTTCCAAACCTGGCGAAGAGTTCAGACGTGTATTTAAAATACTAGATCATTTGAAATCAGACAAAGAATAAACAGACTGGAGTTCAAACTGAATACAGAAAATGAGGCACTGTAATTCATGCATGTTAGATTAAGTAATTCAATAATGCGTCTGTTATGTATTGATACTAAATTGTACACAAACTCAACTTGAATGCTCAAGCAAAGGAGTGAGAGAAAAAACAGGAAGACTCAACAGCAAGAGAGAGAGAGAGACAGAGAGAAAGAGAGAGAGAGAAGGGAAAGAAGAGTGAAAGAGAGAAAGAAGAGAGAAAAAGAAAAGGTTAGAGGTATGATAGAGAGAGAGAGAGAGAGAGAGAGAGAGAGGGAAGAGGGAGAGAGTGAGAGATAGTAGAGAGAAAGAAAGGCGGAGAAACAGAGAGGACGGAAGAGAGAGAGTAGAGAGAAACATAGGGGGAGAAAGAGAGAAGGAGGGAAGAGGGAGAGCGTTAGAGATAGAGAGAAAGAAAGGAGAGAAAGAAATAGATGAGAGAGCAAGAGGGAAAAGAGTGAAACAGCGAGAAAGAGGGAGAAAGAATGGAGGAAAAAGGGGAGCAAGACATAGAAGAGAAAGAAGGTAAAAAGAGCGACAGAGAAAGAAAGATGGACAGTGAGACAGAAAATGAGAGGGAGAGACAGAGAAGGGAGAAGAAAGAGAGAGATGAGAAAGAGAAGGAGAGAGAAAGAGAAGAGAGGAAAGAAAGGGAGAAAGAGGGGAGAGAGAAAAGAGAACGATGAGAGAGAGAGGGAAACAGAGGTGGAGATAGAAACAGAGAAAGAAGGAAGTGAAAGAGAGAAAGAGAAAGGGGAGATAAAGAAATAAGAGAAAGAGAAAGAGGAAAGAGAGAAACAGAAAGAAGGAAGAGAGAGAAAAGGACACAGGGAAGATTGAGTGAGGGAAAGAGAGAGAGAGAGATATAGAGAGATAGAGAGAGAGAGAGAGAGACCGAGCAGGGCTGAGTCTCAGTGCTGGCTGGGCAGGCCTCAGTGGGATTAGGGGCCTGCTGACAGTAAAATCCCTGCTGAGGCTGTAGCGCAGCGCAAACAGGCACGTCCTGGACTACACAGCATTCTGAATGGAGACTCTCTTTAAGTGGAAAATGTACTCCAGGACTGGCTTAATCCCTGTCTGTGAAACTGACCCCACAAATTCACCTTTTTAACACCCTGAAACCCAGACTTATTATTCAGTACCTGTTACGAATTATTCACGAAGTACTATGAAGCAAATGTGTAAAGTTTACAATTATGAGACTGAATAACTGAATTTTGGTCTCGCGTACAAACTCAGAGTTTTAGTGTTTGACTCTTCGGTTTAAACTGAAATAACCGAAGTATGAACAAGTCATTTTTGTATATAAACCCCAGAGTGTTACTTAGTCAGTATTAAATCCATGTCTAAATCTCCATTTCATTAAATTAGACTTTACTTATATAAGACAGTTTCTTTTAAAAGGTATTTATGGGGCTATTTATAATTACCTGTGAATGCACGGATATTTTACTAACCAAACATACAGACCTTGGGTCATTAGCAACCCAGCACTCATATCTAACACACAGGGGCATCACTGCTGGGTGAGTAGTAGAAACAACTACCCAGAGACCCTAGACAGACGGGAACCTCAAGGACCAGAAATAAAAGTTTAGTCATTGCCAATTCCACCTGCTAGCTGGGTCTGCCACTAGGCTGAGGGGGAGAAGGCTAGCACAAGCTTTCTCCAAGACATGAAGCCACTGCATGGCATCTTTTAGAACTGCTGCTAATGCGATGTGATTGGTCAGCTCAACACGAGAACACTGCCTGCCAATTCTGTGACATCAGCCAATGAACACCCATGTTGGGTAGCATAAACAGGACCATCCTGACCATTCAAAGACAATCAGGCTAATTTTGATCTCTCGGACTCCCGGCCACAGATGGCTGTGGCATCGTCAAGGATCGAACTTGCAATCTCTGGACAATAGGGCCAACACAGGCAGTTGACTGTTTTAAATTTGGAAAGGGGACCCATACAGTCTGCACTTACAAAGAGCAATCCAATTAAACAGGAGTAATTCTGCTTTATTTGTAATGAAACATGCAGTTGGTCAGTAAAGATGGTGAAGATATCCACCTGCTGGTTGGTATCCAGTGTGTCCCGGATGTGTGGCAGTGTTGCTGGCTGTGGGATGCTTCAGTGTCGAGCTTTTGGATGGGTTCCCCAGAGCAGGACTGACCTCAGGACTGCCATCCACATCAGTCCCTTCTTCTGCAGAGTCCAGGTGCACGAGGCGATACTGTGGAGAAGGCATGAGCTTGACCATTCGTTGGCCATTGGAACGTTCCTTTGAGGCAGACTTCAGAGCAGACTTTCTGGGCTGGAGGGGTGGGGGGATAGGCTGGGGGAGCTGGGGGCTTGGAGCTTCTCCTCTGGGAGGCACTGGAGGTGGCACGGGGGCTTTAAAGTTGGGCTGGGACTTGCACAAGATAACCGGTACCTTCTGTCCCAGTTGCTCTGGAGCGTAGGGGTTAGGAGGCACTGCTATGGTGCCATTAGACAGGTGCACATCTGCACCGTTGGTTGTGGGCCTGGAAGTGGGTGGTGACCCTGATGATACCAGCCCATTGGCTGTTGCCTCTGGGCTTCCTTCCCTTCTTCTACTTTTTCTCTTTTGCTTCTGTAGAGACCCTCTACTGCTAGTACTGTCCATGCTAGCTGTACCTCTACAATGCGTGCCATCGCTGTCCACAATAACAGTGCCCACCGCTCCAATGTACGTCTCTTTAATCTGCTCTATTCGGACCAGGCGGTTGGGCAGGGTGGGGGCCACCCAGCATGGGACAGTCCTTCCCTCGGACTCTCCATCAGCAGGTGCTAGGGATAACGGGAGAGAGTCTGAAACAGCCTCGTCCAGTATTTTCTCCCCTGCCTTCTGTCCATCCAGTATCGTCCCACAGGAATTGCACTGTCGGCCCACAGCCTCATGCACTAGGGATTTGTAATGGCCGTTAGCACTGCTAGAATTAGCAAGCCCCTCCTGACCTTTTCTGTTTTTGTATTTCCACAGTGGTGAGTCCTCCTTGCCCCGGGCTGTCTCCGCGCCTCTGCCGTTCACATATGAGGCCAGGCTGGGTTTGGACCCCAGCAGGCCCTGCGCCCTCTCTCCAGCCCGCCGGCGCTGGCGCAAGCGCTCCAGGTAGCGAAACTCCGCCTCCTTTTCTGACTCGTCCTCAAAGCGGACGCGTGTTGGCGACTGGCCGTGTCTGCGTCGGGGGCCTCCGACTGAGTCGCTGCTGGACGAGTCGCTGACGTTCCCTGAACCTGCCGCCACCCCCTCCTTCCCCGCTAGAGGAGCCCGCTGCAGGGAGACCCCGGTCCAAGAGAGCAGATCCCTGAGCAGAGACACATACATATACAGAAAACATTACAAAACGGCTGGATTGTTCTATACAAGTAGTAGTGTTAGAAAAACAAGTGAGGGCAAACTTTTTGCCCCTTAAAACCAAGTACAGAGGCAAAAAGGTTGAAAATCATGTTATAAACGTAATAAATTAATGTGAATAAATTTAGTGCACTAAAACAGTCGACACGTCGTACATCACTCCAGCCTGTGATCTTGACTCTGCAGGATAACAACAGCCATCCACAGACAAATACATGTAACGCAAACAACAGTGTCTTAATTGAAAAGCATTTTACACCACAATTCTGTAGTTTTTCCCATAAATAGAAAAGACAATAAATCTATGCGCTGCATAATTTGTAGATTTGCATCTAGATCTGCTGTTGAGATTGGAAATAAGTATTCTGATTAGGTTAAAATGTTATTTTGAATATGTTTTGGTATAAAACATTCCAGAATTTCAGTCAATTTGGGAAAATTGCTCCTTAAAAAGTACTGCTTCTAAATCCTGGGTAGTCCTGCCCGGACATTTTTGTGTTCTCCCTGCTCTAACACGCCCACTTCAACTCAGGAAGGGCTTGTTGACCCCTCAAATTCCAAGCAGATCCAGACTTTCATTCCTCGCTCTTCTAAATGCACACTGTACAGAGACGTCCCATATTAGTTACTAAGTAATTCATAGTAGTCTTGGATAATAAGCCATAAGAATAAGGAATGAATAGTAAGCCCAGACTTTAAGGGGTTAATTGGACCATTAGTCGGATCTAGTGTGTCAGAGCTGGGATAACACAAAAACATCACTGCTGTACACTTATATACAGCGGACACATGCACAGAAAAACATGCACACGCTAAAGTGGTCAGCGTTCAGCCTCCCAGCACAGACTCAGAGGCGAGACCGAATGGCTGTGGAATGCCTCCCTGTGTTTCGGCTGCTCTCCGCAAGGCCCTGCATTCCCCACATGCTTCATACCCATTAAGTGGAGAGATCAGGCTCAGTGCAGCTGCCTCCTCAGCACCAGCAGGCTGCACAGTAACATATTTCACCACAACTGGACTATTTCAGCAATGCCCAGCTGCTACGCTCTGGAAATGTAAGTAGAGTCGCTGCAGGCAGACCTAAATACAGTGAAGCAACTGAAGGCACTTTCAGACACATGCGAAAGTTTGGGCATCCCTGAGCGCCCCCAGATGAAGTCTTGTTGATTTTCTAAGTGAAAATAAGTTAATACACCCTCTACGGAGAACTTTTTTATAGAATTTTATATTTTATATACTAATACATAGAACTGAAACGATAGAATTGAAAAATGGAAATTGTGCACTACAAAAATTGCAGAAAAATGCCAACATGTAATTAATCAGTGTGTTCCAACCACTGCAGAGAACTGTACATGCTTTTAGATTTATAACAATTAGGCAAGGCAGTATGCTAACAGTAATATATTAACAATGTGGTAATAATAATATTATTATTATTAAAACTAGTTTTGTTGTTCTATTCCTGTGCTAATAGTAATACTTTCTAATGATGCACTGTTCATAATTTTTTTCTGTCTGACTCCGATCTCTTTCTTTGCACCCAGACTGTCCAACAGCCCATTTTTTTGGGATGATCTTTATTGGCCTTTAAACCCAAAACAAAGCCCTCACACTGTGTGGACTATAAAGCTCATTTTCAGTAATTGCTATTAGCCAAAGAAGCCACAACTTACATATTATTATTTGCTCTTTACTTCATGTGCAATACATGTAATATATCCTTACAGTGTAAAGTTTTACTGCTCTTTTATTTAGAATGTTTATATTAATTTTGTAAAAGATAATTTATCTTTAATGGTGCAAACTGGCATTTTAAATTCTTAAAAGAAACATCAGCTGCTTATTTATATGAATAATATGAATCTAACAGATTCTACATTGAAAGTAAGAGGCAACTGGCTATTTAGTACAATGAGTCATATATAAATATGAAATTGTGGTATAAGCAGCGTTCAAATACAGTACAAGTGCACTTACCTGCCTCACATTATTTATGTCATAAAACTGCAACACAGATCAGCCCAAATAAAATAATGTCTGTTGCAGATTGCATGTTTGGAGTAAAAATCTGTTGATTACAATCTTGGCAGATCACGATCATGCGTCCCTGATACTTTATTAATACTATTATGTTTTAATTTTATTGTTAATATTTAGTATATTTCACACTTAACACTAATAAATATATAATACTAATACAATGAAAAACTAAAAATAGAAACACATTTAGTAATAATAATAATAATAATAATAATAATAATAATAATAGTAGTAGTAGTAGTAGTAATAGCAACAACTATAATAATAACCATTATTATTATTATTATTGTTATTATTATTATTACTGTTATTATTATTGTTATTGTTATTATAAAGAAGCAGGATATGAAGACATTGAGGAACAGCTGGTAGGAGTGAGGCTTAAATCAAAACTTATTCTCTCTTGTTTTCTATTTTATTTTGTGTTATTGTTAATATTTATTATATTTCTTATTTAACACTAATAAACAAATAACACTACTACCAATGAAAAACTAAAAATGAAAACACATTTAGTAACAATAGTAGTAATAGAAACAACAACAAAACAACAACAATAATAATAATAACTATTATTATTATTATTGCTACTGTTATTATTATGATTATTATCATTATTATTATTATTATTATTATTATTATAAAGAAGCAGGATAAGAGGACATAGAGGAACAGCTGGTAGGTCTGAGGTTTAAATCAAAACTACAAATCCTAACTAAATCCAGACATATTATCTCTTGTTTTCTATTTAAAACATTTTGTATTTGCAAGCTGAGACCAGTTTCATCCATACTACAGTCCTATACAAAAGGTTAAACGCCCTGGTCAAATGATATGTTTTGTTGATTATCTGAAAATAAGTTAACCCATCCTCTACAGAGAACACACTTCTGCATATTTTAATGTACAATTTTCAGCAAATAAATAGAAATTGTGCCCTAAAACTTAAGTATTTAAGTTTGTTCCCTGTAGAGGATCTTAACTTATTTTGATACATTTTTTATTGAAAGTACTGATTCATTAAACCACATCTGGAAATAACATAAAAGCAACTAACATTATAATTACAATCATTATTATAATTATAATTGCAGGAGAACAGCTTGTATGGTGTTGTCCAATTTAGTCGAGAATTTGTCAGAACTCTGATCCATAAGCACTGTGTGATGTTCCCCCTCTAATCTGTTCTGGATACTGCGGCACAGGGGTGTATTTTATTACCAAACATGGAGACAGCTGTCAGTGTGGCTTATCCATCTGTGACTGTGTGTGTGGGACAGACAGAAAGAGAAAAACTGCTGATGTCGTCTCTCGACGAGGGACCAGGATTTAGAGGCAGCCTCGTGTAATTGTTGTATAATTAAAGATAGCTTATATAACTCTGCCGTCTTAAATAGAAGCGCAAGCGTGTGTCTGGAAAGGCCGAGGCAGACTCAGCGTGCTACGTTTAACAGCATAAGCTAATTTGATTCCATTCACTATTACTAGGCTGCAGGCTGCTGCTATTTAATTGATATGACAGTGAAATAAATCAAAGTTTTATAAAAATTGATATGATATGGAAAATAAAGAATATGAAGTATTGCTTGTATCTCCTAAATTACAATTTTAAAGGAGTAGGGAGAAAAAATCTGTTACTGTATCAACAAAAATGTGAAAGGTTTGCTTTGGTTAAAGCTGCAGTATGTAAGATTGAAAAGAAGGAAAATTGAAAGTAGCATTACTCAGTGAGGAGAAAAAAAACATGATAAAATATGGTGTGTGTGAGCTGCCACAAGTCGCCCTGTAAAGCCTGGAATAGTAAGAGACGTCAGGTCGGATTTTACAGGAGTTTTTCAGACAACACACGTCTTTACGTAAGCATGTCTCACGTACAGTCTCAAAAAGAAGGTTTAGGCCTCAAATGCCATATTAACATTATACTGATGAGCGTATGATGACAACAGTAGATAATTCACTCTACTCTTCTCTTTCATTACTCTTTAAACGCACTCACAGCAGATTCATCTGCCCGGGGAAGGGGTCTGAAGCATATTGCATGCAATTACATATTTCCACCACAGAGGTCTCCACATCCCCAAAACATACATAAAGCAGCTTTAATTTATTCTCTTCACATGCAAATGGCAGGTATCATTTTCAAACAGTGTAAAAAGTAAAAGCTGAAAAAACAGAGGTTTTCTAATGACAGCGATAATGTGTAGAGTATAAACTGGCTTCTTAACGTGCAGCATTTAGCAGATCTGCCAGATTACTGTATGACCACAGCACAAAAACAGCCCTGCTCAAGAGAGACCCAGCACCTGTTGCTGCTGAAAGAAAGCACGGCTTCACTGAGCACTTCCCCCCCTCCATCGACCGCCCCACTCCACAGCAAATGAAACACACAGCAGTCCTGTAGCTCAGAATATAGATGGAGATTTAAAACCCCCACACTATTCACAGCAAAACAGCCGGAGCTGGACACAAACAGCTACAGCAAAGCATGGATGCTCTGAGTGTATGCTGAGCATATCAGCTTATCAAGGCAGCTTTTATAAGACATAATAGAGATCCGTCAGAGGGGTAACGGTTTCAAATTCATAATTTGGTTTGATATGATCCGGCGGTTCGCTTCAATCTCAATTCGATGTATTTTTATCCATTAACAATAAGGAGTGGCTGAAAATCTACCTTATGCTCATATGTTAAAGTTTTGATTTTCAGTTTATTAGAGCATTCTCGTGTAAAATTCTCAAGCACAATATTTTATAATAAAGCACTATCCACAAGCTAAGATGTTAGCTGTGAGCTAAAGTACGCTGACGTCTTTTTCTCCCTGCTCTCAATTTGAGGAAAAGAGGAAACAATATTTTTAGAGGAGGCATGGTCTGCCCCCACTGTGGGCTTAAGTGCTTAAGTGTTTAAGTGTTTTGAATGTGAGTTTATATATGTCATCTTGATGATGGTAAATGATGGTCAATCTGAAAAAACAGTTTTGTCTCTGGGGACTATTTTGCCTTAGAACATCCTTCATGAATCCCTCCACCATGAATGGATTAAAATATATTAATTAAAAAGCATTTTAGGCCAAAGCTTTGTCACACAACTATCATAAAATCAGTGTCTCAGACATCAGGCAGAGTATTCATGACTATTTCATGTAATAACTTTCTGTGAGGGAGCTTTTAGAGGTGGATGTCTGGTTCCTATCACAACCACTGTGAACAATTCTGACTCTGCAAGTTTCTCTAGAACGAAGCATTTCACGCCAAACCACTCTGAATGACTGTTGACACGTTGACTCATGAATCATGCAGAAATTTTGAAAAAAAAGGTGTAGTTCCCATTTAAGATACTTTAAAAACATTTATTTAACCATTATTTAAAGGGCAATTTCACTGGTTTTTCAAAATTTCTACAAAACTAAATGGTTAAGATGTAAACAAAGTAATTCAGAGTGATTTGATGTGAAATGTTTTGTTGAATAGAAACTTACTGAGTCCATGATTTTTTATATGTTGTGTTGAAAATGGTAAAATTAAGGCAAATAAAAAAAAAAAGAAGTTTTCTTTAAAACTATTTTGCCTTACCCTACATGCACCTCTTCACCACAAATATCCCAAAAAAATTAGCCTTAGTTTTAAGCTAAAACCTTCTCAAAACTCTCATAAACCAATATCTCAGGCACCAGATAGCATATTCATAACAATTTCATGTAATTACTTTCTGTGATGTAGCATTTAAAGGCTTCAAACTCAGGCATTAAGATCAAATGTCTGGTTCCTATCACCACCACTGTGAACAATTCTGACTGGGTACGCTTCTCTAGAATGAAGCATTTTACATCAGATCACTGTGAATGACTTTGTTTACATCTTACCCATTTAATTATGCAGAAATGCTGAAAAATCTGTGGACTTCCCCTTTAAACTGAGTGCTTCATTTACTCCAGCCTGTTGAATGTATAGTCCGACACCTGTGAGTATTGAACTGAACACTACAATACAATAGGTTGTGTTGCTACACTCCTGGATGAATCGAAGGGTATCAAAGGTTCTATGGGTGGGTTCTTAAGCCTTCTCAGTCAACAACACAAACCCCCCAGCCCTCCCAGTGTGCTGTGGACAGACAGAGAGACAGCGAGGGAGATAATATACTCACGGGTTGTCCCTCTGGACGGGTAGGATGGTGTGGTCGGCTTTGAGCGGGTTAGAGCGGGCCTTCATGCGCGCACGCTCCAAGAGTCGTTTGGCCTGCTCATGGCGAGGACTCAGCGGCAACCCGTCGCCCCAAACAAAGGCCCTGCGGCCCCACCGGACGGAGACACACGCACAGAGAAAGAGAGAGAGAGAGAGGCACACGTCAGCTCCTGTGCAGGAGGGACACTCATACAGCCGAGGATTAAGTGGAGCAGGCCGTCACCACTAATTAGGCTGACGGGGCTGAGTGTGTGTGCGCGTGTGTGTGTGTGTGAGAGAGAGAGAGAGAGAGAGAGACAGAAAGAGAGAGAAGCATCTGATTATGTGTGCAAAGTGGATTATGATTATGTTTACGCACCACAATGTTTCTGATTACATTAAAATGACATCATGTGTCTATTGTAATCCAGACAAAACAGAGGAAAACATGTTTAAATGTAAGCAGTCAGGCTTTTAGGCCTTCAGAGGTCTAATCATTTCTGCGAAATAAAAAATACATTTCTGGAATTTTAATTCATTTTAAATTTAATATAATTACTTGTGTTTAAACTATGCAAATATTGTAGTAATTCTCTGATTGCATTGATAAGTTTTTGGTTAAAAAAAAAAATCAGGGGGATACATTTTTGAAATGACCAACAAAAATGATCCAATCAAGACTTTTTTCTACGTAGTGTTTACATGGATACACAGCCAAGCAAGCTCTCACAATGGCTATGACTTGAACTTAAGGCCAAATGTGTCAGATTAACCACAAACATTATTTAGAAGTCACAGTGAAATAAATCAATAATATTTTTATTTATAAATTCTGAGGAAAAAAAAAACATAATTTAAGGCTTTCTGGAAGTCCTTAATACATCACTGATAGGAGTATGAATGGTAGCCTGACTGATGCATTTCAGTCAGATGTTAGAAATGGACAACAGCGGCGGCAGCTCTATGCTGGGACTCTTAATTTAAGATACTACTAATTAAATATAAGTTAATGTCTGTAGCTGTAAGCTTAGCGCTAACATACTACTGGAATCCAATAAGGACACTAGCATTATCATAGTGGTGTTTTTTCCTCATTTCTGACCAAGGTTTCACATTTATGGCTCGAACTGAAAACCTAGTTCAATAGTCACAGGTTGCCACTGATTCTAGGGTAAATCACATCTTAAGGACATTGCATGCCGCACAGCACCACATAGCACATACAGTAAAAAGCATTGCTATGCTACATACATTACGTCACGGTAAGAGCACTGCATACACTCTTACTTACACGCATTTAATGAAAGTAAACATTCAACATAATTTAATACCTCTGCTTTCTAACTTCTCACAAACTCACTGTTTGAAAAAACAAAGGCTAGTAGTGTTAGCTGAGGTAACATACCATTAGCATTTGTCTGCTTATCTAAAAGACTGACTGCCTTCCTCTGTGTACATTTTAAGCCACGTGTCTATTATTGATGTCTTTCTGTAGTCTTGATTTGGCTTTACTTCAGTGTAGTTAAACAGTTTTTTATGGAGCACTGGACATAACAACAGTGGTAATTGAAACCTTGAGTTTCATTTCTTCTTTAAAAACTGCTAAGCTCTAAAATAAGCTGTATTTAATAGGAGCCCTTCACTTAAGATGATTCTTTTAAAAGTACGCTACTAAGCTTAAACTACTCAAACACTCTACTACCCCACAGGAAGAAACACCAGTATGGGTTGAGCACTATTTCAGGGCAGATTCGTTACAAGGTTGGATCAGATTCACATTTTACTTTCCCTCTGATGTTCAATCCAGCATTTACTGCTGCAAATGCTGATACCTGGATCGGTGCCATCTCTACTCGTAATACATTTTAACAGAAAATCAGCTGCAATATCTAAAGTAAATCTGTACATTTAGGTCGCATGTTACCATTTTATCTCAAAGGAAAAGTTGTTTCTGTTTCATTTTGTGAAAATCCAGCAGACAGTAAAGACCAGATCATTTCATATGGTAAGGGTTTTTTTAACCACATATTGTTTTGATTACATGGCATCTAAGGTTAGGAGCATGGAAAAAAGATCAAAAGTAGACACAAAGCTTCAGACTCTTGTCATCTTATAGTACTAGAACATTAGAGGCACTGAGTTGGTTTTCTCACAGTAAAATCTCTGCCTTAAAACAAAAATTCTAGGCTAATGTGTGATTTCCATGTTTAAATCAACCACTCATCACATTTTAGATTCAGATTTAAGAAGGAAAAAGATGACAGTAGATCAGATTAAACAGCTTTGGTAAAACTGCACTGAAAAAATTGCTTTTAATTTTGCCTTCTGTACATGGCTACAGCCCATCTGTTCAAGCAGAACATGTGCTAATTAATGCTTCATTGGGCCCTAAATATTGCCAGAACTTAATATTGAGCTGACATCAGTGATTACAGTTTTAGCCTACACCAGTAAAGGCCTGATACCATCCAGCAGAACTGGGCGATACTGATTTTCAATATCACAATGATTTCCAAATATAATACAGTACCAGGTCAGATCTTACAAGCCTGACTGAGTAATTTTGTTCTCTTTTCTTCTCTTAACACTAAAAGAAACCTTAATAGGGTTATGAAATATGGAAGTTTGGGAAGAGGACCACACCTGAAGCTCCCTAAATTCCTATAAATTTCCATTTCTACCTCAGTTTCCTGTGACAATTTTTTTCGCTCATCTCACTTCACCTCACCTCTTGGCTGGCTCGAATTTGCATGTTTCTCTGTTCAGGGCCAGTGATGTTGCCTCCAGATTGGGGTGACAGAGCAGCACTCAGGGCAACTAGAAACAGCCTCACCACCAAGGCTTCATATGCACTGAAAATACAGAAACACTTCACAACCAACAACTCACAACGTATGTGGCAGGGCATTCAAACTGCCACTGACTACAGGGGGAAGAATCACCTTGCCCGCACCAACAACGCTGCCCTCCCGGATGCTTTAAACAATTACTATGCTTGTTTCGAAGCATCCAACACTGTGCCAGCAGTGAGGATCTTGCCTCCCCCGGCGACCAGGTGCTGTCTGTGAATGCAGTAGATTTGAGGAGAACCCTGCTAAAGGTAAACCCATGAAAATCTGACAACATTCCTGGACATGTGCTCAAGGAGTGCACTTATTAGCCAGCTGCTGTCTTCACTGATGTCTTCAACATCTCCCTGGAGCTGGCTGCTGTTCCAACATGCTTCAAATCAGCCACCATCACCCCAGCGCCAAAGTTGTCGTCTGTCACAAGCCTTAACGTCTACTTAGTCGCACTAACCCCAACTGTCATGAAGTGCTTCAAGCGGCTGGTCGTGGCACACATTAAGGAATCAAATCCATCAAAACTGGACCCCACCAATATGCCTACAGGCAAAACCGCTCCACTGAGGATGCCACAACTACCGCCATCCACTTAGCCTTATCAAACTTTGACAACAGTCTTATGTTAGAATACTGTTTATCGACTTCAGCTTAGCATTCAACGCCATCATACACAAGGAACTAGTCAGCAAACTCCACTCACTTGGACTAAGCTCATCTCTCTGTAACTGGGGTCTAGACATTCTTGAGCATCAGACCTCAGACAGTCAGGATACTGAGTCAGGGTACCGAGTCTGCTGCCGTACATCCTGCTCACCTACAACCCAACATCAGAGCAATAGTATTATCAAGTTTGCTGATGACCCTACAGTTCATCTCCAACAAGAATGAGACCGGAGGTCTTGTGCATGGACAATAATCTCTCTCTAAATAAGACTAAAGAGATGACTGCAGACCTCAGACAGACACACGCTCCTCTGCACATCAGCAGTACAGCACTGCAGACAGTGCACAACTTCAGATTCCTGGAAGAGCAGATCACTGACAATCTCTCCTGGTCCTTGAACACCCCCTCCTTAGTGAAGGACTGTGTCTCTACTTCCTAAGGAGACTAAAGAGGGCTGGCCTGCTCAAGTTCATCCTCAACCTTCTACAGAAGCAACACAGAGAGCGGAGATGGACCGATCAGTGTTTTTAAGTCCACGAGGTCGGCCGATAGCCGATACCGATTGAGGGCTGTTATTTGAACTCAGCAACAAAATAAATACTCCCATCCCTTCAGTACTCCTTCAGAAGCTTCGACCCCCAAATCCATGGACGCACATTTCCAAGGCTAATGACACTTTTTTTAGATCTTCGTGGCCATAAAACCCTTCGCAAACATTGTACGGACAAAAAAAACAGTGAACTGTCGCTACAACTGCTACTGCGAAGCTAACCAGTTGGTATTAGCAATCACAAATATTAGCAAACAATACTGACCTATTGGTTCTGTGAAACAGCAAAGTTAATGTTACAGAGCAACCTCCTCACCCCTTATCGTGCCCTTCACCTCTCAGTGAAGCTGAAGTTAGTTTCTTTTTTACAGCTTCTTGTTCGAAATTTCCCGTTCCACCTTAAATGGTGCAGCAGCTTCACTCTGGCGCCTCAGGTTAGCGTAGCCACCGAAATAGCCGGCGCAGCTAACAAGTCACAACAGTCCTCCTGTTTCGCTGATGGATTTTTTTTTAAAATACGACAAAAATGGCTGATATACAGTGGCTTTCTGTTCGCCAGCTTCTTGTTCAACTATTCCACCTTAAGTGGTGCAGCAGTTACATTCTGGCGCCTCAGGTAAAATATGGCTCATATGCTTTACGTCCCTGATCAGCTCTCAGGATCGGCTAAGTCAGAGAGATATCGGCCAATCTACGATCGCATATCTGGGCTGAAAATCGGCCGATACCGATACATATCGATCCTTCCATCCTGACCAGTAGCATCACTCTGGTATGGAAACTGCTCCGTCTCTGGTAGGAAACCGCTGCAGAGACTGGTGAAGACTGCCCAGTCCATCACTGGGCCTTCCAGCTTGCGGCTTCCTTGCCATGAAGGAAATTCACACCAAACTATGTAAAAGGAAAGCATCAGGAAGGATCCCTCTCATCCATTGCATGGACTGTTCACACCACTCCCATCTGAAAGAAGGCTAGGAACATTCAAGCCAAGTCCTCCAGACTTTACCTTCTGCACCCAGCCTCTGTTCTTTGTTGCAAAACCTTAATGCCACCCGCCTTACATCCACAGTCCCTTTACATCTGTACTTCGCCTGCAGTACAGCAGCTGGTCAGTTTTCTCCATTGTCTTGTGCTTAACAGTTGTACACTTGTATATTGTACAGAAGGGTTTATAGTGTTTTTACAGTTTGTCTCTGTGATATGTATTGTCTGTCTGCACGATTGTCTCCTGCTGTTCTATGTTAAATGTAGCACTGTGTCCTGTAGAAACTACATTTCATTCCTCTCTCAACACAACTGTGATGAGAAGAAATGACAATAAAGCTAAATTTGACTTTTCTTCCCTGTTCCGCAGTCCTATCTGGTCATCAAGGGTGGTTTGGCCTTCTAGCTTGAAGCAGAGGCTGCCCAGAACTCGAGCCTGAGGTCCTCCCCTCATACAACCTCTCCTCATACTACAGCCAACTCACGAACACGGTACTGTAAATGTTAACCAGACAGAAAGCACATTTCCAAAAAAGGGAGCTTACTATTTTGAACTGTCTAAATCACTCACCAAATGACACACATTGCACTTTTTATTGTCTATCAAAATCACTAAAACTAAAATCAACGTTGATATCTATACCGCTATACTGGTGAAATGATATATCAGCCAGCACTATCACTGAGCATCCCTAATCTGTGTAGCTAAAGTGGAAGGAGGGGCAGGAAAAAGCAGGCGATATGATCTAAATCCTGCACTGAAGAGAATGTGGAGCTCAGCACCAGCAGCTCTTCCCTCCACAGTTCACAGCCTTTCTCTGACTGTGCATGTGTGAAAACAGACCACGGTACCGGAAATAAGTAAGCAGCATTGCTGCAAGATGCAGCAAAACACTTTTGGAGCGACCCTGAAACCAACTACATTCACGAAAAAATTAAGGATTTGAATATTCTTCATCTTCTAGATGATGTATGTTCATTTTTTCAGGTAAAGTAACGATGTTTTTAAACAAAAGCTGCAGCATAAAAGTTTGAGTTTTATGTTACATTTACATCTTCTGTGAGTTTATTGGCTGGTTGCAAAGTAGAAATGCGATTTCTACATGACTCATGTAGACCTGGAGTTTCCCATTATCTGATTACTCAAGTGCACATAAATGCGTTGATCGGATTACTGACAAAATCTGATTTTCTGCAGTTATCAGATTATTAGTGCATGTAATCGCACTTACTGATGATGTGCCCAAAAATGCACTTACAGAGATACCTGTACAACTAATAATAACAGCAACACTTTTTCTTCCAGTAACTCTGAGACGGTTCTTAACACTAAAGCACAGTTCAGCAGAAGTTAGTTGTATATCATCATCTTTAATTTGACCACAAAACTGTAAGTAATCTAGTAAGAATGCTGTGGTGTCTGTAGTCGCTTAGCTTAGTCTGATTTTATGGGACATGATATTGTTTTTCCTGAGAAGTTGTTTTGTCTGACATCTGAACCCTGATACTATGGCCTGAATGTTCTAAAAGCTACACCATAACATAAGTAGCTTTTTGTACAGGCATGATATTGTATCTGCCTGCAGCACTGACCATATTCAACCAGCGCAGCTCAATAGCGTTGTGTGATACCAGGTGTGGTACCAGGTGTGGTATTAATGTCACAATATGTTTAAAAGTTATATTCACATGTGCAAATACTAGTGTCTTGATGTGGTTTGCATGAAATAAACCAATTAATGAATTTTATTAATCATAATTAATTAAAATAAAATTTTACGCTCATGCCAGGCTGTTAGGTTGTCACTGGGCACAGGCCTAGTGTAATGATGGTGGTCTGATGTACCTCTGGCTGTGCTGAGTGTGTTCACAATCATGGAGAGATATCCCAGAATCCCAGTCACTGTCATTCAGCACACCTGTGGAGACATACATTTAAAATGTCAAAAACACTGTCCAAGACAAACTTCAAACTAAGGCTGGAATATATTGTTATTGTGATATTGTCCTTTGTAATACTATCACAGAACACTGTGATATGCAAATGAGCCTCTAATACATCATATTTTTTTTTTTTTACTGTGTGCTATGAGCAATTTGACCAATCACTGTTCAGTATGTGGACACTTGACCATTACACTATATGAGCTTACTGGACATCCCATTCCAAAACCATAGGGATCAATATTAAGTTAATATTCATTAATATTAAATTCACCACTCAGCAGCCACACTCTGTGAGTCTGCCTGGTCTACTGATTCGTGACTGAACAGTTTTTGCTTCCAGAAGCATCCATTTCACAGTAATAGCACTTACAGTTGACCAGGGCAGATCTAGCAGGGCACAAATTTCATTGTTGCCACATTTAAAGTCACTGAGCTCTTCAGTATGACCCATTCTACTGCCAGTGTTTGTTTAAAGAGACTGCATGACTATGTGCTTGTTTTTATACCCTGTTAGCAATGGGTGTGGCTGAAACACCTCAACTCAATAATTAGGAGGGGTGTCTACCCTATATTTGGTCAGTGTAGGTGGGCAACAATTTTATGAAATATGAAATCTTGTCTGTTCCAATATATCAAACCTCAGAAAAACTACATATCGTCCATTTTCTTAATTGTGAAAATGATTTAAACTACCGAGACCTTATATTTTTGAAAAATCACTCACTTCTAGGCCAAATTAATGCAGGCCAGTCTTTGACCACGTCACATTACTGATTCACTAATGTGCTTTTTTAATGCAAGGTGTATTACAATCATAATATGTCACAATACAGCCTTATGCAATACAAGCATACTGTGCAGCTATAATTCAAACCACTGTCTACAGTACAGAACACTCCTCTTGCGCTTATCTGCGCTAACCAATTTTCACGCAACAAGGTTTGGGGATAAATCTCCATTACGGTTCAGCCAACAAGCTGGAATTTTTCTTATGACTCACATTTACTGGTGCATTCTCAAGCATGTTCTTTTTAAATAAGTCACTTAATTCACTGCGTGCGTCACGTCTCTGAATTTAGGCTGAATTTGTACAGTTGACCTCCAACATGCAAGTTACTATGTGACTCTGTACATTAATGAATAACTAAAGGGAATATGTTGTTCATTTTCCTGGCACTGTAGTGGCCTCATGCAGCCAGTGCTGTCACTATTAATTGTATTATTAAGTACCAATTATTTTGATTATTAAATATTCTTTGATGATGATTAAATAGAGGTTTTAAAAAAGGCCAAACAATAAAAATGGACATAAATGAACAATTACTAACCATGCATATCCCTTCTAAAGTTCCAAATCACTTTTTTGGAAAAAGATAAACAACAGAAGATAAACAATGCAGCGCTATGGGTCTGAAAGGATGTCTGGCCACAGTGAATACTGAAAAAAATATATATTTTATGTCATTTTTGAGCTTTCTGTGTAATTTTCTTTTAAATATATGTTTTGTGCTCTTTTCCTGATGCTGAAAACTGAATAATATCTAAAAGTCTCAGGACCACAGAGTGAAATATTAAAAACGTTTGTATGATACTAAACCTGAGTATTATATTAAACATCTAGAAAAGCTTGAATGAAAAACATAAGATAAAAAGATGATAAAACACAGTTTTAAAATCCTTGGTCAGACCTATCTGAGAACGGTGTGGGCGTGGCTAATGAGCAGCTTGATTGACAGCTCTCTGTCCAACACTCCTAGCATGCTCCGCCCCTCATACAGAACTAAAATCATCACCCAGCTTTTATGTGACCATAACTGGACGAACAGACATACAGATGAACAGATGGACAAACAAACAAATGGATGGACGAAGCAATGCATAAATGAAAGAACGGACAAACGAACAATGTCTGTGTATGGATAAATGAATGAACAGGCGACAGACAGCTGCAGACAGGTGGTCTAGCTTGCTAGCTGTTGGTTATGCTGGGTTAGCTTCAGCCTTAAGTCACTTTGACTCTGAAACCATTTTGTGTGGGCGGGGCCAGAGACGCCAGCCTTGCGAATGGTCAGGGGAATGCTTATGGAAGCGTTACCCAAGACTAGGACTGCCCAGTTTACATCCAGAGGAGAGAAATATGGTGAAATATATTGGCCATTTATTGGTCACTGGAACATTATTCAAAGTTTAAACTTAGTACATGTTCACTGTTCACCTACAAAAACAAGATTAACATAATTAGAAAGAAAACAGATTTTGGAAAACAGATTCCATTTTGACTGAATAGAAAATCAATAAATGATTGATGAGTGTTTCCATCAGGCTATGTTTTTTACTGTAAGAGAGGAGGATCATTTAAAATATGCACTATTATCATCAATTTATTTTAATCGCGTAACTGCGATGGTCCTGCTGCACCTCTATAAAACTCCTATGCTACTTTTAGATTCGCTGTTTTTTATCCTGCAGCAGAGCAGCTGTCTGTCAAACCTTTAATTAGTGGGCATCAGTTTGCATCCACATCTGGCAGTCTAAATCCGCCATGTTATCTCCTGTTATCTCCCTCTCCCTGTGTTCTCTTCATCTGACAGAGCTATCCATCTCATCTGCATCCTGTTTAATCCCTGTGACTCTCATTCTCATCCTCCAGCTGCCGCCTGTCTCTCTGACTCTCCACACTTGCTTCCGTGACTCCCATTTCAGGTTGGGGTGCTTCAAAATCATATAATCTTACGTAAGATTAAAGTGAATGGTAAAATAAAAAAATCAGGACAAAACAATGTTTCACACATAAAAACAGAAAAACAATCTCAGTCCTGTGCCCTGCGGCCTTCAACACCTGTCACTTGAGCTCAGATAATTCCTGAATGTCACACCTGCCAACATAGAGGATGAAAGAGATTTAGCAGACACTTCTCACAAAACAGGCAGAAGTATCAGTGTCACTTGATAAGGTAACAGGTTAAAATGCCAAGGCTGAGTAGTCACATGCGTAATCACATGTGCCAAGTTGTACCTTAAGAGGCTGATTAAATTCATTGCTTCGAAGACTTTTTTGTTAGCTACTCCTCCAGTGTGCGGCGGCAGAGAGTCTGTCTGTGCTTCCTTTTCGAAGTAAACAACCAAAACATAAGATACAGGTTCTTTCATTGCGCTGGTGGAGTATGGAGTTCAGACATTTCATGGTTTTTCAATATGAGAATGAATAATGTTAGAAGCAAAGTTGCGTATCAAAAAAAATTATTTTACTATTAGATTTTTAAATCAGAAGGAGACCAGTAACAGACCCGAAAAAAGCCGTTCATTTGAATTTGCTGCCGGGAGAGTTACCCTCCATCCCCATTAGCAACAGTAACATTTTCTTAGGTCTAGCATGTGGAACTCAAGCTTTCCGTGTGCTTCTGTGTTTCCTGTCACTGCATAGAAGATGCAAGAGGCTTCCTTTCTTGTAGGATGCACATGATTTTTTTTCCTGAGTGAACATGCAAACTCATTCAGAAGAGAATTCAGGTCAGTAAGCTCTTGTTATCTACTATCTTCAATCTTTTGAAATAAAAGAGTTTGTTTCACTATGTAAACACGGTTAAAGTTTCAAAAAGTACCATTCACTCCCGAGTCCATATGGTCTACATATAGAAATGAAGCTGCCGAAACATCCTTGAATTCAATGTTTTTCTGATATCATGACATTTAGTCCATACTGCACATTACATATTTAACCTACAGCAGTTTATCCCTCCTGTTCACACTGAAGTTATAAGGAGTGTTTCAGCCCAGACTGCATCTTGAATTAGGCACAATACAGGACAGCCAATCAGAGCAGTGGTCATGTACATATACCAGTCTTAAAGGTATATGTAATAAAGAATTATGAGTGTTTTTGGTGCAAAAAAAAACATGACGTAATATGTGGACCTTAGGAGAAAAAAATAAAATAAAAGTAAATAGTAGGAAGACTTTTAACCCCTTAAATCTAAAGGCCCTGCATTATTCTCTTTCATAATGACATAACTTACACATTATGTCTATAGATGTTAGCAAGTAATTCATAGTCGTGACTGAATATGAAGTCTTAAGATTAATAACTGACTAATAAGCCTAGAGCCCAGTCTACACTCTTAAAAACTGTTTTTTCAAGGCTTCTTTAGTAAAGAAAATGGGTCTATATAGAACCATGAACACTCAAAGAACCCTTTGCATGATTAAAGGGTTCTTTGCATCGTGAAAGGGTTCCCCAGATTGAGGAAGAATGTGCTGTAGATGGCTCTATATAGAACTTTTGAAATTGGTTTCATATAACACCAAAAAGGGTTCCATTATTGTTACAAGTTAAGAACCCTTTTTGCTGGGAGTAGACAGTTAGGCTGTACCTCTATGCATGTTCTCCAGCTTCTGCTCCGTAACTGGGGCCTGATGTCCATCGCTGCTTTTACTCTGAGCTTTCTGAAGCATTTGTCTTAGGATGCTCCGGTTCATCTCCACCCTCTCAGCCAAAGATAGTGAGCTGACGCTGCTGCACACGCTCTCTAGACTTTCAGCACGCCAGAGTCCACTCCCTATGGGCTCCACTGGGGCTGTCCTGCTGTGCCCACAGGTGTGGAGGGGGCTTTCCAGACCAACGGACTTGTGCAGCTCTTCTTGTACACCAGAATCTGTCTTCATGAGCCCATCTGAAGCTTCTCCATTCAGCAGCAGTGTCTCCGGCCTGGTGACCCTCCAAAAGCCCTTGGGTGGAGCCCATGGTTTGTTACAGGAGGAGGATGGAAGGTCTTGTTTGGCATCACAGATGTTGTCATCTTGCGCGATGTTCTCCAGACTCGCTCCTTCTCCAAGTTCTCGTGGGAGGGCTAGCAGGGCAGGGTTGAAGTCATCTTCATTGGAAAGCACCACTGGAGGTTCTTGAACACCGTGGAAGGTAAGAGTCTGGGCGTGAGGCTCCGTGTCTTCATCACTGCTGCTCGATCCCCAAGTAAGAGGACGTCCCAGCATGTAAGATCCAGGAATCACCTTCTTTTCTGGGCTCTTTTTGGACGGTTGCTTCCAGACAGCCTTGCGCTCAGACAGGGCCTTCACCTTGGACTGCAGGGCTGATACAGCAGAGCCCTGTGAGCAGGGTGGGTGTGGCTGGGTGTGAGGGTATGTGGATGAGGAACTGGGAGATCCAAATTCCAGGATGGAGTTGCATGGACCCTTATCTTCAAGTTCCTGTGGTTCTGGTCTGTCTTCCAGCTGGGAGTCATTGTGCTGGGAGGCAACAACCACAGGCTTGTCGTCCTCATCCCCAACCACTTCCTCCATGGTCCATTCAGAGAGTCAGGTGACTGTTATAGAACCTATGGAGACAATAGGAAACAAGAGCATGGCAAAGTCATTCGGTGGTTTCAAGTTTCTACATGAACAGTTACTGTATAACAGCAAGCTTAGGATTTATCACCTATGAAGTCTATACATTCAGTAGCTAATTGGCTTCCAGTGCTTACAATGCATTCTCAGTGCAATCTAGATAAATGTAGAGAATGAGCAGCTGCCACACCAAAGCTCTGCCATTATGCAGACGCATAGCGCATAGAAATAAGAACAAACACAACAACATTGTGACACAGTGAATTGTCATGCAAATCATATAGCAACGCACAGTCCCTGCACCCTGCCATAGAAAAGACGCTCAGTGTTGTCATAGTAACGTGAACTGAGACTCTCCACAAGCTCCACTCATCAACGATGCACTGCAGATTAAAGAGATACATTATCTTCTTTTCTGCCATTTATTCAGTCTTATAATATTTCAGTGGAGTTCCCCTTTAGCAGGTTAGACTAGAATTGAATTGAAATCAACTGAATTGAATTGAATAGAAAATAAGAATGAGATTTTTTGCCTAATTAACCAGATGTTTTAACTAATTCACCAGATGTCCAAAATAGCGTTCCATGTCTCTAAAAGCTCCCTCACAGAAAGACATTATACAAAATTGTTATGAATACATTACTTGATGTCTGCTATTGTGTTACGATACTTTTCAGAGAAGGTTTTGTACTAAAACATATTTTCTAGGATCTGTTTATGGTGGAAAGGTACATGCAGGGAGTTGAAAGTCAAAATAATACCCCATGAAAACTTGCTGTTTGCTGATTTACTGCTATTTTACAATCACTACATATATAAAACTCAAAAAAATGTGTTGGTTCACTGGTCATTTTGGATAGTAACCCAGATAGCAGACATTTTTGGGCCAATTCTGGCTTTCCTATGTGAGTGTTGGTTGACTACCAGGTAGATGTTAGGCATGCAGGCCAGAATAGTGTCAGATCCTGGACAGCTTCGTACCATTTTGCCTCGTGTCTACATTTGTGGGACAATTCTGGCATGAATATTGTGGACCAACAATGTAGTTGGGCCAGATAGGGGCCAGATTTGGGCCATATCCTTAAGCTCTACTCACTCTACAGTGTGTGGGCCAGATCTGGGCTGAGGACCCAGCCATATACTGGGCCAGAACAAAAAAAGGATGTGGCCCACAAGTGAGTCAGACAAATTTTGCTAACTGGGAAATAGCCAGTAAATTTATCTACAATGCAGTTTTCATAATAAATCATTCTGAATTAATTTATTTACATGTCAAGGATTAAATTATGCATGAAAAATCAGTGTCATTCCCCTTTAATTACGACAAGCATACAATTTGTTTTAGCAATATGAAGTATGACAGCCAGCTTGCAAGAACATCCAGGACGTGAGCATCCAAAATACAAGGAAGTGTGCAAACAGAACATACAAGACATAAATTCATTTCAACATATCTGCTCAAACCTCAGACAAATGGGTTACTGCTCACATTATTTCCAGTAGCACACAGATATATAGAAAGCACAAGACTGTCTGGACATGAAGTACATATTAAGTGTATAATTTTATTATAGATAACATGAGCTACTTGAATAAGGAATGAACACATGCTCAGTATCCTGCACATCATTAAAATGCACCACTTAATGTGCTGCCTCTGAAGTCTCAGTGAACTCAGCGGTCTAAGCTATATGACACTGATCTGTTTACTATGGAGAACCAGTGGAGTTGCATGTAAAAATCTCATCAATCTTCAATGAAGTTTACTATTCTATATACAAAATGTCAGCAATATTTCCATGTGCATCCACACAAATACAAACCTGGCCCAGTGTTACATACTCCTCAAAACAGCCATATCACCTCCAACCCTTAATATTTCCCAAAACAAATTAATTAAAAATATATATGTTTTAAGTCTCTCTGTATTGCTGTGAGTCAGCATGATCTGTTGGTTTGACCACACCTTGAAGGCCTGAAGTGATATGCAGCCCAACAAACCACAAATATGCAACTAAAATGCTAGATACTGAAAGATGAATTTTATTTCCAAGCCAGAGGAAAGTAATTTAATAACACTTTGAAAAGTGCACTTTAGATTAACTGTATATATTTAATTTACCCTTTTATTTTACATTTAACTAAATATCCATTAAATTTACCTTAATTTTCCCAAACCATAAACCTAATCCTAATCCTAACCTTAACCTGTTACCCTGGTCCATGGTGCATCCTAACCCTAATCCTAACACTGCTAAGAATCTAATAGGCCTGTCACAATTACTACACATTCACCTAATTGCAATCCCAGCTTGAGAAAACAGCATAGACCAGCATATGATGTGTTTTGGAGACTGGTATGCATGACCATGCTGGGTGACCAGCTAAACCGGCACCAGGCCAGCACTAGACCAGCATAAACCAGCATAGATGTTTTTTTTCAGCAGGGATTATTTGGGATGACTGCAGTAATTTAAGATGACTGTAATCATTTTCCAAAGTCATTCGATTTCACAATCATATCATGCCACAACGAGAAGAATGTGAACTGGGTGTGTTGAGTTGAGGCAAATAAATGTAAATTCATTGCAACACATTATGGATCTTATGAACACAAGAGAAGTTCTAACTTCTAACTTGGTGCTATAACACATATAGAAGGAAGCGCTTGTTTATTAGCTATGTAGCTAAAGGTTTTTAGCATGTCTGCTAGCAGCATGAGTGTCAGTATAGCCAGCATTAGCTACTAAGTAAATATAGCTTGGAACCAAGATTGCTAATTAGCCAGTTTGGTCACTTTAGGCTTGTACTGTAATAGCTGCATATAAAATACAAGACAATTAAATTGTTACAGTTATTTATTTGGCAAATTAATCATCAGCTAATATTTTATGACTGTGGCAGGCCTATCAACTAAGTGTAATTCACAATCAGATAATTTCACATAATTTGAACAAATTACTGTAAGAAAGAAGTGGCCATACTGCGGTCCCCGGATGCCCTGCTAGAAAATCAAGCATAGGCCAGCATGGCTGGTCACCAGCAAAACCAGCATAGGTTGTGTTTTGGATGCTGGTCAGCAGCAATGGAAGTTGACATGCTGATCAACAACAAAACCAGCACATGTTATGTTTTGATGCTGGCATGTTGGCCAGTCAGCATGATTGTACTAAAGAACAAGACCAACACTAGGCCAGCATAAACCGGCATACACTGTCTCAGACCAGTATGAAATGTTTACAGGTTTGTGCTGGTTTCCTCAGCAGGGTGGTTTCTGATGCTACTACACACACACACACACATATATGTGTATATATATATATATATATATATATATATATATATACATATATAAATATATATATATATAAAACCTCATATCTCCAAAATGAGAACTTCACATGAGAAGAAAAAAATTACTTTACTTTTAATGTAAGTCAATGGAACCAGACATTTTTCCAAGTCATTTTGGGCTGTTTCTATTGGTTCATTCATCATGAAATTTACACATTCCATAGATCCCTTAGTATCAGTATCATTCACAAAACATTCATACTGATTGGGCCTTAATAAGAATGGTTTGCTGTTTGCAGCCACATACTGTACTTTACCCTGATTATAGAAAGCAGACAGCTTTAGCATTTAACTAGAGTTAAAGATCTCTCACAGCATGATGTAACATGAGCTTAATACGACCAAATGACTGGATTTCCCTTCAGAGTCGAAGAATGAAAACTGTTCAGTTGCCAGAATGATGCTAGTGTAATTAGCAAAAAGAAAACTACATGTGGATCTTTGTTCTTTGCCATAATGACTTACAGTTACTGAAGTAGTCAAGAAGAAAGAGAAACATACAGAGACAAATGTAGACTGAGGTAAGAAGTTAACGCATGACTGAGTTCTCTGAGAAACTAATTTGATTTAATTAGTCTCCTACTAATTAGGACTCCCTATCGCTCAGGCTAGCTTATCTCCTCCGGGGGAGCATCCGCCAGCCCATGCTGAGATACACCCCGCTGAGTGCCGAGTCGTCAAAATTCACTCTACCATGTTCAAGATGGATCATTCTGTGTGAATACACATATAAAATCTTTAGGGAGCCATAATAATGGTTTAGATCTTCAGAGAGCATTGTAAGCATGACATCAAGGCCGCAAAGAAGTGTGGTTCTTCGTTGACCAAAGAGCACCGAGTACTCATGTAGTGGTCAAACAACCTTATAATGAAACAAGAAAAAGTATCAGTTCTGGAAAACCAACAAGAAGAACAGAGCAAGGCTGAAATAGCTTAGCTTTGTGCCTTAAACAGAAGCATAAATGCAAGAACTCTTTCTCAACATGTCAGGATTATCTCTGGAACTAATGAGCCCATTTCAAAGGAATTCAAACACAAACAGGGCAACCAAAGTTTCTCCCTTTCTCCGTCTTCTCCTTCACCAAACCCAGATCTGTCCGCTGCCCTGCAAGATTTCGACCACTTACGAACACCGATACAGAAATGAAGGCCTGCTATAGTAAATTACTTTCTTAACCCCTTAAAATCCCAGGCTTATTTCATACTAAGGCTTATTATTCAGTAACCACACTGTTAGAATTAAAGGTTCTGTACAGGTACACTTTTTGTTTATCAAGGTACAAACAATGTAAATGCACCCTCAGTGGTTTAAGGTCCAGTTGTGCACTTTAAATATGTTTTTCCCAGGTGAAAAGTTCATATTTGTACCTTTTCATAACCGAATGTTTTAAAACAGAACAATAAAATAAAAAGCCTGGAGACGAGACGGGGTGTGTGGAATCAGTACAGCTCAGAAAATATCATTTCAGTGGATTATGGTACAGTTATGTTCCCTGACTAAAGGTACTGAGATGTAGCCTTGAGGAGACCATCCCAGTGACAGTTTCATACCTTTATTTATGAGAGTTTACAGGGACTTCAATGCAAACTGGCTGAGCTATTCTTAGATTATAGAAGTGTGTAATAAACCATTGGGCCTGCCAGTGGGCCTTGGCCATTTAAGGGTTTAAAATTCCCCAAAATGACCGAGGGACACTGTCTGCTCAAGGCTGAAGTCTCTCACAGTGTGAACTTCACCAGCACAGCAGCTTCTGCTGAAAAGCCTTAGGGTGCTGACCCTTACGCCAAAGGGCCCAATGCGTCAGACAGGGAATAAAACAGCCCCCACAGCGAGAAGCGGATCTTTTGGGGCCATTTAGACTAACAAATCTATTTGAACTTTATTCAGTAATCAGTAGGATGGGCAGTAAATCAAAAACAAATAGGCTGTTGTCAGCTTTAGCATAAGCCTCAAAATAACCTAGCTATGTTGTCCCTCTGGTAAGTGGGTTGTAGAGCATTTATCCGGGCCTAAACAGAGTAATTTCAATGCATAATACTATGCATATGATAAATAAACATGGAAGCTAAAGCTGGCAGTGAAACAACTGAATATGAGGAAAAACAAATGGCATATTTCAGCATCTTACCTCATTCTGTCTGTTGGTGTATGTTCATCTTGACCTTGAGCTTCATCTATAACAGTCCAGTGTAATGTTTAAAGTTAATCAGTCTATCTACAAAGAGTCAACCATCAGCAGCCAAACAGTCCAGATTTAACTTTAAGCCACAGTCTTTGTGCTTTCTTTCTGTTTCTATCCCTCCTTTGCTCCAGCTGTTTTGGAGGCAGCTCAAGCTTGGCTTGAAACACTCCCACGACTGAACATGATTTCCCAACTGTCTCCTCCCTTGCTTCCACCATCTACCCTCTTCCACAATCACCTCTCCGGAGCTCCAGCACATGGGCAGAAACTGACTGTAAGAGATCCACATGTATAAAAACTCCTGTGTTGCTCAGGAGACAGTTATGACCAGCTTTGAAAGGGATAGGCTGAAGGAAGGACAGCAATGAAAGTCTATTGGTGGAGCTGCCAGAAAGGTCAGCCCCTAGTGGGTGGGCTGTAATCCTACCCTTCAATCTGAGGGGGGAGAAAAGAAAGAAGGAATCTTAAACGGAGAGGAAAGGAAGTGCAGACGTCTCCAGGCACATATTCCAGCTGCCAAGGAATTTCCTTTGTTGATTATGAATTCGGACTTGACTGATTCATTGTGGTCTGTCACTTCTGCGCCTCTATGGGCTTCACACTGGAACCATAACTGAACCTGTGCACTAAAAACACATCCAGCAACCTGCTGGAAGTGACATTTGAGGAACATTTTGTTTATTATCGGAACTGGAAGACGTATGCGGTCTCTGATCCGCGGCCTGCTCTGAAGCAAGGCCAGATATAACAGAAAACAGAGTTGGGCTTGGTCTGCAGTCGGATCCAGTGATGCAAAAACAGAGACACCCTCGTCTGAAACCTGACTTTTGACTGAGAGGCCTCATGAAAAATGCTTGTTCTCTCCCCTTGAAACAGACTCAACATTCCATCAACTTTGCTCCGGTTAATGTGTCAACTGCCCACTCATAACAAGAACCAGCCCTGTTCACTCTCCTCTGTGAGAGACTTTTGCACAAAGTGTTACTCAAGTGGGCCGCATACTGTGAAATAGACCTTTTTTCTGTTTAAGCAGACTCTAAGTACATGCTAAATGGCTAACAAAAGTGTTCCAAGGCCTTCAAAGACCCACTGCTGCTCAGAAACAAAACCAGGTCTTGATACAATACACGAAGGTAAAGAGCTTTCAGCATGACATAGCAAAGCCCTGACTTAAACTGGCTTGTTGACCAATGATGAAACCACGAAATGCTTTTGGGTAATAGGATTAAATGTGTGACTAAAACAATACACAATTTCAGTCTTTCTTTCTTTCCTTCTGTCCATTTAAACAACAAAGGCTTTAGTGTATTTTCCAAATGAATAAAAGTACCATATTTTCTGCCGAGTTAGCATTACCTTTCAGTCAGCAGTTTCCATGGATTTAGGGATGCCCATCCAAATAAGAAGCAAAGTTTTCCATGATTCTCATTTGTTCCTCCTGACAGCTACATTTTTGACCAGTTCATTAAAAGCTCAGCACTGACAAGCTGAGAGGTCTTCTCACATCTATCCATGCTCTGGCACACTGTCCCCCTGGAGGTCGACAATTGGGTTTGCGAGGTTAATCTGTTCAAAAAATCAAGCGGATTAAGACAAAATGAAATCCACTATGGCCAACCACTGGCCACACAATGTCGCATAAATCGCTGCAATCTGGGGCCTGTTGGCCTGGGCTGCATGGGTGAATGAGGTTTGGATGAGATTACTTTGACCAGAGCTGAAATGAATTCAGCTTTGCCAACTGACTGGTGATGTCATCCATGAGTGTGAGCTCAGCTGTGGAAAAGAAAAATAATATAAAAGTCTTAGGAAGTATTGCATCATGTTGCTGTACCATGGCAACTACATTTTAAAAGATTTATTTTGCCTGGCACCTTTTGGAAATGCCCACTTTTTTATAGGTGGAAGTCAGAGATGTTTAGGCTTTTTGCATGTGTTTATAATAAGCAAGGAGACGTAATTTAGATTTTGACCCCTGTGCTACTCTAAATCATGTATGGTCAGCTCTCTGATGTTTTAAACTGATCGGTCAGTTGATGGGTGTATTTTATTAACTCAGTAATTTTGAACAGGCCTAATTACTAAAGAGATAAAACTGCTCCATCTAGTGGTCAGAGAGGCAAAGTACTCGTGACCAGTTACTATGATGTTCAACACAGATACAGAGAATCTATCTATCTATCTATCTATCTATCTATCTATCTATCTATCTATCTATCTATCTATCTATCTGTCTGTTGGTCTAACTATCTATCTATCTATCTATCTGTTGGTCTATCTATCTATCTATCTATCTATCTATCTATCTAGCTAGCTATTTGTTGGTCTGTCTGTGTGTCTGTCTGTCTGTCTATCTATCTATCTATCTATCGGAGAAAGCATCAGCATGGCAGTGCGCTAGCTAAAGTAGTAAAAAGCTAATTTAGCTTCTCTCTCTCTCTCTCTCTCTCTCTCTCTCTCTCTCTCTCTCTCTCTCTCTCTCTCTCTCTCTCTCTCCCCGCCCCACCTCTTTCGGTAAGTCAACAAACAAAATACATTTCCCAGCTTCCCCAGCCACGCCACGCCTACATCCGGGTATGAAGCAGCTGATCCTGACGACGTCACTCCGCTCCACAGCAGAAGCTCGTCGCTGATCAACAGAGCGAGTGGGAGGGTAAAGAATTTATTCACTATTTACATTATTATCGATGTTAAATAAGAGCTCATATTCAGATAAACAGATTCAGGTTACGTTTATCCAAAGACGAACGTGTTTTTTGTCGGTCTGCACAGCCGCGAAGTGTCTGCTTAGCAGAGTTAACTGTTAGGTTAGCTTTAGCTAGAAACACCGAGAGAGCAGAACGAACTCAGGACTGTCAGGGCTATCAGGACTGTCAGGACTGTAGGACTATCAGGACTGTAGGACTGTCAGGACTATCAGGACTGTCAGGACTGTAGGACTATCAGGACTGTAGGACTGTCAGGACGCTGCTGAGACAGAACTGAGTATTAATACACAACATAAAGGTGACTGTTAAATATCCACTTTACAGGTGAGCCGTTTTTCAAGTATGGCGTTTGTTAAAAGCGGATGGCTCCACAGACAGAGTGAGTAACAAGTATTAATTCATATTGCTAAGTTAGTTTAATTATATTGTATATTATTATCCTTGTATCTGTAGTATTAAAGTTAGTGATGCCTAATCAATGTAATTCTTATATTTAATATTTATAAATGATTATTTAAATACCTTTTGTGTTACTTAAGTTGTCAATAACTTCAGCCTAAATTAAGATTTCCTTATTTTTTTTTTATATTTGTAGTCTCAATTAAGACTTCATTAATTACAGTTTGAAGTTCACAAGGTAAATCAAGATTTGTTTAGTGATGTTAGGCTTTGATGTTTGGTGTTTATAGCCTCAATCAGGAGTTCATTAATTACTTCTATCTTTGATGTTCCCATTGTCAGTCAAAGCTTCATTAATGGCTTTGACAAATTCCTAAACTGTAGCCTGCTATAGATTTTTACCCTAACCCTAAATTTTATTGTAGGCACCATCTTGCGGCGCTGGAAGAAAAATTGGTTTGACCTCTGGTCAGATGGCCGTCTTATTTTCTATGATGACCAGCAACGACGTGACATGGAGGACGAGATCCATATGAGGGTGGACTGCATCAACATCCGGAATGCCAATGCGTGTAGAGGTAGGAAGCATGTTTTAATATTACGGATACTGTAATATATTGGAATCATAACAGTAGAGACAGAGATTTTTTTATTTTGCGTTAGAAAAAGTGTTGGCATTGGACAGATGATCTGGACAATATTTGAAACCGATATTTGATGACGTGTGTTTTATACTTTGGAAGAGTAGAACATTTAGGTGATGCAATAAAATATCTGTATTTTATTAATTTTACTGCAATTTCTGACTTTAGAGATACAAATGTTTATATATGTATATGTACACACACCAGTCAGGCATAACATTATGACCACCTCCTTGTTTCTACGCTCATTGTCCATTTTAGCAGCTCCACTTACTATACAGGTTGGCTGGATATTTTTGGTTGGTGGACTATTCTCAGTCCAGCAGTGACACTGAGGTGTTTAAAAACTCCAGCAGCACTGCTGTGTCTGATCCACTCGTACCAGCACAACACACACTAACACACCACCACCACATCAGTGTTACTGCAGTGCTGAGAATGATCCACCACACAAATAGTACCTGCTCTGTGAGGGTCCATGGGGGTCCTGACCACTGAAGAACAGGGTAAAAGGGGGCTAACAAAGTACACAGAGAAACAGATGGACTACAGTCTGTAACTGTAGAACTACAAAGTGCACCTATATAGTAAGTGGAGCTGATAAAATAGACAGTGAGCGTAGAAACAAGGAGGTGGTCATAATGTTATGCCTGATCAGGGTATATATAATAAAATGTGTAAATGGAGCTGACAAACTTGCATGAGTTTCCATTCTCTCATTCTCGGTCAATTTGTTGCCAGAGCTGACCCCTCCTGAAGGAAAGAGCAGAGACTCCCTTCTTCAAATCGTGTGCCGTGATGGACGCATCATCAGCCTCTGCGCAGACAGTGCAGATGACGCTCTGTAAGTCCCTTGATCCAAACTTTTGCTTAGCAACTCATAAAAATATATAAATATGGATAAAAAAATAAGTGAACAAAGCAAATACAAATATGAATATGAGCACCTGCCTGTGTAACTTGGCAATATCATTTACTTACTTTGCTGATGTTATGAGGCTGTACTCTTGGGGGGCTAGCAAAGACAAGACCCTCAGTGTGTTCAGTATAAATAACATTACTGTTCACTTTTTGCCCCCTTTTTGCCCAGAGCCTGGACCATGGCCCTCCAAGACGCCAGAATCAACACTGTGAGTCATTTCCTACTCACGCAAACACATTATGGGTGGAGTAGTTGACTTTTTAACCCTCGGCCTCAGCCTTAGAGCTGTCAGTGAATATATTGTAGGCATAAAACATAGATGGTTAACTTTGTTTACTTCCTGCATGCTTTAGCAGTCATGTTGTATGTTTACGTAAGCAGGAAATATTCCATATTTTGTGTATGTGAAGTGTTGCAGTACTGTGTGGTGTTGAAAATGGGCTGTGTTGGTATTTAATCAATGCTCTTATTTCTCTAACAGGTGGTGGCACCCCCTCAGTTTGGGTTTACACAGGAGGTGAATGCCTCTGCCCCGCCTTCATATGCGGAATTAAATCCGACTCCTCAGGTACAAGAAGTGTTAGCTTAGTTAAATTTGAATGTGGCACTTCTGTTAAGTCTATAGACTGTTTCACCATCTACTCTATGTCTAAAATCTGAACCATATAAAAGAAAATAAAAACTAGACAGATGACATTTTTTGCTTTGTATGTAAACTTAAAGCCTAACTCAGAATATTACTGCATTAGCCTTTTAGCTAAGGTCATTTTTATCATGGTTTCAGGCCTTTTATTTCAACTTTTGTGTATATGAAGTCAAAGTTGTGACTGCACACACGTGTACATTTGTGAAACTTTTTTTATTCCTCCTTTCATGCCAAGCTGGGCCAAAGTATTTTATTTTGTAGTGTATCTGGGTGTGGATGAGTTTATTTTACAGCAGAGCCTGTGCAAAAATCTGATTACAACCTGAATCACTTTAGAATCTTTAAAGAGAGAATCGCTTTGTGTTTAAGAATTGATTATTTTTCTCAACCCCTAATGTTTACAGTAGAGTACCTGAAATAAAATGGAAGTCACATATGTGTTGCTTAGATCTCATCTCGTTATTCAGGGGATACATTTGAGTGAAAAGTGTAAATGAAGTCGGGCCATAGCATATCCGGAGACTGTCTGGACATTAAATACATGTTAATGTTAGGTGTAAACTTCTTTACTGTGTGCTACTTCAGACTCGATTTGTTACAGGTTTTGATCAGATTCATTTTCTTTTTTCCCTTCTGTATCCTGTCCAGACTTTTTGCTGGTATGGGCCCAATAATGATACCCATCGATGTTGATATGCATGTTATGTGCTAGTTTTCAGTTTAAGAATGACTTTAAGAATGACTTTACTTTTACAAATTCATTATAGACATAAATGTGGAGTTTAAAATTGGCCTATCTTAATGCCAATGTTTATTTTTTGCCTAGGTGTACTATCCGGACCAGTATGGAGGCTACATCCCTCATCCTCCTCCCCCCTATGCGGCCCATGTGGTTTACTCTGCAGGTGGGCAGCCGTATACGTTTGCCTCCCCGTATCACTACCAAGGTAGATTGAGCTGCTGCTGGCAATCGGTCCTCATAATTCAGTCTGAGTAGATCCTCAACTTGTGTTTTAATCCCTTAAATTGTTGTGAATTCAGTATATTTTGTAGAGATGGATAGATTGCTTAGATACTGCTCTGCCACTTTATTAAACACACCTCCATGTCTCTGCAGCCCGACTTGCCACATGTATGTACTTTATAGTTCAGTGACACTGAGGTGTTTAAAAACTCCAGCAGCACTGCTGTGTCTGATCCGTTCGTACCAGCGCAACACACACTAACACGCCACCACCACGTCAGTGTCACTGCAGTGCTGAGAACGATCCACCACCCAAATAATGCCTGCTCTGAGGTGGTCCTGTGGGGGTCCTGACCGTATAAGAACAGCGTAAAAGGGGGCAAATAAAGAGAAACAGATGGACTACAGTCTGTAATTGTAGAACTATAAAGTGCTCCTATATGGTAAGTGGAGCTGATAAAATGGACAGTGAGTGTAGAAACAAGGAGGTGTATTTAATAAAGTTGACTGTCGGTGGGCTTATTTATACATTTTTATTTATTTATTTATTTTTCATGTTTCTGTGATTTTGTTTTTGTTCAGGAGCCTACCCCCCACGTGAAGTCAACCACGTCATCATTGAGGACCGTCGCCGTGACGACGCAGGAGATATGGCTCTCGGGATGCTGGCCGGAGCTGCGACGGGATTGGCTATCGGTTCCCTTTTCTCTGTGTTTTAACGTGCCTGTGGAGTTAAGATCCCGTCTTTCCTGTCCTTCTGAGACCCTTTGCAGTTCAGACTGTGTTCTGCTACTGTCCTAACATTGCTGCAGCTCCAGTGTATCTTAATAACTAGGTCTAATGCGTTAGCTGTGTCGAGGGACACGTTTGTGATCTGTTTGGCCTTTAATCCCTCTGTATGTACTAAAGCCTCACGGTAGCATTTACAACTGGGGTGCAGTAGAACTGAGTTTGTTTTGCACTTTGCTACATGTAAGACAGTGTGAAACAGTTGTAAATCAGAACACTATTCAAAGGCCTTATGGTGGTTGATCATAAAACTAGGTCACCTGCTTAGATTGTCTTTGAAGATTGTAAAGGTATTGAAGGAAGAACGATTGTACTCACCATGGTGTCTGTTCAGTTTAAGACGATTGGTCTTGTATTATCCTTTTATGTACCTCCCTAATATTGCTGAGACCAAACATGCATGAACTGACACTTTGCAGGAAAATGAATGTGTCCCATTCTTGAATTGTTGGATTGGTCCCAGCAAACTTAAAAGTACATTTTGCAGCACAAAAACATTTGATGATCTGTAAAATGGTCAGGTTATTAGTTGTCCTAACAAACATGAAACATGACCAGCACATTAATGTATTTCTGTCATTTTGAAACAAGTTTCTATGACATGAGCTTTGCATTTTGGACACTGGTTAATCTGTATTGATCTGTACGATCTGGAGTGGCGATGACTTTTCTGGGTTCTTTGCCGTTTCTGAACCGGCTTATTTGGGGGCCTAGCGTGTACATAGACTTCCATTGTGGCTTTATGAGGAGACCTACAGATCCAACCGTTAAACCCCCAAAAAAGGAGTGTGGCTGCATATATCAGATAGCAGTTTGGTTGAGAATTACAGGGTCTTTCTTTTAATTGGCACTTTAACCAGTTGGTATCTGGGATAGCATTAATTAGTAGAATGGACACGACCCTTGTGGCGATTTAGGTTGGTGACGAGTACGAATTTTCTGTATGTGTGGTCTGTTTTCTGTACGGAACTACCATATACTGATCTGTGTGCAAACAAGACATTTGCAGTGTCCTTTTTTTTCAGTAAAAAGCACATCCCACCCTCCCACTATCAGGTTTTATTCACCTCCAAAACAAGAGGAAATAGCAATATCTGCTAGCAGTGTAAAAGAATCGTTTGGCAACATATTTATGCATTTTTTTTCCATTTCCCTACATGTAGTTGATCAAAAAAGGCTTGTCATAATCATGGAATTTTAGCTGACAATTATTTGCCATATAAATAAGTATGATTAACAAATTTGTTGCCTTTTTTCGTTGATAAGTAAATTACAAGCCTAAAGGGGCCAAATTGTCTGCTTAGCTATTTGCTTCCTAGCTGTCGATACTTGGTAGTTCCCAATTAATGACAGACACAGCTTGAGCTCGAATAAAATAACGTTACTCACTGCTGCCCCTAAAGGTGTTATAGCACCAGTCAGAGGATAGATGGGAATGTTCAAAAGTGGCAGTTTTTGTCCGAAATTTTTGGCCAATAAAGTGTAAAAATATAATACTTAAATAATGGTAATAAACACACAAATCTGATTAAAACCTATTTGTTCCTTTTGCTCTCCAGTACAGATGTATTCAAACAGTAGCGGATCAGCAGTAGCGGATCAGCAGTGGGGGGAGAATGAAAGATGGCCGTGTGAAGCTATTATATTGTTCTACACGAGACATTAGATTACACATTTATAATCTCTGAGTATCAAGAGAGGATACGGTGCTCAAGAACCTCTCCACTACAGGTTTGATACTACGTGAGGTTACAACAGTCCCCACTTGCATGCTGACTGCATCTGTAGTGTAACTGTCTTTTGTTTCGGCCAGGAATTTTCAGTTTGGTCCATCACCAAATACAACCAATAGAAGTGCATGTTTGTCATCTTTTTTAGGACACTGTTCGGCTTGGCTATGTTTCTGTTTCTCCTCGGCTCTGAAAGTAGACACCGCTGAATGTTGCCATCAACCCGTCTACTTCCATCTATGATCCGTGCCAGAGCTCTGCTTTGGATCTGAATGTCCATTCTGCTTGTTCTAGCAGTAACATTAGTTGGGGAGTGAATGTAAGAGTAGCACTAGAGCCTCCTCTTCTTCCAGCTCCAGCTTTACGTCTGTGTTTTGAGCGAGGCCTTCACAGAAACCTCATTTGACCTACACTCCTAAAGTGCTTATTTGATAAGGTGTTCCTTTATTATCATGCTGCTTTTTCTGCAGAATAATAATGCTTTAAAAACGCTCCTCTGCAGTGTGAACTTATTTATTCTGGTTGTCTTATGAGATTGTTTGTTTTCATCGTTGTGATTTTTTTTTTTCTTATTTGTGAAAAATTGGTTTCAAATGGAGCAGCGCAGTTGTGACTCAGCAAGGCCAGGAATGAGTGATTTTACAGGGAAAATAAGAAAACGTCATTAGAAATGGGCATTGTCTCGTCCGTTCATTTGGTCAGTTTTCATATCAAAGTTACTGTAACGTTTACTGGTTTAATGGTTTAATTTAATAATGATTTAATTTGTTATTTATTGACTACATTTATTGTCACTTTGCACATTTTATCACAATATAAATTAGATGAGAGAAATTATATTTGAGTTGTATTTGACTTTATTTGACATACGTTAACAGTTGTACAGATGCATAACCGATACGCCCTGGCCTGTACTTTATGGACCAGCGAAGTAGAAAATTCCAGAAGGTGATATAGGTGACGCTCTTATTCTAAACATTTCCTCTTCATGTTACTGTCTGTGTCTGCAGTTGCACTACTTGTTGCTCAAACATTTTACTGTTTGCTGCATTGCAATATTTTACTGTCATGATTGTGATCAATAAAGTACTTAACCTGAATAACAGAGGCATGAGAAACTGTGCTTTATTAGATGTTTTGTGTTTGGTTGTGTGAATCTCATATCTAGTGCCATCAGTAGAAAACAATGGCATGTAAGACACTGAACACTTTGCGTTTATTCAGTAACAGCAGACATGCAGTTTTATGAAGCTCAAATGTGTGTTGTATGTGTATTATAGCCTTTGACAAGCTCCTTACGCTACTTTGGCTCCTCCCTGTACCTTTTTACAGCGTGGTGTTTAAATATCTTTCTTACATGTGCAGCGTGTTTTAAAAAAGTGTTCACAATCTCAGTTCATGCAGTCTACTGCAATGTTCTCCATCTATACGTTATTAGTTCTCAGGTGGTGAGAACAGGTTCACAGTGGGGGTGATAGGAACCTGACATCTGAGGTTAATGCCCATAAAAGCTCCCTCACAGAAAATTATTGCATAACTTTTTTTAAAATTATTTATTTATATATATGAAATAATTAAATATCAAATATAAAATGGGGGCTTAACTTTTGCACAGGTCACATTTTAGGTTTTTTTTTTCGACTGTATTTTACCATCATTAACATTATATAAAAACGTGACAGGTTCTCTGGTGGTTTTGGATAGTAAATAAAATGGCTATGTTTGTGTTGTACACATTGCGACCCCTGGTTCCCATCACCACCACTGTAAACCTACAGATATATACAGTAAAGGCAAACTCATTTGTGAATCTGTGTTTAAAGTAAGTTTTTATTAAACTTGTTTTGAACTCATTTTTATTTAAACTAAGCTGCAAATAAATCTTAAACCGAAATTTGTTCACAAAAAGTTATTTCAGAGCCACTCAGTTCTACCTAATGGAAATTGTTTGCCTTCAGTGTTTTGTGCTTATGATAATTTTAATAGTCATCAGCGTCAGACTAATGAATGACATTCTATTAAAAGATTGGTTTACCAAGAGTGACACTGGAGTACATACATACATCATCTAAACCACTTATCCTTCTGGGTCACGGTGGGGTGCTGGAGCCTATCCCAGCTGTCATTGGGCGGAAGGCAGGATACACCCTGGACAGGTCGCCAGTCTATTGCAGGGCAGACAGACAGACACATTCACACCTAGGGGCAATTTACCATGTCCATTTGGCCTGACTGCATGTTTTTGGACTGTGGGAGGAAACCCACGCAGACACGGGGAGAACATGCAAACTCCACACAGAAATGACCCTGGTCTCCCGACTGGGAATCGAACCCAGGCCATTCTCGCTGTGAGGCAACAGCGCTACCCACTGCGCCACCGTGCCGCCGACACTGGAGTATTTCCACCTAAAATGAGTTGATAAAGCCATAGTATTGTTACAAAAATGATAATAGGACATTAGAGTCTAAATTAATCTTTTAGTACTTTTACTTTCGATACTTAAGTACATTTGAAGGCAAATACTTTTGTACTTTTACTCAAGTGGAGGTCTAAAGGAAGGAACTTCTACTTTTACTGGAGTAATATTTTACCTCGGGTATCTCTACTTTAACTCAAGTACATGGTTTGTGTACTTCGTCCACCACTGAAAAAGAGACTGAGAAACGGTCCTTCATGAACTTGCTGTGCTTCTAGGACAGAATAAGCGAGGTATCTAGTAGGCTATGGCTGTAAAGTCTACGTAAATATAAATTTTCAAAGGTTTGACGTACAAATAACATTAAAACACAAATGTATAGTAAAGAACCTGAAATATAGATAAAAGACAAAAAAATGTACGAAGATGATAAAAATGCTGCAAATCCATAGTTTTAGCTACATTTACAGCCAAACAACATGGCGCTGCTAACTAACCAATAGAAAAAAATTACTGTATGTGGCTTTTATTGTTTTTGAATCGCTTCATGTAACTGTTAAGTTTCACAGAAATTATGTTGCAGGCGACGTGAAACGTAAATAGTTGCATGAAAGTTTCTTGGTGCAAAGCCAGTCTAAGGCATCACAAAAGAACCATCTGAGGCTTTTTTTTTTGGTTATATGAGTGTTTATAAGACTGTGAACAACGTAAGGGAAAATTATATGACTATCAATATGAGAAAATAGATCATATGGATTTCTAAGAATGTACTAAAAGGTCTTTGCTTTATTTAACATACAGGCCAGCTGTTCAGCATGGCTTAAACGTTACAGAAACCCTTCAGGATTATGAAAACTAAGATCACCCGGCCATCGTTCCACACCAGGACGAGAAAACAGACGCCTTCCTGTTAATGAAGCATCTCTCTAGCCTTTGCATTGTATCTGTTTAGAGAACATTCAGTTCTTCTTAAGTCACTCTTGTATTGCTGTAAAATAAGAAATACACCTATGGTTGTGATTGTGATTAAGTCATTGCAGGCTGTCTGACATGTTATAAATAAGGCAAATTTAGAGAACCTTAATGTTGTAATGATGGCCAACTGGAATATTCGGTAGATTAACACATGCAATAGAATCAAAGTAGTGAACGAAATTTATATGTAAAAAAAAACAAAAAAAAACACATTGTCTGATGCTCTCACAGCTCTTTTAAAAAGGTAAAAAGATAAAGGAATCATTTTTTAAACATTGTATGAAAGTACATATATAGACAACAGACAAAAATACATTTATACCAAAAGGCCCTTTGCCAGTCAGGAAACCCATACACTGCTTCGCTGAAACATACTAAATTCTTGAATAAAAATCTGTAACAGACATCAAGCCAGTGAAGTTTTAATTCACAAATATGCCGTGGTACTTTCCGCTAGGCACCACAGTGCTGCAGTTACTGTGGAAAAGCCATTATAGACAGACTTTGAGATGCTGTCCCTTTAATAGTACTACATAATAGGAGTTGGCATATCAATAACCAGGCTGATATCAGCAGAAAATGCTGAATCGCATATCGGAGAGAAAAAAGAATGAATCTGATCCAATCCCGTAAATAATTCATTCTGTACACACAGTCATACTGTGTCATGTCACGTTATTAACTGTGGGGAAGGACAGTGGTTCAGCACTTTGAGCATGACCTCATTTTTGATGCTTAAATTAACTCCCTCAGTATAAAAGAGCTTAAATAGCTCTATAGAAAAGTAGAAGAAGTATCGTCCCATCTCCACATATCATTTTCAATAAATACATCTCAATTCATCAAAACACCCGACACCATAGATATTTCAATACAAACTCTCAATCTCAAGAGGATTTCAAAGGGTTTAGATGCCATAATGAGGTAATCACAAGTGTATTCATAATACATCTCACTGTTCTGAGTTAGATTATGTGGGAAAAAAAGAATAAAAGAAGTGTTTTTATATTTTAGGATGATAGTGTAGTTAGCCCTCCTGGCCAAAGTCCTCGGTAAACTTCTTCAGCTTCTCCAGGTCTTCCTCATTCACAGTGGGCTTGGTCTTGTCCAGTGACCTGAGCATGTCCGCCTAGAAGGAAAAGACACATGGACGAGGCCTGATTGGGTGCTTCTGGTCAAATGACATGTTTGGGTTATTTTTTTTTGAAGTTAACACATCCTCTAGAAAACACATCTGTAGCCTGTGCAAAAGTTATGGCACATGTTGTATGTTATGTTTTATGTATTTCCAATATGTTAAAATCAAGTACATAGAAATTGTGCAATTTGAAACATGCCATATTTAAGTGTGCTCTCTGTAGAGGATGTGTTAACTTATTTTTAATCTGAAAAGCAACAAAACATGTAAATTGACTGAGAGTGCTCAAACTTTTGCATAATGATTGTGAGTAACAATTTAATAATTTTTTGGATGATTGTATGCAACCCTGCCTTCCGCCCAAGGACTGCTAGGATAGGCAAGAACCCCACAAGTTGATGTTAAATCCACTCCAAAGATGTTCTAGTATCAATAAGAGATTATAACTGTTATTGTTTTAGTAAGAGCCATGATGCATCTCAATAAATACGTTTTCTTCTTTCTTATGTTTACATCCAACTGCCTGAATCCATCTGATGAAAATGCCCCCAATTCATATTCTGTTTGCTGTGACAGATGTTCAATTGTGAAAGCTTCTGTGGAAAATAATGGTCAGCTTAAGTAATTGTGATCAGGCCTCGTTCCTTGGTGATTAATTACTGTAGCTTACTTGGGCAATTTCTGTAGTCTAGCATCCTAAGCTAACTTTGGCAAATTTAGGAACAAATTCCAATTTAACCATCTTTAATACAGACTGTCTACAACAAACATTTGATATACCGCTCATGTAGTGCAACCTTAATGAACAGCTGAATGTGATTGGAGGAGAGTGCTAACAGCTCAAGGCTAACAGCTAACAGATTCCCCTGATTAGCAAACACTGGTCTGTTAGCAAGAGATGAACACAGCCATGCTCCTCACTACTGTCTCCACAAACTCATTCCTAGTGAGTAGGACAGTCTTGTAGAATCAGTCTCAGCTAATGAGGCTATAAATCTTTGCACTAAGAAACAGCACAATATCACTTGCACATCACTCTCACCATGCTAACGATGGGCTCCAGCAGTTTATCGCCTGGAACGTCCACCCAGGTCATCTCTATTGCGTTAGGGTCACCCGGAGAGCATGGGGTGAAAAGATCATCCACAATTATATCAGGGTTGTTCCATGTCTTTCCTTGGACCTGTATACATAAAATAAAAATTATTCACATCAATTTAGATGGTAGTAAAAGTAGGGACATCTACATTCAACCAAGTGTTGGGGACAAGTGAATATTATAATAAATACACTCAGATCAGGTAGTTCAGATTGCATTAACATTAATGTTTTGAGAAATTGGGTTCTTATTTCAACTAGTTTAATAATTCAAGTTGTGTCCATTATTTAAGTAAATTCTACTGGTCAAATGTTCAACATCAGTCGTCTCCACACTTGATTGGGCACCTCCTCAACCAAAACAAAAGCCCAATTGCATTTCTTATTTTTACTCCTACCCCTTGTTTTCGAGTGTCACCTTGCCCCTTGGAACTAATTTACAAGGGGTTGTGGTTGAAATCTTCCCTACGAAATGAGACCCTTAAATGACATTACTTCATTAACAGCTACTAGCGCTGCTCTTTAGGCGCCCCTGCCAGTCTGCAGTGATAGCAGAGATCGCTAACATTGCTGCTGGCCTTCAGTTGAATTTAGGGAATCATATGCCTTCAAAGTGGGGGAATTCGACAATTATTTATTACCGCCCACCCCTAATTCTTCAGTGATATGATTCTTCTGCCACCATTTAAGGTGGAACGGGAAATTTTGCTAGCTAGCTACCAAGACATCAGCATACTACTAGCGACTTTTTATGCTTGTCATGAAGAAAAGGACCATAATACACTGAAATGACATTAGATAATACAATGGTTATCACAATTTTTTACGGACAAAATCCTTACATTTGTGTGTTTCTTATGGTCGCTTGTGCAGCCATTTTGCCTGGTATTTCTCTTTTTCTCATAACACTCTGTTTGGAGGGCCATGTAGCCCTAACACTTCGCCCTACTCCTTTATCTCAACTAAAAACAGGACACCCCACCCCTTGGTGTGAATGCACAAAACGGAGGGGTAAGGGCTAAGTGGTAGGGGCGAGGGGTGAAATGGGATTGGGCCAAAGTACATCCTCTCCTACCTTTTTGAAGTGGGTGGATGACTGAACTTTGCGTATGGGCTGCATGAGGGCGTCCCTGACGATGATGCTGATGTCCGCGCCCGAGTAGCCCTCAGTCTTCTGCCCCAGGGTGATGAAGTCTTGATCAGTGAGGCTACTGGGGGTGGTGCCGAGGTGGAGCTTGAACATGAAGGATCGAGCATGCTCCTCGGGAAGTGGGATGTAGATGCGCTTCTCAAACCTGAACCACACAAACACAGAACCAGAGATGCGCCAATGCTGACAGCAGCAGCAACAACAGAACTAACACTGGCACTAAATAACTAATGGACAAATCCAATTGCCATTATATTGTATTCATTTTATTCCATGCAACTTTTTGCATCAGTAGGTTAACATTGCTCAGCTTGATTATAGTCATTAGATGGACACGAGTGGTACCAGACAGAACACACCTACAGTATTGTTCAAAAGTCAGAGACATAACCTGATTTAATTCCCAGTCAAAATGGCCCTTAAATATAGGTTTTTCATTTCTCAGCAGTCAGCACTTTGACAGCTACACATCCTTTCAGACCCATAGTGCTGAGTCGTCTTCTCACAGTGGAAGGATGAAGAGAAACACCTGTGGATGTTTTCAGATTTCAAGTAGCTTGATTTTCTCCTCTCTCTCAAAGATGAAAGCTTTAAGTGCTGTTTATCTGATGGGGGCAGTTTTGGTGTCTACCAGGTCGTGCAGAGTCCCATTCACTCTATATCTTTTAATCCTTTTTGGAACTCCACAGTTGGAATCTTCCTGTTTTTCCTTTGTTTTCCTTTGACTTTCCCCTTCCTTATTTAAGTGGCCTCTCAAGAAATGAATAACTTGTACTCAATGGCTGTTCTGACTGGAAATTAAATGAATGAGTATGGTCTCTGGCTTTTAGCATTTTTCCATTTTCTCCATAACGTCCGTGTAAATATGGAAAAGTAAAAGCAATAAAGGAGTATTTTTATGCAATGTACCGATAAGTACAGTCACTCACCTTCTCCTGATGGCAGAGTCCAGTGTCCAAGGGATATTAGTTGCTCCAAGCACTAAAATTCCCTCATTGTCGTTTCCCACACCTACAGATACAACCAAGAGTAGATTAGCTTGTTTATTTTTCAATCACTGAAAGAAACCTGTCCTGTTAGTGCCCTCAACTCACCTTGCATCTGAACCAGGAACTCAGTCTTGATCCTGCGAGCCGCTTCGCTCTCATTATCACTCCTGGAGCCGCACAGAGAGTCGATCTCATCGATGAAGATGATAGAGGGCTTGTGCTGCCTCGCCATGGTAAAGAGGTTCTTAACCAACCTGGAGAAGAAGACACAAAACAGGTCATTAGGAGTTGTTTATTCTGTTTCTAATCATATTTAGCAAGGCAGATTAAAAGTACTATTAAGTTGTTCTTTATCACATCATTCACCTGATATGCGTATTTGGGTCACTGATTAAGAAGACAAAGTCTGGAAACATGAACATTTATAAAATGTGTAGTCGTGTTCAGAAGCTTCCCATTAACTTCGTCAGTTTAATTACCATTTAAAAGTTAAAGTAACTGTTCTTGTCACACTTCTGCACTTTTAAATCTACAATTACTATTTATTTGCTGAATTTAACATTTTGGAAAAAAACAAAACACTGATAAAGGTCTGTACAAAAGTTCTGGCATATTTTATATTTTATGTTTAATTTTTTACCAATATATTATACTCAGCAAATAAATAGAAATTACACAGTAAAATGTGAAAAATAACATATTTAAGTTTGTCCCCTGTAGAGGATGTGTTAACTTATTTTCATTTAGGAAATCAACAAAGGGCTGTTCAACCTTTGCATATGACCATATGTACTCAAACACATGCAGTGTCTCGATTTAATGTAATATCCACATTTACTTCTCACTCTCGCCCAGCCACTTGGACACCAGGTCAGAGGAGGAGATGGAGAAGAAAGTGGAGTTATTGGCCTCAGTGGCCACTGCTTTGGCCAGGTAGGACTTCCCCGTGCCTGGAGGACCAAATAGCAAGATCCCCCTCCATGGAGTTCTCTTTCCTAGGGATGAAGGAATATGTGTGGACGTGAGTCAAATGCAGTACAAGCAACCACAAGAGAGGAAATTAACGAAGATGATGAATTACTGAGATTGTTTTACTAATTACTGACTTTTGATTCAAAGAATTGTTATTGCTGGTTAAAAATATGTAATAAAACTGTTTATCTTTTTAAGTTTATTATTAATATCTATTTTACAAGTACAGTCAGTCATGAAGATTGCTGGCAGCGGTGGAAAACATGAGGAAAAACTATGGAAAAACTATGCTTAGCATTTTGATCTTTCGCAGAAAATATTTGAGCAATTTATAAATAAATAAATAAATAAATTTATATATATATATATATATATATACACACACACACATTTTCTAGCAAAAACATGCTACAAAAATATTGGCTGCCTTAGAAAATTTTTAGCTTCTTTAAACACAGATTTTCTAGGTGAAAACACAACCTGTACAGAGAACACACTTCTACACTTATATTTGGCTTGTGCAAAAGTTACAGCACATTTTATTTTTGTTATTTTTTGTTATTTTGTTTTTGTTATTTTGTTTTTTTTCCAATATGTTCAACTAAATAGAAACTGTGCACTAAAATTTAGACAAATGTATAATATTTACATTTGTTCCCTGTAGAGGATGAGTTAACTTACTTACAAAATCAACAAAAGACGTCATTTGACCGGGGGTATTTAAACTTTTGCAAATGACTGTAAGTCAAGCTGTTTGTATGTGATTTGTACCTGTGAAAAGATGGGGGAATTTGATTGGTAAGATCACCGCCTCTTTCAGAGCCTCTTTAGCTCCTTCTAAGCCAGCAACATCATTCCACTTAACATCTGGCTTTTCCATAACAATGGCACCTGCAAAACAAAAACAACTTCTAATGTAAATGATATCCACTAATAACACAATGCTCTCAGCGCATAATAAATCGGAGGAACATCATACAAGCAACAAAAAGCAGAATTAAACTGCAGAATGTTTTCATCTGATACAGTTTCACACACCTTGAAGCTGATTTTGTAATTTCTTTTTCTCTGACTTGTCGCCATCATCACTGTCATTCCTGTAAAAAGATAATTTCATTTGAAATACAGATTCTTTTGAATTTGAACTGTTGAATAGTTCACCAATCCAAATCCAGATAGACTCTAACCCTTTATCATCAGACACCTTCACAGGCTTGGCAGGTCCTGCTTTCTCTTTCTTTTTGAGGTACTCCTTCAGCTGCTCAGCTCTGTCCAGATAATCTGCACACTTTGCCCGGATGCTCTGTTTGGCCTTGTCGCCCTGAGCCTCATCTGCAGGACACAGCACAACTAATTTACACACTGTAACAAGGACAGACTGTCCGCATTCGAGTTAAACAACTGAAAAGGATGTGTAGTATGAAAACTATATATATATATATAAAACGAGCACAATATATAAATTCACTAATCACTAATTAGAAGATATTAAACAGACAAATGATATAAAATCAAATACGATTGAACTATGTATTTAAAAGCTAAACTAAAGAGGTAAGTTTTTAGCCTATACGTATAAAAATTGGCACAGTATCTACATTTCAAACACTGATAAACAGTTTCAGAATTCCTGTGCTCTGCAAACAAATTCCTTTTCTTCTGCCGTAGATTATTTCACACTTTGGTATCCTGAGGTGTCCTGCTTGCACTGTACTGTTTTGTGTTTTTCAAGATTCAAAACATGAAATATTTAATAATAAGAGTAGCTTCAGGTGTTTTAGAGCAGTGATCCTAAGCTCCGGTCTAGGGGAACTATTCCCTGCCCCAACACACACGATCCAGCTGAGGAAAGGCTTCACAGTCACAAAGCTCCAGCTCAATGACGAGAACCATGTTGTTAAAGCAGCCAAAACACTACATCTGTGCAGTGCAGGTGTACAGCACTGGCCTTTATTTGGAGCAGAAAATGAAACTAAGCTTAACCCTGAACATCGAGCCCATCCACTGACGCGCGGACACACTGGTTGTAAAGGCTCACTTACACTTTACCACATGTAGAAAGTACTGAACTGAATGCTGGTACAAGCGAAGAGCTTCCTCATAGTTTTTGGCCTTGTCCTCCTCTGCGGCTTTAGTGGCCAAGTCAATGGCTTTCTGTGACACAAAAAGGGAAGGAGTCAAGACGAGACAAACATCTAGTCTAACAGGAATCTCCTGCTTGGGATCGGAACAAATAAGTTCATAGTTCACTGATTTAAAAAAATACTGGGGACGTCAGTGACTGACTGAACATGACTGAACCATTAACTTGTTTGATTAATCAAGAAATAAGAGTTAAAATGTTTGTTCTGTGAAAATATCATGATTAGCTGGTTTGGCTGTTTTGAACAATAGGTGCATACCAGAACCAATAAAAAAAAAAAGCCTGAGGTTGACCTTTCTTCTAAAACACCAAGATATCTGAACGAAACCGGTACATCTCATTAAACTTCATGTACTGTAAACAAGTAGGTGCAAATTGCTTATTTCCACTTACTTTTGGATCAGCAAATGAAATCATGGATTGGTATTTTCCTGACTATAAAATTGATGAGAGCAATATTACGTTTAACTCAAGTACATTTGAAAAAAAGAAAGAAACAACATGAACTGTGTTGCATTTGAGTCCTTCATTTCATTCACTTCCTAGGTTTAGTTTCATTCTGTTCTGTCGGTTCAGCTCCGGGCCTGTTTTTTCGGTTAGTCAAACTTCTCTCTTTGGAGCTTTCACATTGAAGGGATCCATAAAGCGAAGACAACAGCCTAACAAACTTCATTTACTACATTTACTAGGACAAATGCTGGAGGGTGCTAAGACATTCCCCAGCAGTTCTACAGAAACTCAGTACTGGGGACCTTTTTGGACCTTTTCAACTCAAAGCTAAGTTACTTTTACTCACACTTTAACATTATAAACACAGCAATACATTTACTGGAGTGTAGTTTAAGCTAACCTACTGTTTTCACCTCACCTAGGTAAAACGAGCAATATATACTGGTACACAAACCACTTTACATTCTGTGAAATTCAGTTTGTAGGCCATTATGCTTCAAACTACTATCAAGCATGTTTACTTGAGAAACATTATTATTGTTAAAGCGTTTTAAGCATGTATACTATGTATCTCCCTGTGCTTTTAGAGAGGTTAACTCCACAGGTAGCCACTGGAGCTTGTAGCCTACCAGGCTGACAGAAAGCTGGAAGTTGCTTACCTGTAAGTTGGCATTGGCCATTCTAGTCGTGGTTTAACAGGACTTTTCTTCTGTTAAATCCCGCAAATACAGCTGATACACTTACTACATTTCTATTCCTACGCCACATACACTGTCACACACATTTGTAGCGTGAAAATCCGCCTGAAGTTCACTGCACTTTTATCTAAATCTGTCTTCAAGACTCTTCCGTAGTGTTTTGTCGTGACGTCACCGAAGACACGCCCACACGCATCGTTTGTGAAGGACGCAGATGTTTGAACATAGACTGAAGTACTAATTATGAAGAGGAATCCAAAGATGAATATTTTTGTAGTCTCTAATGACGTTAAGTTTTATATACATACGCGTAAAGTCTTAAAAACTGAACCTCTGGGTTTTATTTTCTTTTCTAAAATCTTTATTTACCTTTCTTTTGTATTAATAAGGCTGTGAAAACTTGGAACTTGTGGTTTAACTTTGGCAGTTTTGTGTAAAATCTAAAACGCTGTTACTGTATGTATTTTTTTTTTAAATTTACATTATTTTCTCTCCCCACATCCTCGTCCTCCCCCAAACCTCCTTTTGGGGTGTATGTATTTTTTTTGCTTTAATTCTGGCGCCCCCTAGTGTTGTTTTTTTGTGTTGTTACTGTTGCGCCATTTGCTTCTGAGTTGATTACTTTATAACTATCACAGTACTGTGATTTATGTCTCTATAAATGTTGTTTTTGTGCACTTAGAAATTACAAAGCAGAAAAATAAATAAGTAAATAAAGTCTTAAATACGCCTGGACCCACTTTAAAAACACATTTTATTACATTATATTACATTTCACAAATATTCAGCTCGACACACCTTCACGGAAACATTTTAAACAAAACCAGGATACATATCGCAAAATACTTTTTTTGCAAGTATTAAAGCACCAGTAATCAAATAATTCTGGAGAAAATTATGTAACATCGCAATTGCGTCTCAGAAGAAAGTCACCAAAAAAACCTAAACATTCAACATCTTTATGCTCACATGGTTACAAGCTTCTTCTAGGCTGGGTAAAACTCTGGGCTGAGTGAGTCTTTGTCAAGAGGAACATGGTTAGCAGACTCAACCAACAAACACAGGTTCGGAGGCGTAAATTAAACCACTGCCATAAGGGATCTCAGTGTTGTATATTCCTGTAAATGGAGATTAACATTAATACTGCAACAAAAAAGCGCAACTTTAACAGACATGTGGGGTGAAAAATCAGGGCTCTTATTTTTCAGCACAGAAGGGACGTTTGCAGTTTCACTCACTGCACCCACCTCATCTATATTCAGCAGAGGAACCAGATTTGTTGATTAAAGCTGCATCCAGTGGATTTAAACTTTGTAATTAACCACCTATCCTCAGGACAAAGAATAATTTGGCTGCTTTGTGCATGTATGAGTTTTGTGCATTCCGAATAAGGCTGCAAATGTAAGCAGGCACCATTAAAAATGTTTTTCATTTGTGGCCTCTCTTGGCTGAGCGTAGTGCATTTTTCTTGGACACAAAACCAAAGACTGTAAAAGACTAAGAGCCAAGAGCAGCAGTCATCAACTTCCTCCGTTCAAGATTTGCGGCCGCAGAATCCTCAGGATGCGATCATTCTTCGTAAGATCTGCCGGTAGGTCATTGTTCTGACAGAAGACAGTAGCCAACAATCAGTGACTCATAAAGCATTCAAAAGCATTATTCCCTGGAGTTGTCCTCCCTCTATCACACACACACACACACACACACACATATATATATATATATATGTGTGTATAATTCAACGAATTCAGTGATTTAGAGGGGTGTCACAATGCCTTTGTCCATATAGTGTATATAGCTGTGGTGTATATATATATATATATATATATATATGTACACTACAGCTATATACACTATATGGACAAAAGCATTGTGACACCCCTCTTAATCATTGAATTCAGGTGTTTCATTCAGTTCCACTGCCACAAGTGTGTAAATTCAAGCACCTAGCCATGCAGTCTGTCTTTACAAACATTTGTGAAAGAATGGCTTGTTCTAAAGAGCTCACTGAATTCGAGTGTGGTGCTGTAATAGGATGCTTCTGTTGCAACAAGTGAGTTTGCGAAATTTCTTCCCTCCTAGATATTCCATGATCAATGATTAGTTTAGCAGGATTAGTGGAAGCGTTTAGGAACCACAGCAACTCAGCCATGAAATGGTAGACCAAGTTACAGAGCAGGTCGCCGCTCGCTGAGGCATGTAGTGCATAAAAGTCACTAACTCTCTGCTAATTAAATAACTGCAGAGTTCCAAATCTCCTCTGGCATCAACATCAGCACAAAAACTGTGCACCGGGAGCTTCATGGCATGGGTTTCCATGGCCGAGCAGCTGCATGCAGGCCTTGCATCACCAAGCACAATGACAAGCATCAGATGGAGTGGTGTAAAGCACATCACTACTGGACTCTTTAGCAGTGGAAACGTATTCTGTTGAGTGATGAATCACGCTTCTCTATCTGACAGTCTGATGGATGAGTCTGGGTTTGAAGAATGCCAGGAGAACATTACCTGCCTGACTGCACTGTGCCAACTGTAAAGTTTGGTGGAGGAGGGATAATGCTATAGGGTTGTTTTGTAATTGTATGCTTCCAACTTTGTGAGAACAGAAGGCCCCTTTTGGGGAAGGCCCTTTTCTGTTCCAGCATGACTGAGCCCCAGTGCACAAAGTAAGGTCCATAAAGGCAAGGTTGGGTGAGAACTTGACACAGAGCCCTGACCCCCATCAAACCAACGGCATATTAATGCCTATGGATTTAGAATGGGATCTCATAAAAGTTCCTGTAGGTGTAATCTGTAGGTGTCCTAATATTTATGTGTGTGTGTGTAGGCTAAGTTCAAGGAGGTACATGCAAAATTCTGTACCACATTGTGTAGACATTCATAATCCACAGAGTTAAGGTCACTGTGTTACAGTGTATCGGCCAGCAGGGGTCAGTATCAACTTCAGAATTAGTTCTGGGCGAATCCTGCACAATTAGGTGCTTCTGAAGACACTGAGGATGTGAGTTACATTAGAAGCGAATCTAAATTCTGAATGCTGGTAAAGCAACTGGTTTGGTTTGCTGTAGTTGTAGTGAATACTTACCTTGTTACGTAAGGTAGGGTCAGCGCTTGCTTCCAGCAGAAGCTTTACAGTTTTCAGGTTTCCACCCATAACTGCAGCATGAAGTGCTGTGGAACCATTCTAAACACCAGGCAAAAACAACCCGTGATTCAGAAAATAAAGAAAAAAAATCTATATGAGTGTTTATATATAGTGTTTATAACACGGTCATAATATGGTGAAATACATTGAGCATATTTACTGAGCTCTTTCGTACCTTTAGAAGGCCTAAAGATGGGCTGAACTTGAGGAGCTCCTCAATGACATTGCAGTGTCCTTTGTGCGCTGCCTTAAAAAGGGCTGTGGAGCCGTCCTTTCAAGATGCAATGAGAGACGCAATTAAATACATGTGAGACTCAAATGAGGCAACTAACCAGCGAAATGTTTACTATTTTTTTCATGCAATTCACAAACACATAGAGATGTAAATGATTATTATTATCATATTAGTATGTGCTATGTAGCACAAGTAATAATCATAGGCAATTATGTAGGCTTTTGATGTTCCTAACCTTAAGATATTAACTAGGGGTCTCCTAATTATTAGAATAGCTCTGTTGAGTAAATCAATCATGCTGTAAGATTCAGTGTCATACGTTTCTGTCGGCATCCCGATCTGCACCACGGAGCAGCAGAACTTTCACAACCTCATTGTGTCCCATCTGGGCTGCCATCCACAGCGGGGCAGTGCCATCCTGAGGCGCAAGGGGAACATAAAGGAGCAGACAAAAAGGCGTGATTAAATCAGTGAAAACCTAGTTTCCAAAACAAAACCTATGGTTATATTCACTGCCGTTCAAATGCTGGGAATCACTTGCCATATTATTAATTGGTGTTATTTTATTCAATAATAATGTATTATATCACTGCTGTCGGAACAAAACCTCATATTTCCAAAATGGTAACTTTACAGGAGAAGGAACAAACATACTTGACGTTTAATGTAAGTCAATGGACTTTTTTCCAAGTCATTTTGGGTCGTTTCTGTTGGTTCATTCATCAGGACATTTACAGACAATGTAAATTGTCAAAAACTGAAAAACGTCAAAAATGGAGGTGCAAGGTTTTGTTCCAACAGCAGCGATATTATACATAATAACGTATGTAATAATGTACATTTTTAGATCTTTAGGTTTTCTAGAAACCACAAGACATAATTACTTGACAAAAAAGTCAAATTTTCTAGAACATTTTTTACGGTATCTATTTGCAGTATGTAGAATTTTTTTACATCATCTTGGGTCATTCTGGATTTTAAAGGGGCAAAATGAAAAATGTAACTACAGTGTAAAATGTAGCACTACAGCCGTTGCAAATAGATTACTGCACTCTACGGTGGTGGTGCAGTAGTCTCTAAAGGAAGGTTTTCCAGTTTACGGACTAAGAAAACACCTTCTGATGATGTATCTTGAAGGTCGGAGAACCATATTATTTTTCCAGTTAGCTGTGAACGCATAAGCAAGGCAGATGGCTAACGTCACTGCTAGGAAGCTCAGCGTCTTATTGCCACCATATAGCTGTAGTGACTGTCTTTAAACCATCATTATAGTGGATAGAAAGGATTACTGAAATTACAGAAACGATTCGTCAGATAAGGAGAACAACAAGCTGAAAGGTATAGTTAGCAAGGTAGCTACCTGGCTGTCTAGATATCTTACCTCAGTCTGGCCCCTTTCCTCCGACTGAAAGGGTAAAAAAACTTTATCTGGCATCCATTTTTTGTGCTGAATAAAGCTGGACTCACTGTTTTCTTTACAATATTGTTCGACAACAGCGGTACGCGTGGCACTAAAGCCAGCTTGGTCATATTTATTAGCCTATACATCAGTGGCCAGGATAGCAGTCAGGACTTTCAGGGACTTCCAATGGTTGTATGATGTATTTGCATAATGTCTGCTGTGTGTAGGTTTTTGAATGTAGTGAGAGAACATTGATGAAAACATAAAAACAATATATAAACAGAATTTTGTCAAACTGATGAGGGAAATACCAACAAATAACATATTAAACTCTAGTTTTAGGTTGGAATGCCCCTTTAATTTTGTATCTACAACTGAAAACAGTGAAGCTTAGAAGGATAACGAGCAGAATGGATCCCTCACCTCGCGAGGCTGGTTCACTTTGGCTCCAGAGGACAACAGCTGACGGACAACTGTCACATGACCTTCCTGGGAGGCTAAGAAGAGGGGTGTGGCACCGTCCTGTAACGTGAGAAGAGAAGCTGACTGTGAGCCAAATGAGCAAGGAGGTTATAAGATATACTCATATATGGAATGAATGGCTAGTGGCTGAAGGGAAAACACTGAGGTAAAGTTTCTCTATGGCCTCCCACACCGAAAAACATGACACGTGTATGGACGTCTGTATTTGGCACCACCACACAAAGTAAACACACATGGCAATAACACACTTATAGAACGGTTATATCTCATCTAACATAGTATTTGACCAGGACACTTTCTCTTTAATTTTTTCTTGTTTTGCGTGCTGATTAGGCCCCAAAAACTCCTCCCTATAGAACTGCAGTGGAACTAGTTAGTACATCCAACATCTATCAGCTTTGGAATTAGTTAGTTCAGCTCTGTTCTTCTCTTTTTGGATCCTTTTGTTCTAAAATAAAATGCTAAACTCCAAAGTGAGAGCCTTACAACAGTAAAGCAGTCCAGGAGCTGAACCAAGAAAACAGGATACAACTACAAAGGGAAAGTTTGTGGATGAACTTAAAGTTTGCTTAACAAACTCAGCTAATAAGGCTTCACAAGGTAAAACAGTTTTAAAACACTGGTGATTGTTTCTGATGACTTAATTGGGTTTATGTAGTAACTACAGGTAGTCGTTATGGTGTTGCTATGGTATGCTACATGGTTGCTAATGTATTGCTAGGCAGTTGCTATGATATCACAGGTGGTTGTTAAGGTGTTGCTAGGCTGTTGTTAAGCTGTCCGGGAGGTTGCTAAGGCATTGCTAGGCTGTTGCAATGGTACACAGGTGGTCGCTAAGGTGTTGCTAGGCTGTTGCTAAGCTGTCTGGGAGGTTGCTAAGGTGTTGTTAGGCTGTTGCTAGGGTACAAAGGTGGTTGCTAAAGTGTTGCTAGGCTGTTGTTATGGTATCCCAGGTGGTTGCTAAGGTGTTGCAAGGCTGTTGCTATGGTATCCGAGGTGGTTGCTAAGGTGTTGTAAGGCTGTTGCTAAGCTGTCTGGGAGGTTGCTAAGGTGTTGTTAGGCTGTTGCTATGGTACACAGGTGGTTGCTAAGGTGTTGCTAGGCTGTTGCTATGGTATCCCAGGTGGTTGCTAAGGTGTTGCAAGGCTATTTCTAAGCTGTCTGGGAGGTTGCTAAGGTGTTACTCGGCTGACGCTATGGTATCACAAGTGGTTGCTAAGATGTTGCTAGGCTGTTGCTATAGTACACAGGTGGTTGCTAAGGTGTTGCCATGCTGTGGCTATGGTATCCCAGGTGGTTGCTAAGGTGTTGCAGGGCTGTTGCTAAGCTGTCTGGGAAGATACTAAGGTGTTGCTCGGCTGTTGCTATGGTATCCCATGTGGTTGCTAAGTTGTTGCAAGGCTGTTGCTAAGGTGGTTGCTAAGGTGTGGCTAGGCTGTTGCTAAGCTAACCAAGCAGTTACTAAGGAGCTGCTAGGCCATTGCTATGGTATCACAGGTGGTTGCTAAGGAGCTGCTAGGCCACTGCTATGTATTATGGTGAAATAAAAGAAGTGTCCGAAAACATTTGGCTACAGAGCGTATACTCACTGTAGTAGAATAAGAGATAGAGGTATAAGCATTTGTGAATCTTCAAGCCAATTTTATAATTAGAGACTATGTGTAAACAAATTCGGCCACATTACTTTCCTTAAAAATGTATCTTTTCTATATGCATAAGCATTTACAAACAGAAGCACAAATATAAACGATAAATGTAAATTACCACCCTCCTCCGTTTCCAACATATATTTTTTTTACAGCATAATTTAAAGTGTTTTACTTTTAACTCATCTCATTTGCACTTCCAATAGTATCCCTCAGGCTCTAAAGAGAGCTATTTTTAGACTGTTTAGACTGAGTCCAGCTCAGTTCCTGGCATCAGCATGTGACTGCTGATATGGCAGAAACAAGAGGAGCTGGCAGAGCTCCTACACACAACTTCTACAGCCACATTCAGATGGAGCAGAGTGGACTCACACTTAGCTGGTCATGAACATTGGCTCCATTCTTCAGCAGAGTCTCCACCACTTTGCAGTGTCCATTCTGGCAGGCTGCAGACAGGGCTGTACCACCATCCTGCACACAGCACAACACAAACACAACACATTTACTTGTTTGCCAACAAAAGACAGCCTGAGTAACTCTCAGTCCTAGACAGTTTTACTATCACACATATATTCTGAAATGAACAGAATAAAGCAGTTAATTATACCTTTGCACATTTATCAGGTTTGATTTGTAAAACGTAGTACAAAATGCAAAGGCAGCCCAATCTAGCACCTGTACCCTCATTGTCATGTTGAGGTAGGCATTGATATCCTTGGAAATTATGTCGTCTAGAAAGCAGCAAATGCTGTTCCAAAACATATATATATACATCCTCATACCATGACATTAGCTTGCTTTTAAACTTTATGCTGGTAATAGTCTGGATAATCATTTTCTTCTTTGGCCTAGCGAACATGATTATTTCCATTATTTCCATAAACATCTGAAAGGCTTGTTAGACCACAGTACACATTTTCACTGTGTATCAGTCTGTTTCAGACAAGCTCAAACCCAGAGAAGTCGGTGGTGTTTCTGGATGTTACTGACATACGTCTTCTGCTGTGGATAGTATAGTCTTAGCTTGCATTTGTTAACTGGCAACAGCTTGTTAGAGTATTCCTGAGTCCATAAAGTGTTATCCATGTCGGTTTTAATGCAGTGCCATCTGAGGGATCAAAGGTCATGGACTTCAAGTTGTGGTTTTCAGTGTTCCTCTTTATACAGAGAGATTTCTCCAGATTCCTTAAGTTCTTATGATCCTTATGATATTAAGCATCGTAAAGGATGAAATACCTGAAATCCTTGCTATTGGTAGTTGAAGAAAATTGTTCTTAGACTGCTGGATTATTTGCTGATGCATTTTTGGCAAGCTGGCAAGACCTGACCCATCCTTGTTCATAAAGGACTAGGCCTTTCCTGGATGCTTCTTTAATACGCATGCACGGTTGCATCATCTGTTTAAGATGTTTTTTTTGAACACTTCACAATATTCCAAGTCTTAAATTGCTCCTGTGGCAACTTGTTGCTTGTTGTAAATCACTGCTTTCTGTTTTTTTAACCTTTTAAACTGAGTTTTGCATTTTTAAGTTTCTTATTGTTTAGTGTCTTATTGTATCTGTACTTGTTGATGAGTTGTCTATATTATTATTTAAATGTTGTAAAGCATCTTTGGGTGCAACACAAATACAACCTATTATTACTGTTGTTATCAGTGAGACTTAGTTGCCACCAACTTGAAACCACCATTTAACATTCTTCACCTTTCAGCTGAAAATCTGCTTCATCATTTATTCATTTATTCTGTCTGGACGAAGCCTTAATCCCTGCTTCAGTTTACTTCAGAAGATATGGTGAAAATTACTGGGGTGCCAATAAATTTAGCCACAAACGATACATCATACATGGGTTTGACTGATTAAACTGTCAAGTAAGTACAAGGATGGGTTATAAATTACAAACTACATTTGCAGTTATATGAGTTAGAACTAGCCTATCAGTATACACTACAATAGCTGTACAAGAGCTAATAATGTCTGTCTGCAGCTACAGATAGATTCTCTTTCACTGGAACATAAGAAGTGTCAATGACAAAAATTACAGCTTTGTCTGGAATGAGAGAAGTAATCACTGTAATTAATCCAGATCCAGTCTGTCTGAAACTGCTCTGCCAAAGCAGGTATTAAACTCACCGTGAACACTGGTCAGCACATTTCCTGCCTTCTAATTGCTCTGGGTCAACTCTCTGGCTCACTCCTTCTATTTCTGTCTGTCTTTCACTCATAAACACATACACATACAACAGAATACTGACTGGGCAGTATTCTGCAGTATTTCGCTTCGTTGTCAAAATGCTTTATGATATTTAGAACTGACTTTGCATCTTTAAACACCTTACCGTAATTCATCAGCATTACCGTACACAACATGACACCAGCTTCTTAAGGCACAACCTCAACGACACTTAGGAAGACATTTATAATCCCTATAATAGACTGTTGTGCCATACTCGTAAAAAAAAACATCAGTGCGAATGCATTGAGATGCATTGACCTGAAGGTGGTAAGTGTGTTGATTTTGGAATAACAGTATCATACAACAATATATTTTTTTGGCCAAAATAAAAGTCTTGGCTACTTTCAAATACAAAAAAATACCCAAAAATGCTTGCCATACGGTACTGTGCTAAAGTCAGGGACCACCCTTCATTGACTTAATTTCCGGTCAAAACATCTATTAAGCACAAGAGATCTTTCTGATTAGATTAGATAAAAGATGCTCTGCATGCATTACGAAGTGAAAAGCCAAAGAAAATGAACAAAAAACAGAGAAGAGTTTCCAAAACTGGAGTCAAAAATTATTTAAAGTTACAGAAAAATGGGACTCCTAACAACCATTCAAGACCTGGTAGACACCAAAACTGTCCCCATCAGAGAAACAACACTTAAAGCTTTCATCTTTGAAGAGAGGAGGAAACGAAGCTGCTTCAGATCTGAAAAAATCCACAAGTGACCACCACAGAGTCCAGATTTCAACATCACTGAATGTGTTGGGGATTTCTTGCATTGTGAGAAGCACAAAACACGACTGCTACGACTGAACTTTGGAGGTGTGGAAAAATATCCCTGCAGGTTTATTTAAAAACTGAAAGCAAGTCTAATGAAAAAGAACAGACACTATAATCAAAGTACATCAAAGTAAACTTATATATAGTAGTTGAGGACTCTGTTAAATATCTTCTCTTTTTGTTCTTAATGGCTGTTTTGACTGGAACTAAATGGATGAAGAGGCACTGACCTTTGCACAGTACTGTATTTATTTTGTGTGTGTTTGTTTTGTCTTTATTCCCCTCCTGTGTAAACAGCTCCTCCAGTAACAACTGTGTATTCAGTGTATTTTTCATCTGAATTGTAACACATAATCAAACAGAATCAAATCGTAGTGCACTGTGAGATTTCACAATTTCCTGAGGAACCAGAATTACTATAATATAAACACAGGCACATTCGGTTACCTTGGTCTGCGATTCAGTGGAGGCGCCAAACTCAAACAGAAGCTTAACGATTTCATCATGTCCTTGTTGTGCTGCAAAGAACAGGGCAGTAGAGCCTGTCTGAAGAAACAATAACACACATACACAAAGGTTTTAAACACACTGTCATTCAGCTCTGCGCAAGGTCAGCAACAACACACACGCCCTTCAAACGTTATCATCAGCGACAGGACACAGATCCTTAAGATGAACTATTAGCGAAACCTCTCATTGTCCTATAATCCTCCGCACGGCTTCACTGAACCTGCTACACGTGCAGCAGTTTTCCAGAGCAAATGAATCTGAAGATGATACTAATCTGGATGAATCTGGATGCAGAGTCTAATTTTGTTAATGCAATAAGTATAATGCAATAACACAAACACACAGGAGTCTGACCGGCTCAGCCTGTGCAATCGAATAGCAAGCCTTTCTGTTTGTCTTTTATGAAGCAGGGACATTTTCCACATCAGTAACCCACCTGCCATTTGAATTGTTGCTGACTTTTTTACAAGATCCGGAGGTGCTTGTGTTTCTCTCAAGAGAGGCAAACATTTACTAATACACTATAAGGACAAAAGTATTGGGACACCTACACATTACACCCACAGGACACCTCATTCTAAATCCATAGGCATTAATATGGAGTTGGTCCCCCCACTGCAGCTATAACAGCTTCCACTCTTCTGGGAAGCTTTCTACAAGATTGGGGGTTGAGGTCAGGGCTCTGTGCAGGCCAGTCAGACTCTTCCACGCCAAACTCACCCAGCCATGCCTTTATGGACCTTGTTTTGTGCACTGGGGTTCAGTCATGCTGTCCCAATACTTTTGCAGAAAAGATTAGAATAGAGTGGTGACAGTAAAGCAGTCTGACTACAAGAATGATTAGTCTTCTGTAGGTCTTAAAGGGCCCACATCAACAAAAATTACTCACTTTTTTCTAAATAAAAGAGTTTGATTTAGTATGTAAACATTGTATAAGTTTCATAATGTACCGGTCACTCCCCACTCCATACAGTCCATATGAAAACTAGGCTCCAACAACACGTTTTAAAAGCTATGCCCATTCACACTGAAGTTATAAGAAGTACTTCAGTCTGGACTATTTTTTGAATAGAGCACAATATAGGGTGGCCACTGAGATTAGAGTTTTATTACATTTATCAGTCTTAAAGACACAGTAAGAAAAACAAACTGTTTAATTGTTATGTTATGTAAAAAAGAATTAGGACTGTTTTTGGTACATAAAATCACACAAGTGTCATAAGTAGACCTCACAGCGATGTAAAATGCAATGCAAAAAAAATGTAAGTTAGGCGGTCTTTAATAGAAAGTATGCGTTTTAAAGTCTTGAAAGCACAAACAGTCTACTTCTTTTCTGTTTTTTTTACCACCATTTGAACACATCAGCTGCCCTTTGCATTGTGTGAATGTGTCATGATGAATGGACCAGTAGAAATGTTTTTGTTATGACAGCAACAATAAGCTTTATTCTCATTATTGTCCAATCAGCAAACCAAGTCCAGCCATATAACTAAACTAATTCACATCAATTGTAACCTTAAGGCGCTATTATCAGATGTCCTATCACTAAAAATGAGGATCTTCTCTAGTTAGCCCTCCCCCTCGGCCCCGACATCAGCACACACAGCTTTTGTACCTCTCTCTGCAGGTTGATGTCTGCTCCTTGCATGATGAGTTCCCTCACACACTCATAATGACCACTGTAGGAAGCCACCATCAAGGCTGATGTGCCATACTGGTCAATAAGAGACAAATAGCATGAAGCATTAGTATTAAAGTAATGGCATAGTTCAATTTACATATTAAAGTCAATGGAAACTGGAGATTTTCCTTCCATACTGTGACACATTTCTAAATGAAACACTGTATCAAGTAGGCCTGTCACAATTATTATATAATCATCTACTATATAATCAGAATCATTTGAGCTGACCACAATTATTTCCATAGTTGTTAGCTTTCACAATAACATGCTTACGTCACAACAAACAGAACTTGCATGAATTGGGTGTGTCTTTACCTACTGATGTTTGTTACGGAGTCCTTTAGAGGGCAGCAGTGAGTAATGTTGTTTATTTGATGTTTGTTATGGAATCCTTTAAAGGGCGGCAGTGAGCAATGTTTGCTTATTTGATGTTTGTTATGGAATCCTTTAAAGGGCGGCAGTGAGTAATTTTTGTTTATTTGTTTTTAGTTAATGATGCCTATAGGAGGCCACGGTGAGTTACTGTATGTTTGTTCATTTGATGTTTTCTTAATGACCCCTTTAGGGGGCAGTGGGGATAAATGTTTGTTTATTTGATTTTTTTATTGCAAATAATAGCAATTATTTATACTGTAATTAATCATTAGCTAAAATTTCATAATTGTGACAAGCAAGGCAAGGCAAGTTTATCTACATAGCACCTTTCATCCACTGCAGTCATTTAAAGTGCCTTACAATGAGAAAACAGATCATTCAAATTAAAATTTAAAAAGGTGCAGGAGAATAGAAATTCAAAACATGATGTAAACATTGTTACAAGCAATAGATTTAAAAGAGAAGAAATTAAACCTTAAAATGAAAATCATATTAAAAATTTGTCCTAGTATTAGGGATGGTCTCTGAGCCAGCTGGTGATAGGAGGGGGTAGAGAAACATGACGTTATTGGTTAATATTATTTTACCCCGCCTGCTGGTGCACGGTGATGTAATCAAAAAACCAGAAGACATTTTCAAGGTGGGTACATGACACTATGATCAAAGATTACAGATTTCAAATGTTGTGGTAGGTTAAAATGGGCTTAATATGGCCAGAGACACTGAGGTTCAGCCTGACTTTAAAGCAATAACATCGCATTGCAGTTATCATACATTTATTACTTCGCCCTCCAAACAGTCTACATGCTTCATGCAGGACTGGACGGATTTGATCTTCAAGTGAGGGCTAAAGTGATGCCTTTAATAATACATGAGGACGGATTCCATACACTGTCTCTGCAGTCGACGTCCACTCGTCCACTGTTGAGCAGAAGCTGAAGAAGGGCTAGGTTCCCCTTCCTGGCCGCCCAAAACACAGCATTGGCCAGGGGCGTTTCCTTCTGCCAGACACAAACACAGAGTGTGCTTTCATCACGTGACAGGTCACAGTATGGCTAATGTACCTATATGTATATAGACCTACTATAGCCCATATCTATATGTATATGCTGTACATACGTTCTAGGAACTTACATGTCCTCTTACCATTTACCTTTGTCGACTATCCACCAAGTGAGTGCCTTTACCATACTGCACTACCATCAATCACTTTGCACTCAAATGCACCACAGTACATGGTAGAGCAAAACTGTAAGTGAATACCTTCATAAATACTGCCGATCTAAGACTATGAGTACCAAAACAGCTTAATATCATATTTAATGATAGTAATGTAGAACTACAGAAGCCTCCTCCCCCCTCAGGTCCAGTACCAGATCCGCTCCGTAGGAGCTGTTTAAGGCTGTTTTACCTGCGTGCTGTGCAGTGTGATCTCCGCTATTGGCTCGTTGGTGTTATTGCAGTAACGTTATGCTCACGAAGCCATTTACCTTGAAAGACATGCTGAGTTCATTCGAGCCTCATCCCGCGCATGTGCAGAAGCGCTGCAGCCTGTTTTCTGTAGTCGTTCTCTCTGAGGTTTGAGGAGAATAATTCGGGGATTAAAGAGGCCTAGAGGTGCTAACACTTACTGCAGCACAGGACGAGGAGCGACTCCCTCTCTACGCTGCCCTCATGGTGTGACGACATGAGCTCTCTCTCTCTCTCTCTCTCTCTCTCTCTCTCTCTCGCTCTCTCTCTCACACACACACACACACATCACACGTATTTCGCTCTTTATGGGGACTCACTAGCTCATGATGGAAAATATTTTTGATTTTTAAAGAAATGTGGACTTCAAGAAATGCGGAATAAAGAAAAAAGAGACTAAATATTAGTTTTGGTTAAAGGGGAATTCCACTGCATGTTCAAAGTTTCTTCCTAATTAAATCATTAAGATGTAAATTAGATCATTCAGAGTGGTTTGGTGTGAAATGCTTCGTTCTAGTGAAACTTACCGAGTCAGAATGGTTCACAGTGCTGGTGATAGGAACCAGACGTCTGAAGAGTTTAATACCTCTAAAAGCTACATCACAAAGTTATTACATGAAATGGTTAGGAATGGTTATGGATTGCAACCCCTGGTTCCTGTCACCTTCACTGTGTACTTTGATCATAAAGTAAACAATAAGGGCTCTGTGTGGGCCGGTCAAGTTCTTCCACACCAGACTCACCCAGCCAGGCCTTTATGGAGCTTGCTTTGCGACCAACCCCTGAAAAATAACCCCATAGCATTATCCCTCCTCCACCAAACTTTACAGTTGGCACAGTGCAGTCAGGCAGGTAACGTTTTCATGGTGTTCGCCAACCCAGACTCGTCGATCAGACTGATAGAGAAGCGTGATTTGTCACTCCACAGAATACGTTTCCACTGCTCCAGAGTCCAGTGGTGATGTGCTTTACACCACTCTATCCGACACTTGGCATTCTGCTTGGCGATGTAAGGCTTGCATGCAGTTGCTCAGCCATGGAAACTCATGTCATGAAGCTCCCAGTGCTTATGTTAATGTCAGAGGAGGTTTGGAGCTCTGCAGTTATTGGGTCAGCAGAGCGTTGGCAACTTTTATGCTCTATGCGCCTCAGCACTCGATGACCCGCTCTGTAACTTTCACTTCCTGGCAGAGTTGCTGTGGTTCCTAAACGCTTCCACTTTTCAATAATATCACTCACAGTTGATCATGGAATATCTAGGAGGGAAGAAAGTTAGCAAACTGACTTGTTGCTATGGTGGCATCCTATTACAGTACTATGCACAAAAAGTCAGTGAGCTCTTTAGAACGACCCATTCTTTCAGAAATATATGTAAAGACAGACTGCATGGCTGGGTGCTTGATTTTATACACCTTTGGCAATGAGACTGAGTGAAACACCTGAATTCAGTGATTAAAAGGTGTGTCCCAATACTTTTGTCTACTTAGTGTCCATGACCCCACACACACAAATAGGTCTTGTTTAGTATAATTACGTCTCAGGCCCTCAGAACATACAAATCATGCACGCCATCAAAGCACAAAATGATTAAACACAAAGAAATGAATGCTGATTATATGATATGGCTGATTATAAGACAGGCTGAAATATAATAACAGATTATTGCTGATGTCATAGTGTGTGACATCAGGTGCTGGCATCCTCAGCACGTCTTCATGAACATCACTGTTTTCAGATGGGCTAACATGAGGAAAGCGTGGATCAGTGTGTATCATTTAAACTGCCATAATCACGGATTTGGTAGTGAATGGGCAATTTAACCATGCCTATTCATCTGATACCATTAGATCTGCCACACAGGGAAGAGTTCACTGCAATGACAGGGGGAGCGGTAGTTATTGAGGGGCTGTATAAAATCACCTGGTGGTGTCCTGTTTCCTGAGCGCAGCGTTTGACGCGTAAGCCTGTGTGATGTCAGGCCCGAACGGCACAGACGTGTATGATTAGAGTGGACTGGGTGTTATTGAGACACAAAGCTTATTATTTAAGGCCAGTCTCTGTTTATTTCTGGCCAAGACAGTAAAACACACCTTCCACAAGGTATATAAACAGCCAGACGACTTTAGTGATCTCCACAGAGCACAAGACCTGACCAGCCATCCATCCTCTGGACAGTGCTTTGCAATAACATGCCAGGTGAGTAGCAAATACAATTCAGACTTAAAACTGATTTTATTTCCACTGTACTCATTGAACACTGATTTTGTGTGTCACATAGTCCTCTTAGAGACAGGCTTGTGCAAAGGTTAGTCAGGTTGAAGTGAAAATAAGTTAACACATCCTCTATAGAGGACACACTTTTGCACATTTTAATGCACAGTTACTGCTTAAGTGCTGAACTTAACATTTTCAAATAAGTAAATAAATAAATAGAGTACGAAATGTGACCTGTGCAAAATGTTAGGGCACATTTTCATGTTTTATGTTTTATTTTATTATTTCCAAAATGTTAAACTCAGCAAATAAATAGAAAATTTGCAGAACAGTGCCATATTTAAGCGTGTTCATAAATGTGGCACTGTTATTAAGTGAGTTAAGTGTGTTGTACAGGATGTCACAACTTATTTTCACTTTTTGTATGTGCTACAATTCAAACGTTCAGACTAGCCATATTAATAATGTGTTAATAATGTATACAGTGTAGCTCATATAATCTAGACAAAAAGGTATTTTTAGATGTTTGTAATATTTTAAGCAGTTTCTGATCAACAATGTATTAAATAATAAATAATATAGTATAATTGCCTGTTTTTTCATGTTATCTACCTAGAGAATTGATTACCACTTTTGAAACATGATGCATTCTGGATATTAGTTTTATTGTAACTGATGCTGTGCAGCTCAGTCGTTTAGAATCAATTACACATCTAAAATTTTACATTTTTGCTAAATATTTTAAAACTTGTGAATTTACATAGGATTAACATATTACCAGGGTGGGAAATACTTAAGTGATTGTACTTTATTGCGATACTTAAGTATTATTTTAGTATTTAATTATTGAAATTGAAAACTTCAATTACATTTCCAAAAGAAAAAAACATTTTATTTACTCATTTTCATTCTTACATTTTCATTTAGACCTTAAAAGTATTTGTTTCATTTAGGCCTTAAAAGTACTTGTCAGGCCAGATGAATTTTTTGTTTTTCTCTTGCTGAACAACTGAGTTCTTTTGCATTTGAATTTATTAATTATGTTAAAACATCCAACAAAATTTACATCAGTGTAAAATAAAGCTCATTTGTCTTTGTGCAAGGACCAGTACTGCCCCAATAGTCACCGCATCAGACACCAGCAAACAAAGAAAACTTCTCATTTATTTGCACAAAAAATTGCTTCATACTTTTTTATACTTCAGTGTGTTTAAAAGTTGATATCTTTTGACCATTACTAAAGTAGATTTGACTCCATACTTCTACTTTAATTGTGTAAGATTTTCACTTCAGCACAATTTCTCTGTAAGTATCTGCAACTAAATTGGTTTTATATTATTAAAAACATTGATCCCAAACCTCTGAACAGGAGTATATCTAAAAAATGAGATGATAATAAGTAAGAATAGAGCAGAGAAATGGAAAATGAGTGACAGACGGTCATGTTTTGAACAGATACACATCGAGTCCACTGGATGGAGCTGTTTAGCAGGACGGTGCTACTCGGCCTGTTTGTGTCCGCGCCCATCAGGGCAACAACAGAGTCTGAGGAAGAGTCACCGACAGACTGGACGCTGTGGAAGAAAGCCAATGGAGTGACCTATGACGAAGAGGTGTCTGTCATAAACACCTGACACAGCAAAGTACATTAGATCACATCACATAGACAGATTAATAACAGAACTCGGCCTATAAGTAATAATTAAGTAGCAGTCAAGCTAAGTAGCAGGAAGTTAAATGAATGTTAAAATACGTCATTAACTAACAATAACTAACACAAAGAAGGACACATAGAACTAAACATTCAAACAGGGAAAGAGAGAAATTAAAGGGGAATTCCACCAATTTTTGAAAAATGTTCATAATTTCGTTGTAAACAAACTCATTCAGACTTTCTAGAGAAACTTCTAGAGAGTCAGAATTGTTCACAGTTCACAGTGGTGGCAATAGGAACCAGACGTCTGAAGAATTTAATGCTCAGTCACAGAAAGCTGCTGCACAAAATGGTTAAGAATTTGCTGCCTGATGTCTGAGACATTGTTTTACAGTAGTTTTGAGAAAGGTTTTGGTCTAAAACACATTTTTAATTCATGTATATTTATAGAATTTGTTAGGCTAAATAGCACCCCCCCAAAAAAATCAGATTTACCATTATTTTACCACTGTTTTGCCATTATCAACATTACATATAAAAACTTAGAAGACACGTGTAGGTTCACTGGACATTTTGTGTTTGTGTCTTATAGCCATTTTATTTATTATATAAAATGACCACCCTGCTGAAAAAAATCATAGAAACCATTTTCCTGATGGGTTGATATCACAGTGTAAAGGATTCTAATGGCTTAGTAGGTGTTCTGGGACTAATTCCAGATGCCTTTGATGGTTTCCTAATGGGATCTAAAGGTGTCCAAGAGGAAATTAAAGGTCTCTAATTATAACCATTAAGCTAATTCCCATGAGTAAGCAAAACCATAAAGTTTTAATCCCAGTGGTTCTAAAGTGGGGCTGTGGTCATTATTAGGCCTATATCATGGAAAGCAAATATTAACTCCCATTTTTTAAACTTATAAGTAGTATTTAAACACTGTGTCAGTTTCAAAATGTACCGGTCATTTCACTGTCCATACAGTCCATATATGAAAACAACTTTAAATTAGCTGGTTTTGTGATGTCACAGAAAACAACCAATTTACATATACCAGCCCATTCACACTGAAGTTACATGGAGTTTTCAGAACAGAGTCTATATTCACCTATTAATTTAAAAGGCACAGTAACAAAACCAGTCTGTTTATTTCGGAGGGGTAAAGAGAGTTTAAATGAGTGAATGAAAATGTACTGTCACTGTTTTGGGTTCATAAAGCCACACAAACAGTAGAAGTTGACCTCAAGGAAATATATCACTATTCCCGGAACAAAACCTTGTATCTCCATTTTTGACATTTTTCAGTTTTTGACATAATTTGAAAATACCTGATATCCTTTACAGTGTCTGTAAATTTCATGATTAATGGACTAAAAGAAACGGCCCAAAATGACTTAGAAAAAAATCTGGTTCCATTGACTTACATTGAAAGTAAAGCATGTTTTTTCCTTCTCCTGTAAAGTTACCGTCAACAGCGGTATGCAGGAAAAACGCAGGATATGGGCCCTTTAAGTTTCTTTATAATGCACCATTTCACATCAAACCACTCCGAATTACTTAGTTTAAATCTCAGTGATTGAGTCAGGCGGCAATTTTGCAATTTCCCTTTGAGAAGAAGGATGATTACATATCAGGTTCACAAGATTACAAATGTCTGTCTGCTTCTCAATCTTTATGATTTCATTGTGGTTGAATTTTTGTAACTTGACTCTGTTCTTCCCAAAGGCTGATGACATGGAGAGAAGGGTCATTTGGGAGACAAACAAGAGAATGATTGATGATAACAACAAAAAATTCCATATTGGAATGTCCAGCTTTACCATGGCGATGAACAAATATGGTGACTTGGTAAGTCAAACATATGGCCGTGATATCGAGCAGGTACTCTAATGCCACAAATTACGAAGACACTGATTTTTTTAACAATCTTCATTGTTCTTTGTTGTATCTAGACTAAACATGAGTATAAGCAGTTACAGGGAGCTAAGATTAACAGCAAGGTGAAAAGGAAAGGAAAGCTCGCCTCGACGAAGAAGCTGCGCTACTATGCTAAGAGACTGCGGGCGTCCACACTGGACTACAGGACGATGGGATACGTCACTGAGGTTAAAGACCAGGTGGGATTTAACTCTCTCCTGCTGCCAGTGTTGGTTATCCTACTGTACAATTTGTTTGATTTTTCAGCATCTGACAGTTTTGAACATGGAAAACTCATGGAAAACCAAAAATGCATCCACCTATTCTGCCTACAGCACTTTACAAGAACCTTAGCTGCGCCCTTGCACACAAGTTATAAGGAGCGTGTTAGTTCAGACTGCTTTTTGAATGAGGCACAATACACGGCAGCCAATCAATCAGAACAGAGTTTATTTACATATATCAGTCGTAGAGATACAGTAACAAAAACAGCCTGTTTAATAATAAGGATTACAGAGAGGTTAGGAAATAGTCATGTAAAAATGAATTATGTTTTTGGTACATAAAACCACAAAAATGTCAATAAATGGATAACAAGAAAAAATAAATACAATAAAACTGTAGAATATGGGCCCTTTAAATGTTCAATGTGTTCTTGTAAGCTCCTCGAACAAAAACTAGTCACTTTGCATGTTTCAGGAGATGACAAATTTTTCTCCAGGGAGCTTGTGAATAAAAATCAGGCAAGAATTGCTTTAAAAGCCAACGCACGTCCTTCACAACCAATTTCTGAAAGAACACTCCACAGGGAAGCGATTCTTATTCACAAGCCGTGAAACATGCCAGCAGTCCCTGTCCATCAGTTTCATCTTTCAGCCACAATTTTGACAAGAATTTCCTGTATACTGGGATTTTTGCCATTACTGGTAGACCCATATGACTGTATGCTTCGATTCACCTCCAAATTCAGCTACTTCCTTCACACTGAGGCATTTGACACGCCCAAGTGTGATCAATCCTTTTTGCCAATCATTAACATCTGCTTTGAACCCATTTTCCACACATCAAACGAGACATTCACTGCACTGTACCACCTTTTCTCAATCTATGAATCCCGTCGCACACCCTGCAGGTATTCATAGCCCGATCATCTGCAGGAGCCTGAAGTTACTACCACCTTAAACACGCACGGTGGCTAATTTTTTGTTGCGGGAGCTTATTATGTCTCCTGGAGTCCAGTTAAAATTTCAACATGGTTTAATAGGTAGTTGTAACAACCAAAATTCATGTACATTAATAAAGTTTTATGTATTTTTGTTTACATTGCTATTTTCTGATCACTCTTTAGGCCTTTTTTAGGTCTTTAGACTTTTTCTACTATATCTTTAAAAGTGAACCTTTTGACAGTGCTCATATAGTAGGTCTATATCAAACCTTTATCACACTTTTATTTAAAAAAAGGAAAGGACATTTCAGTAGTTTCATTTTGTTTCTATTATATGGGCCCTTTAAATACTCTTGTTATCTCTGCTCAGGGCTACTGTGGGTCTTGCTGGGCTTTCAGCACTACAGGTGCCATTGAGGCCCAGATGTTCAAGCACACGGGTCAGCTGGTGTCCTTGAGTGAGCAGCATCTGGTGGACTGCTCCAGGTCTTACGGCACGTACGGCTGCAGCGGGGCCTGGATGTCGAACGCCTATGATTATGTAGTCAGCAAGGGGCTGCAAGCCACCAATACTTACCCTTATACTGCCGTGGTAAGTGGACTGTGTGATTTGGTCAGAGAATTGCACCTTGTCCTGCTGTGTGGTGCTCTTAATGGCCTATTTAAAGGCTGCTCCTCTGATTGACTTTAATATGTAGTTTTGTAACTGCTTACCTCATTTGTGTTTACCTGTTTGCCAGGACACACAGCCCTGCTTCTATGACCCCAACCAAGTTGTAGCCCACATCAGTGACTACAGGTTTATTCCCAACGGGAATGAACAGGCGTTGGCTGATGCCTTGGCGGTTGTTGGGCCAATTACCGTTGCGGTAGATGCTGACCACTCAAGCTTTATGTTCTACAGCTCAGGTAGGCTGTAAAAGCTTTTGAGAGTATGTTCAGCAGCTAATATGTTATAATCCTTATATGCTAATATATATGATAATAAAGTTCTTAAAGGGGAAGGCCACTGAATGTTCAAAACTTCTGCATAATTTTATCCTCGAGATGTGAACAAAGTCATTCAGAGTAGTTTGGTGTGAAATGGTCCAGTGTACAGAAACTTACCACTTTGTAAATATCTTTACAGTGGTGATGACAGGAACCAGGGGTCACAATGTCAATAACACAAATATGACCATTTTATTTTACCAAAACAACCATAGCCTAGAACTTACATATGTAATGGTAGTGGTAGTAAAAGTTGTGGTAAATCTGAAAAAATACCTTTTGTGCCAAAACCATATGTCAAAACAATCATACAATGTCTCAGGCTTCAGGCAGAATATTAGTGACTACACACACAATTTCTAAGCTGCTAATTCTCCAGGGGGCACTCATTGGGCAGAAGGCAGGAAACACCCTAGAGGGGCCATCAGCCCATCACAGGGCAGACACACAGACATACACGTTCACACCTAGGGGCAATTTAGCATCTCCAGTTCTCCTAACTGCATGTCTTTGGAAACTGGAGCACCCAGAGGAACCCCACAAGGAGAACATGCAAACTCGACACAGAAAGGACCCTGGTTGCCCAGCTGGGGAATCGAACCCAGACCCTTCTTGTTGTGAGGTGCCACCGTCCCACCATTTCAACTAACTGCTCTCTGTGAGGGAGCTTTTAGAGGCATTATATGCTTTAGACATCTAGTTGCTATCACCACCACTGTGAATTATTCAGACTTGGTATGTTTCTCTAGAACACAGCCTGTCATAACAAACCACTCTCAATGACTTTGTTTACATCTTAACAACTGATTCATGCAAAGTTTGAAAAATTGATGTAATTCCCCTTTAGCTCTCCAAGCATATTAGTATATTTTGGTTTCAGCTGAGTCATATCATGACCAGGGGGCACTAATAAGTGTTAGCACTGCGCAATATACTGTCTGTTGATTGTTAATGGCCTTTACTGCAGTACTGAGACCACAGGCAGCTGTAATATGTACTGCAAGTAACAGCACAATCCAAACCTGTCAGTTTGGGCCATATCATGCACCCCTGATGAGCCTAATGAGTGCACATTCTTCTTTACCTATAACATTCATTGTACATGTTCTGGCAGGGATCTATGAGGAGCCTAACTGCAATCCAAATAACCTCAGCCATGCTGTGCTTTTGGTTGGCTATGGTTCTGAGGGCGGCCAGGATTACTGGCTCATCAAAAACAGGTGGGAGCTTATCTTCATATCTCTAATCATTAAGACTAGCTGTGTCGAAGTGCATTCTGGTGTTTACTCTGCTGTAAAACACTCTGTTTAACATACGAAGGGCATAGAAGAAGCTGAATGTCGTGAGCTACAACAGGGAAAATGTTAACTCTGAGACTGACACCCTTGTAGGCCAGTGTTTCCTTGTTCTGCCTCCAGAGTAGCCCTATAGTGCACATACGTGATATTAGTGATAATAATTTATGATCAATTATGATATTCAGAAAAGTATATGCTAATTTTGTGACCAAAATAAGAGCCAAAAAACCATATTATTGTCTATATTAAATAGCTTCTCCTATCACATTTGTGTATTGACTGTATTTTGAAAAATAAGTCTGAATCCTATCAACTCAAATTATTATGAGGTCAGAGACTTCACTCTTACTAATACAGTGTGTTCAATCCTTTGTGCTAGTACACTAAAGCATACAGGACCAGCATTAAGCACCACTAAGTGCTGATTTCCAGTGGTCTAGTTGAGGTCTTCTATGATGTTGAGTGATATCCCTTCCCTCTTTCCACAGCTGGGGCACAAGTTGGGGTGAGGGAGGATATATGCGCATGATCCGCAATGGCAAAAACACCTGCGGCATTGCCAGCTATGCTCTTTACCCCATTGTATAAGGGCTTTGTATCTCTCAATAAAGACTGTTTAAGTTATGACTCTGTCTACAAGATCAATTCTTTGTGTCGAAGTTCCCAGAAGCATATTTCAGAATATTCCATACACCTTCACCACGACATAAGCTGGATTCTCCAGTTCAGTCCAGGAGGGATGGATAGTTACTGGGTCAGGGAAATTATTAAACTGGCTAATGCTGGTGGTATCTTCTGAGCCAGTTTTTTCAAAGTCATTCACAGGACATGTTAAGTCAAGTCAAAGTTTATTTATAGAGTGCTTTTTACAACAGGCATGTGAGCGGGTGGGTGGTTCACAGTCCCCCTAAAGTCTTAATTGGACCCTTTATCTTTCTGTTTTTACACCCTTGCAATTTTACATCCACACCTCATGAGTAGCTATAAACAGTAGTAATACTTGAACTATTAGAGACCATCAACTTGGATGAAACAAGTAATTTACTTGGGGGTGGGGGGCATTTAATAGTTTTTGCTCTGAAGACCATAAGATCTTAATCACACTACTGTCCCCACCACTTTTGAAATGCTATATTTTATCCTAAACAATTTTCAAAATGTCATCTGTAGCTCAGAGCCCAATATCTCTTCTGTTCTGTGCTGTGTTGGCTGTGGAAGTATTAATGCTAATGGCCGGACTAGGCGAGCTCATCAACTTAAGCTGCAGTTAAGATGGATTTCCTCAATGCAATTTGTACAGCAAGGTTGGATTAATGTTTAATGCAGTGCAAAGGGCTGGGTGATAACATGATAACAATAATTTATCAATAATTTTCAATTATTTAACAATAATTTATTTTGAGAACTTGTAGAGAGGAGAATTACTGCTCTGCAATGTTGGTTTTCTCAAACACTAGAGGGCGCTCCCGAGTGAGTCCAAAATGAATGGGTTGATATGGAGCATTTGAGCAAAATCAGTTTATAAATGCTTAAACATTTTTAATGTAAAAGAATGCAATCATTTCTTGAACACAGAGCAGCATAAAACATTTTAACACCGCTGTTATATTTTAAGAGCTTTTAAACTCGAGTTATAGGAGTTTAAAACGGCGCCTCATGTACGTTCATGACGTCAGTGAGCGCAAACAGCCAATGAGCTGCTCCGCTCGCCAATCAATCATCACGCTCTAGCAGTAATGCCCGCCTTCTGCTGCCCAAAACCTGTTTGCTGTAGAAAAAGGAAACATATAGGGAATATTTCTTTGTTTTTTTAGTGAAATCCATCCTTCTACTTTCTAAAATTAAAGAAACGTTCTGGGCGAGTGATTAGAAACTATTCTAACTTTTCGTTTTTAGCCGTTGAGCTCCATTTACTCCCATTCATTGAGGACTCACTCGCGGGCGCCCTCTGCTGATTGGTAGGCCTGTTTTTGATATAACGGCGGGAATAGGAAGAGGCCAGGCTCCTCATAAACCGGCTCTGTCTCCTCTCTACCAGAGCCGTATAGAGATATATCGTATCTTATGGCTATAAGACACAAACGTATCTCTCTCTATACGGCTCTGCTCTCTACAAGTTCTCTGTATATATGCTAATTCACCTACCTTTAACCCTGAAAAATTGGCGCGAAGACTGCTGGTCACCATAGCAACGACAACAATCTCGCCTACCTAGTTAGCTAACGAAAGGGAAACGGACAGCTTTAATACGAACATCGATAATTTAGAGACGATTGCACAGACCTATTTGCCTTTATAAGCACTCCAGCTGGTTTCTTGATACGTTTAATCTGCAGCGAGAAACTGTCGAACACTAAAAAGTCGCGAAGACGAAGTCAGTTTTTGGTTCAAATGGCAAGGAAAGCGACACTACTCTGCTGTCGCCACAAGAGGGCGCACTTACGAATTTTTCGACATGATAAAAGAGGGCGGGGCGGAGTAAAATGAATCCCAATTTTACTTTGCTACGTCTGAAACGTGGGCCTAGACATTCCCTGTTTGAGCGGAGCAGTCGGTCATCTGTTCTCCTGTGACCAAGTGTGAGTGACAAGATTAGTGTGTACGTGCTGGCCTAGAGTGCCATTTTGGGGCGGTCAACAACGCTGCTGGACTGCATTCAGTGCCGTCACAGAGCGGCAGTTTAAGAAAGATACTGTCCAAAATTATATTTCAAGAATATTGCACTCAGAAAGTGGGATAAGGTCATATAACTGAGGGAACCCAGCGATTCACGCTCACGTTTGTGTGATGTTTATGTGTAGATGTGGCCGTATGGTTGGTGATGCATAAAGAACCTGTTGTTGTGATTGATTGTTTTTCCTCTGGGTTTATATTAAACATTTCATTTAGTAGTCTATTAAGGGGATCCTACATGTATTTACAATCATAGTTAATGCTTTGTAGCTGGGTAAGTTATAGCTTTGTGTAGATATTCGTAATAGATTAGCGTTAGCACCTTCTTACACGAAGCTGATAACTTATGATTTGCCAGCTTCTTGTTCGAATTTCTCCGTTCCACCTTAAATGGTGCAGCTTCAAGCACCAAAAAGTGACGGCTGCACCATTTAAGGTGGAACGGGAAAATTCGAACAAGCAGCTGGTAAATAGGAAGCCAACTTCAGCTTCGCCCTTCTTTGTTTTGGGGGGGTCTGTTTTATTTTTATGTGTATTAAGATTAGAAGCGATTCACACACTGACGGGTTGGCTGGGGTGTGTGAGAGATTGCGTTTCTACTCGGGCTAAACTCGGTTTTTAACGTCAGGTGCAAACGGAATACCTTTTACTAATTAGCACGATCACATTTATAAAAGATACCGAGCAGCCCGTGCAACCTAGACTAATATATGTCCGAGGATTATAACTACCAACACAAATTTGGTGAAAACTGGTTAAGTCATAAGGAAGTTGTGGCCGATTTAATCCCGAGACTCCTCATAAGCGGGTCTTCAGCATGGTATCGTCTCAGATAGAGAGAGAAAGACAACACGGCATCATTCTGAACTAGTTTGTTTTATTATGATCATTTATTTGTTTGCTTATTTTGTATGTTTATTTCTCCCCTGGCTGTAGCCCGATTCTCCAAAGTAATATTAATGGCATGTATATTTATCGGGAGAGCGCTGGCTGCTAGCGCCCCGGGCTAGCTGTTTTTAGCAGCGGGCTAACTTGAAGCAGCGCTCTGTCGCTCACACAGCACGGCGAATTGATGTTACTGTAGATCAAACAAGAGCAAAAAAGCACTGATTTCACTTTAAACGTACACTAAAGGAGAGCGTTTGTTTGTCTGGTGCGAATCGCACTGCACTTCATGCTTTTGCACAGCGAGTCAGAATTATTGCGGTTCTTCCACCCCTCAAACTAACTTGTTTCTGCGACAGAACAGAGAAATCCGAATATCTCCAAGCTTGTGTTTGAATACTGACAGGGATTTGGTAGGAGTGATGAGAATAAGGCAGTGTGATCCATCATTGACGTAGCTACTTAGCCAATGTTTGCTGTTCGTGCTGATGGTGTTACTGAGAAGCTAAACAGTTTAGCATTTGTAATCAGACAGCTGTCTGGTGACAACGAGGCTGAAGTTAGTTGGTTGGCTACTTATTCGCGGCTCCTCTTTTAAAGGAATGACGGTAAAACAAGGGGAGTGTTCACGAACGCTGTATGATGCACGGTTTTCACTTTTAACAGACTCGGAGAGACTAACTTAATGATGGAGACATAATAATGAAGGAGTTAGGAATGTGTACTGTGACCTAATCCGATTTCTTCTGTTTACCCCTACCCCTTGTTTTCGAGTGTCACCCTAACCCCTTTGAACTGAGTTACAAGGGGTAGTGGTTGGAATCTTGCCCTCCGAAATGGGACCCTCAAATTGGAAAACAAAACAAAACATTGTTTCGTTAACAGGCTGCTAGTAGGCGACCCTGCCAGTCTGCAGTGATAGCAGAGGAGGGTAAAGTTCAGCGACCTCGCTGCTGGGCTTTAGTTACATTTAGGACATCATACGCTTTCAAAGAGGGGACAATCACTTATTATCTCCCACTGCTAATTCTTCAGTGACACGAAGTTGAAGTCAGATATTCGCCAGCTTCTTGTTCGAATTTTCCCGTTCCACCTTAAATGGTGCAGCAGTTACATTCTGGCGCTTCAGGCATCAGAACTGCTAGACTATTTAAGGTGGAACGGGAAAGCTAGCTAGCTGGCTACCGAAACACTAGCGTGCTGTTTTTATGCTTTTTATGAAGAAAACGAACATAATACATTGAAACGACATTAAACTAAGATAATACGACAGTTATTGTAATTTTTAACTGAGAAAATTCTCACATTTCTTTGGTCGCTCGTGCAGCCATCTTGCTGGTTTTTCTTTTTTTTCTGATAAAACCAGAGCGCCCCCCCACCCTTAATATCAAAAAACAGGCCTACCAATCAGCAGAGGGCGCCCGCGAGTGAGTCCTCAATGAATGGGAGTAAATGGAGCTCAACGGCTAAAAACGAGAAGTTAGAATAGTTTCTAATCACTCGCCCAGAACGTTTCTTTAATTTTAGAAAGTAGAAGGATGGATTTCACTTAACAAAGAAATATTCCCTATATGTTTCCTTTTTCTACAGCAAACAGGTTTTGGAGGCGGCATTACTGCTAGAGCGTGATGATTGATTGGCGAGCGGAGCAGCTCATTGGCTGTTCGCGCTCACTGACGTCATGAACGTACATGAGGCGCCGTTTTAAACTCCTATAACTCGAGTTTAAAAGCTCTTAAAATATAACAGCGGTGTTAAAATGTTTTATGCTGCTCTGTGTTCAGGAAATGATTGCATTCTTTTACAATAAAAATGTTTAAGCATTTATAAACTATGATTTTGCTCAAATGCTCCATATCAACCCATTCATTTTTGGACTCGCTTAGGAGCGCCCTCTAGCGTTTGAGAAAACCAACATTGCAGAGCGGTAATTCTCCTCTCTACAAGTTCTCTGTTGTTCCATTCACCTCAGCAGCATAAGTTCTTCAGACACTGCCCTGGACATTTCCTGAAAACACACAAATGAACAGCAGCAGTATCTGATGGCAGTCACACAGATGGATTAAACAGTAATCCTGAACTTCGTCTTCACGCACTGTAAAAGGCTACATCTTTCCCTGCCTAAATAGCGTTCTGCAACACCAAGAGAACACTAGTCGTATAGTGGGGATGGGTAAATCTTCACTTGATGACTTAACCATCACAGTTCTTCTCAAGGCCCTCCTGCATGAACCCAAGATTTAGTGGCAGAAATGAACGGATGCTGCTGAGCCTGTTACTTATCTCAGTTCATGTATAATATTTATTGTTGCATAACACCTTTAAATAAGTGAGACACTGTTATTCCCCTGTTTTCTAAAACAGTATTTGTTCCCTTTTGCTCTGATCCCCAGACCAGCCCAGATCTGAATCAGACTAGTTATGGTGAGGCTAGTATTTGTGTCAGACCTGCACTGTGAGCTCATGTTAACCTGGCATTAACATCAACTTAGCAGCTGTTTCATTAGCTTGTCTTGAACTCCCATAATATGGATGGTTCACTAGTAGTTATCTCTCGCTAGCTTAAACTCCCCTTGAACCAGCTAGGGGAAACGGCTGATTCATTTGATCAATTTGTAACATTTAACTTAATTTGGAATAGTCTCATTATTGAATCAGACAATTCAGACGGGGACAGCTCCGATAAAACATACACAGATCACACACATTTTATAACACATGATACTGAACATAATTTTACATAGAAAACATAATACAGCAGGTCCTTCACATCGCGTCAGACACCACCAAACAAAGAAAACTTCTCATTTGTTTGCAAAAATACTTACTTTCCTTACCTATAAATTTATAAGCTTGAGTGTGTTTAAAAGTTGATATCTCTTGACTTTCACTCAAGTAGGTTTGGCTCCATACTTTGTGTAGGATTTTCACTTAAGCACGGTTTCTCTGTTCCTTTTTCCGCCCCTACGTTTTGCAATCATTTTATATGTGTATCTGCAACTAAACTGGTTTTATATTATTAAAAACATTGATCCCAAACCTCTGAACAGGAGTATATCTAAAAAGTGAGATGATAATAAGTAAGAATAGAGCAGAGAAATGGAAAATGAGTGACGGATGGTCATGTTTTGGACAGATACACGTCGAGTCCACTGGATGGAGCTGTTTAGCAGGATGGTGCTGCTCGGCCTGTTTGTGTCTGCGCCCATCAGAGCAGCAACAGAGTCTGAGGAGGAGTCACCGACAGACTGGACGCTGTGGAAGAAAGCCAATGGAGTGATGTATAAAGTAGAGGTGTCTGTCATAAACACCCGACACAGCAAAGTACATTAGATCACATCACATAGACAAATTAATAACAGAACTCGGCCTATAAGTAATAATTAAGTAGCAGGAAGTTAAATGAATGTTAAAATACATGTCGTTAAATAGCTGTAACTAACACAGAGGAAGACACATGGAACAAACAATTCAAACTCAGAAAGAGAGAAGGGGGAATTCCACCATTTTTGAAAATTTCAGCAGAATTCAGTAGTTCAGATGTAAACTGGGTGTTATTCGGAGTGGTTGAATGTTATTCTTATTGGATCTTATTCACTGCCTTTTTCCCCAAGACATTGTTTTGTGGTAGTTTTGAGAAATGATTTTGTCTAAATTTTTTGGTGCACATACATGGTGGAGAGACCATGACTGTATTCATTCATAACATAATTTAGCATATGTTATTAGGCTAAATAGTAAATTACAAATAAAAATTCCTATTAGAAAGCAAAACCATGAGGCTTTAATCGTAATGGTTCTACATGAGTGATCCTACATGAGTCATAAAAAAAATGTTGGAGTCCTTATTGGGCCCATAACTGGGAAAACTAAAACATACTACTTAATTTGCATTTCTTAAACAAAAAAACTTTCATGTAGTATTTAAACACTGTTTAAGTTTCAAAATGTACTGCTCACTCTCCATTCCATACAGTCCATAAATGAAAACTGAGCAGCATACAGCAGTTTAGCCCCACCCATGTCCAGACTACTTTTTGAATGAGGCACAATACATGGCAGCCAGTAAGATCTATTTAGAGTCTGTTTTCATATATCAGTCTTAAAAGCACAGTAACAAAAGTGGCCTGTTTATTTGTAAGGGGTAAAGAGAAGTTAAATAAATGAAGTTAAATGAAAATGAATTATGGCTGTTTTTGGTACATAAAGCCACACAAACAGAAGAAGTAGATCTCAAGGAAATGCATATGCAGGAAAAATGTAGGATATGGACCCTTTTAAGTTTCTGTATAACTCACCATTTTGCATCAAAACACTCGAGTTTGTTTACATCTCAGAGATTGAGTTAGGTGGCAATCTTGCAATGATTACATATCAGATTCACACAGATTACAAATGTCTGTCTGCTTCTCAGCTTCTCTCAACCGAATCTCTATGATTTCTGTGTGGTTGAACTTGTGCCACTTGATTCTGTTTCTCCCAAAGGCTGATGACAAGGAGAGAAGGGTCATTTGGGAGACAAACAAGAGAATGATTGATGACAATAACAAAAAATTCCAGATGGGCATGTCCAGCTTTACCATGACGATGAACAAATATGGTGACTGGGTAAGTCATTGTCTCTCAAACATATGGTCATGATATTGAGCATGTACACTAATGCCACAAATTATGAAGACATTGAATTATTTTTCTTTTTTTAAACATTCTACTTTGCTCTTTGTCGTATCTAGACTAAAGCGGAGTATAAGCGGTTACAGGGAGCAAAGATTAACAGCAAGGTGAAAAGGAAAGGAATGGTCGCCTCTGCGAATGCCCTGCGCAACTATGCTAAGAGACTGCGGGCGTCCACACTGGACTACAGGACGATGGGATACGTCACTGAGGTTAAAGACCAGGTGGGATTTAACTCTCTCCAGCTGCCAATGTTGGTTATCCTACTGTACAGTCCGTTTGATTTTTCAGCATCTGACAGTTTTGAACATCAGAAACGTGCGAGTGCATTAAAGGGTCCATCTTATGGAAAACCAAAATGTACATATGACAAACCGTTTTAATAACATCAATACTAAACTGCAAAAACAGCCTGTTTTGAATTTTGAGATGTCGTGAAAACATTTACATACATCCACCTATTCTACCTACAGCAGTTTACGAGAACTTCAGCCCCACCCCTGCACGCTGAAGTTAACAGGAGTGTGTTAGTTCAGACTGCTTTTTGAATGAGGCACAATACAGGGCAGTCAATTAATCAAAACAGTTTATTAACATATATCAGTCTTAAAGATACAGTAACAAAAGCTGCCTGTTTAATAAGGAAAGAATAGAGGTCAGGAAATAGTCATGTAAAAATTATTTATTTATTTATTTTTTTTTTGGTACATAAAACCACAAAAATGTCAATAAATGGATCTCAGAAAAAAAAATTAAATACAAGAAAACGGTATAAAAGTGAAATGAGGCATATCAAAAAAGTTATGCTCTCTCCAACTCTGTCTGCCCTATAGCTACAGATCATCTGCAGTAACAACACTCCTGAACACTATGTGGATGTGAATAGGGAGTGTAAGTCTGTTCTTGGTTGTAACATCACACCTATAATGAATTTTAAAAGGAGCTGTTCTAGCAGCATAGTTATTATGCATGGACTGTAATGCATGGGTAATGAACAGTATGTCTTGAACCTTTTGACAGCACTCATATAGTAGGTCTATATCAAACTTTTATCACACCTTTATTTAATAATAAAAAAAATGACGTTTCAGTAGTTTCATTTTGTTTCCATTATACGGGCCCTTTAAAAAGTCTTGTTATCTCTGCTCAGGGCTACTGTGGGTCTTGCTGGGCATTCAGCACTACGGGTGCCATTGAGGCCCAGATGTTCAAGCACACAGGTCAGCTGGTGTCCCTGAGTGAGCAGCATCTGGTGGACTGTTCCAGGTCTTACGGCACGTACGGCTGCAGCGGGGCCTGGATGGCAAATGCCTATGATTTTGTAATCGGCAAGGGGCTGCAAGCCAACAGTACTTACCCTTATACTGCCCTGGTAAGTTGACTGTGAGATTTGGTCAGAGAATTGCACCTTGTTCTGTTGTGTGGTGCTTTCTTGAAATGTTGGAATGGCCTGTTTAAAGGCTGCTCCTCTGATTGACTTTAATATGTAGTTTTGTAACTGCTTACCTCATTTGTGTTTACCTGTTTGCCAGGACACACAGCCCTGCTTCTATGAGCCCAGCCAAGTTGTAGCCCACATCAGTGACTACAGGTTTATTCCCAATGGAAATGAACAGGTGTTGGCTGATGCCTTGGCGGTTGTTGGGCCAATTACCGTTGCGATAGATGCTGACCATCCAAGCTTTATGTTCTACAGCTCAGGTAGGCTGTAAAAGCTTTTGAAAAGTATATTCAGCAGTAATCGTGCTAGAGTACTTTACTGTGTAGCAAATTTATGGAGCCAATCCCAGCACTCATTGGGTGGAAGACAGGAAACACCCTGGAGAGGCTGCCTGTCCATCACAGGGCAGACATATAGATATGTTGTGAGGCAACAGCACAACCCCCTGCGCCACTGTGCTACCATTTCAACTAATTGCTCTCTGTGAGGGAGCTTTTAGAAGCATTAAATGTTTGACATCTCGTTCCTGTCTCCACTATTGTGAACATTTCTGACTTAGAACGTTTCTCAAGAACAGAGCATTTCACATCAAACCACTCTCAATGACTTGGTTTACATCTTAACAATTGAATTGTGCAAAGTTTGAAAAATTGATGCAATACCCCTTTAACTCTCCAAGCATATTAGTATATACTTTGGTTTCAATGAAGTCATTTTGTGACAAGAGGGCATTAATGAGTGTTAGTGCGCAATATAGTGCCTGTTGATTGTTATTGCATTATTGCCCTTTACTGCAGTACTGAGGCCACAGGCAGCAGCAATATGTACTGCAATTAACAGCACAATCTAAATATGCCAGTTTTGGCCATGTCATGCACCCCTGATGAGCCTAATGAATGCGCATTCTTCTTTACCATTAACATTCATTGTACATGTTCTGACAGGGATCTATGTTAATCCTAAATGCAGTTCAAGTAACCTCAATCATGCTGTGCTTTTGGTTGGCTATGGTTCTAAGGGTGGCAAAGACTACTGGCTCATCAAAAACAGGTGGGAGCTTATCTTCATACCTCTAATCATTGAGACTAGCTGTGTTTAAGTGTATTTTAGCGTTTACTCTGTTCAGAAATGACATGAGCTACAACAGAGCAAACATTAACACACACAGTATGATTACCATATAGGGAAAAGTTTCCTAGCCCTACATTGTTTACTGCCCTCTCTGTGTGATACAGCTCAGACACAGCTTCTAATAATGATGATAATTAGGAGTGTAAAAGTGCACGATCTGAAGGTGCTATTCATATGCGCTGATTTTGGAATGACAATAATTTGTGATCGATTATGATATTCAGCAAAGTAAACGCTGTCCAAAAAAATCAGTCCAAAAAACTATTATGTATTATGTCTGCATTATAGTTTCTCCAATCACATTTGTGTTTTGAAAGTATTTTAAGAAATAAGTCCAAATCCTACCAAAATAATCAAACCGAATAGTGGTGAAGTACGAGATATTGGGATGCACTGAATCCTAAACAATCAAAATCAAATCCAATTATCAGGTCAGAGACTTCACTCTTACTAATACAGTGTGTTCAATCCTTTGTGCTAGTACACTAAAGCATGCAGGACCAGCATTAAGCACCACTAAGTTCCAGTGGTCTAGTTGAGGTCTTCTATGATGTTGAGTGATGTCCCTTCCCTCTTTCCACAGCTGGGGCACAAGTTGGGGTGAGGGAGGATACATGCGCATGATCCGCAATGGCAAAAACACCTGTGGCATTGCCAGCTATGCTCTTTACCCCATTGTATAAGGGCTTTGTATCTCTCAATAAAGACTGTTTAAGTTATGACTCTGTCTACAAGATCAATTCTTTGTGTCGAAGTTCCCAGAAGCATATTTCAGAATATTCCATACACATTCACCACGACATAAGCTGGATTCTCCAGTTCAGTCCAGGAGGGATGGATAGTTACTGGGTCAGGGAAATTATTAAACTGGCTAATGCTGGTGGTATCTTCTGAGCCAGTTTTTTCAAAGTCATTCACAGGACATGTTAAGTCAAGTCAAAGTTTATTTATAGAGTGCTTTTTACAACAGGCATGTGAGCGGGTGGGTGGTTCACAGTCCCCCTAAAGTCTTAATTGGACCCTTTATCTTTCTGTTTTTACACCCTTGCAATTTTACATCCACACCTCACGAGTAGCTACAAACAGTAGTAATACTTAATGCTTATTAGAGACCATCAATTTGGTTGAAACAAGTAATTTCCATAGGGGGACATTTAATAGTTTTTGCTCTGAGGACCATAAGATCTTAATCACACTACTGTCCCCACCACTTTTGAAATGCTATATTTTATCCTAAACATTATTTAAGATGTCATCTGTAGCTCAGAGCCCAATATCTCTTCTGTTCTGTGCTGTGTTGGCTGTGGAAGTATTAATGCTAGTGGCTGGACTAGGCAAGCTCATCAACTTAAGCTGCAGTTAAGATGGATCTCCTCAATGCAGTTGTTACAGTTCAGTCATAATGATGGTTAAACTGAATTCACAAGGTTGAAAGAATGTTTAATGCAGTTTGTCAGTCATGAATGCATGCACAATCACACCCTCATTTCAGGTTCAGAATTCAGCTGAAGCAGATCAGCGCAGGCCAAGCCAACAGTCATCTGAGAAGAATTATGTACTCCCCCTAACTGCTATTGTCATGCTTCAGACATATGAACAAAACTTGTGACAATTTATTTTGAGCGGCCCTTTTTTGATGAAATAGACTATCAAAAGACTCTCAATAACAAATCAGCAGCATATTAATGATGTAGCAGCAGTGAATACATTCATTAGATTATCAAGAGGCTTTTAATTAACTCTGTAATCATAATTTCTGTATGTTCTGCTGGATTCAGCTGTTTTTCCACTTTATATGTATTCTGCGGACCTCCATGCTTTGTTTTTCCATGTGGTGGGTGTATCTGTGAACTCCCAAATGAAGTGAAGTTGAATTTACTAGTCAACCAGATGTAAACAAACTTCCGGTGAGCACCCAAGTGGAGCTGGACCAGAGAAACTGTACTATTAGAAGCTTAGAGGCTTAGAAATTGTACTTACACCCGTCAACTTGTAGAGAGAACTTTGTTGAACCTACACACAGGCCTTGAGCAAAGCTCTGTTATTCCACATTATCATAGCAGTTTAACTGATCTGATACCAGTTTTGCCGTTTTTCTCATGATGGTTAGGCTTTGCTTTTGATTGCCGTGTGCTGGACCCGTATAAATCAAGGGCATTTGTTGCCCACAGTTCATTGTAAGAGGTGATGCTAATCTAATGCTCTCTCCTCACCACACCCACTCAGTAAACTCGTTCCACAGTTTACAGGCCCACAGCAAACACCCTCACAGCACGCTTCACACTCCAGAGCCTCCCACAAGTTCTCACACAGCACCAGTGAAAGGCACAAGGCTACTCGTTGAAGTGCTGTGTCTCATTTGAGTGTGTTGAGGGAAAAAGTGAACATGTTCCACTAAAGATGGCATGTTCTCTCCCACAAGAAGAGAAGAGACAAACTAAACAAAACTCAGTTCATTTTGGTTACACTGACTATGGCATACAAAGGCCATACGGTATAACAGTCAGATTGCAGTAATGCGCTTTTAAATATTTTATCATTTCAACCAGTCATTTCAGATGTACTTCATGTGGTAACCAACACTTCATTTGTTTTTTTCCAAGTCAAATAAATTATATAATTGGGTTTTCTCAATTGGTTACACACAGACTGTTTTTTTTTTTTCTGCAGAGCACCAAACATAGATCTCTCGTAAAATCTGCAAGAAAATCCATAAATTTGAAAAGTGCTCAGGCTGCAGTGGGACAAACATTACAGAGCTTTTCTCTACCCTCCTATATCGGTGAGAGCATGAGGGAAAAAATATAAATTCCCATAAATGTCACAATATATAAAAAAGGGTAACACTTTCTATGAATGTCACGTTTGTAAGCATCTATAAACACATTTATAACATGTTATAATGCATTCATAAGGCATTATAAACATGGTTATACATATTTATAAAAATGAATTACACTGCATTACACTTTATAGCCATGTTGATTATATATTATGAATTGTTAATATAATGCATTATAAGTAGTGTTAATAACATGTTATACTGTCAGTGCCAAAGAAGTCAGTCCCAGCTCGGAGAGCGCAAAGTAAAGACAAATACAAAGTTTATTTACTCCCTGAGATTTCCAATATTTTATTTCTCAGCGCTGGTGCTGTTAGGGCTGCATCTTCGGGCTTCAGTCTTGAATATTCAGATGCTCCAAACAGGCTGTCCAGTCTAGAATTACTGCTACAGCGTGCTTTTCTAAACCAGCGCTCTCACTTTAAATGTTACATTACATCACAGCAAAACAAGTACAAAAACACTACTGATGGCAGCACTAGTTTAAACTCTGACGTTTGAAGCCTGTAATGTGTTTTATTATGTATGTTTTAGTGTTTCAGTAAATTCTTCAGTAAATACTACAACTTGAAGCCTCACTCATAACACTGGAGGAGGTTTTAGCACAGTATGCCTCACTTTACTTTACTACAAATACAACTTATGAGCTCTTATAATTTGTTATAAACAGTACTTATAATGCATTATATTAACAATTAATAACGCATAATAAGCACGGCTATAACGTGTTATGCATTTTTATAAATATTTATAGCCATGGTTATGATTCCTTATGAATGCATTCTAACATGTTATGAATGTGTTTATAGATGCTTACAAACGTGACGTTCATAGAAAGTGTTACCAAAAAAAGTCACAAAATTAAAAAAAAAGTGTCTGATAACATATAAAGAATGCATGCATGTTTTACTTAATGTAGTAAAGCCACACTGTAATGCTTTGTTTGAACTGGCCACACCTGCCAGTATTCAGCCAATGAGCTTCAAACCTGCGACAGATACTTGAATAACAAACTGCAGACTGCACTGCTGACAAAGCAAGCCGAGTTGGGCTACATACTACAAAAGTGATGATGGCTGAGTACTGAACACACTGTCCTAAATGTATTCAGTAATACATTTCTTTACAGCACACAAAAAAAGTGATGTATTCACAATGCATTTAGAATACACTTACAATATGTCTCGGTAAGGAACATGGGGAAAACTTTTTCGTTTTTACTTAATTCACATTGTTCCTTGCTGTTGCTGGTTGGTAGTGTGCAAAATGAAATTATCTGTTGCCTTCATGTAATTATTCTGTTTCATTAGGAATCATTTGAACATTCCAAAAATGTGTAACTTTTTTCTTTCTCCCTGCCTACTTCTGTTCACCGCTGATTTATCAGTCTACTCAGGCTTTAGCAGAGCTCAGTAACACTGAGATTAATAACTGATCACATTGATTTATCAGTCTACTCAGGCTTTAGCAGAGTTCAGTAACACTGAGATTAATAACTGATCATCACATTGATTTATCAGTCTACTCAGGCTTTAGCAGAGCTCAGTAACACAGATTAATAACTGATCACATTGATTTATCAGTCTACTCAGGCTTTAGCAGAGCTCAGAAACACTGAGATTAATAACTGATCATATTGATTTATCAGTCTACTCAGGCTTTAGCAGAGCTCAGTAACACTGAGATTAATAACTGATCACATTGATTTATCAGTCTACTCAGGCTTTAGCAGAGCTCAGTAACACTGAGATTAATAACTGATCACATTGATTTATCAGTCTACTCAGGCTTTAGCATGAACTACCTTGTAAAGAAGCCGTTATTAAACTTCTTCTTTAAAATTCGTCTAAGATTGTTGTGTTTTTTAAGATTGTATCTGGTGGGTAAGTATTCTAATATTAATCTCCTAAATATATAAAAGGTAACTGTTTTCTGAATGCGGCCTTTACAACATGTAACTCGGACTGAATACAGATTCTCAACATGTTCTGTATTATTAATGTATTCTGTACCTGTATTCTGAATATTCCCAATACTTGTATTCCATTACATCCCAACCCTAGAAAGCAGAAAGAAAAAAGAGAGGAAGATGAGGGGTATGTAGGGACAGTGAAGGAGAGGAACAGTAAGCTGTCTCTGCTCTGTGTTGGGTCTGTGTGATCCTGTTGAAGTCATTCAAGCTTCATTCCAAAACGAACTAAGGTTTTGATTTTCACCTCCCACAATATTCACTTTTTTTTAAATCCAAATAAAGAAGTGTTCTCACATGCTTTTTGTAGTTCTACAATTACAGACTGTAGTCCATCTGTTTCTCTGCATACTCTGTTAGCCCCCTTTTACCCTGTTCTTCAGTGGTCAGGACCCCCATGGACCCTCACAGAGCAGGTTAGGGTGGTGGATCGTTCTCGGAACTGCAGTAACACTGACATGGTGGTAGTGCATTAGTGTGTGTTGTGCTGGTCTGAGTGGATCAGACACAGCAGTGCTGCTGAAGTTTTTGAACACCTCAGTGTCACTGCTGGACTGAGAATAGTCCACCAACCAAAAATATCCAGCCAACAGCGTCCTGTTGGCAGCGCCCTGTGACCACTGATGAAGGACTAGAGGATGACCAACACAAACTGTGCAGCAGCAGATGAGCTATCGTCTCTGACTTTACATCTACAAGGTGGACTGACAAGGTAGGAGTGTCTAATAAAGTGGACAGTGAGTGGACACTGCTTAAAAACTCCAGCAGCACTGCTGTGTCTGATCCACTCATACCAGCACAACACACAGTAACACACCACCACTACGTCAGTGTTACTGCAGTGCTGAGAATGATCCACCACCCAAATAGTA